TGGAATCTTTCTTAAAACCTGTGCTTAAGGTGGGTATGGTGGCTCACACCTGTAATCCCAGCACTTTGGGAGTCCAAGGAGGGCGGATTGCTTGAGCTCAGGAGTTCAAGACCAGCCTGGGCAATGTGGCAAAACCCTGTCTCTATTTTTTAAAATATAAAAACTTAGCTGGGCTTGGCGGCATGCACCTGTGGTTCCAACTACTCAGCAAGCTGAGGTGGGAGGATCACTTGAGCCCTGTGGCGCAGAGGTGGCATTATTTAGCTTGCTATTGTTGGTTGTTTTTCTAACTTCATCATAGTTGGTGAGTGAGTTCTGAACAGCATGATCCTTTGGAGTGTGAGGTTTCTTTTTGGCCGAGTTCAGGGTTAGTGTATGGATATTCCATACGTGCGAGGAGAATTTTTCTCCATTGGGCGTGGAGTTCCGTACTTACCATCAGATTGCGATGATGGGCTGTATTATGAAATCACTTCTGTGCTCTGGCTCGAGTTCAAATGCTCCATGCCCTTCCCCAAGAAATGTACTGAATCTGCAGGACACTGGCTTCCCCCTCCACCTGCCCTGGTGTGTGCGCACGTATGGGTCCACGTGTCCCAGCTCTGCCATCCCCACTGCCCTGGTCCTTGGTAGATGAAGGGACTGGCAGCCATCCATCACCCCCAGGTGCAGATGGCAACCGGGCAGGCTCTTCTACAGTTGGGGTTGGGTTTCCTCCGCTCCCGTTTCTGACACTGGCTGGCCACAGCCATCCTCTGAAGGTGGACACGCCTCACCTGGTGTCCCCTGCCCCTGCTGTGCATTCCCCCAGGCCTGCACGCACCTGCCTTCCTGGGGGCTGTGCCCACCCCTCCTTCTGAGTTTATCACTGAGCCATTCTTCCCAGCTCCCCACCTTGTAGGAGGCTCTCAGGGTGGCTGTGAAGGGCTGGAGCTTCCAGGATTGCTCTTGGGGACTCAGGCAGAACCACTTGGCATTGCTTGCAGACCTAGGAAGTGCAAGTTGGATGTGCACGGCTGCACAGCCCCTTAGAGTCCAATCACCCAAACCACCATGACTCCAGCACGAGCCTGGTGACTCCATGACCTCCTCACAACCCCCATGACCCCAGTGGTCTGGGCCTGGCATCAGATCAGCCTTGCTTCACACCACCTTCGTGGCTGGCCCCCACTGAGCATCCTGGGTGGCATGGGCATGGGGGTGACCTGGGGGCGGCACCTAAGACCATGAGCTCTGGGCCAAACCAAGCACCCCCGATTTCCTCCTGGAGCCCCCACATGTGTAGGGCTGAAACTGGGCTGCCTCTGGAGGGGAGAGCTTTGCTGTGAAGGGAGCGGGGAGCACTCTCCAGGAGCATGAGTCTCAGCTCAGTTCCTAGGGCTCCTAAAAAGCCCAGAGTGATGTGGAGGTCGGGCTGTTGGGAGATGCGCAGGTCGGCTGGGCCTCAGGGCGGCTGCCTTCCTGTAAACAGGAGCCAGGCCGGTGCACTGCCCTTGCCCGTCCTCACCTTTGATTTGTACTCAGCTCTGCTGCACAGGCTGGGGTGGGTGTGGCTTCAGGAACCAGTCCTCAAGCTGCCTGGGCACCAGCTGGCCCTGCCTTTACTGTGCTGTTTTAATTAGCCTCTAGCATAAAGTCAGTTTCCTGAAGATGCCCAGAGTCCCCTTTTGAGGCTGAGCATTGTCTTCGGCATCAGCAGTGTGGTGGGGTTTGGGCAGCTGAGGGGCTGGTGGGGATTAGAGCAGCCCTGGTCCCGCTCACCAGGCTGCCTCCTCCCGGCTGCCAGCATGGTCTCCATGAGCCACCCAGTCCCTTCATCAAATTGGAGAGCCCCAAGAGAGGGGGTCCTCTGGAAGGTTCTGGATGTCCTGTGGGCTCTGGGCTTGATTCCAGCCCACTCCCGCCTCATCACAAAGGCTGCTGACTCCACTGCTCAAAGAGCATTCTCAGCTAAGCAGGGGACATTTAATTCCCAGCCCTGGAGAAACCAAGTGAGCCCAACCAAGCTGTGTCACTGGTCACACAACTGAAGCCAACTTAGCTCCTGGACAGACACCAAGTGACCTAGGTGTCCTCCCTGCAGGACACAGGGGCTGGCTTAGGCTGTTGCTCTCAACAACTGTGTCTGATACCTGCAGTGAAGGCTAGAACTCAGCTCCAGAGGCTGCTTTACCTGCACCTACTTTGGCCAAACGCTCTCCTTGTCCCTCAGGGCAAAGTCTGTCTTGATAACCCCTGACTTCTTTGACCTCTGACTTGTCCACAAATCTTGGGAATTTCTAGTGGTCTGTTTGTAGTCTCATGCTGCACTGGGGGCTGACATTTGGGGCTGCTTCCTGGCCTCAGTCAGGGTTGTAGCTCCCGTGGCTGCAGGCACTCTCTCCCATCCTGCCGACCCTGCCTATCACTCTCTATTCGGTCTCCAGGTCTGGTCAGGTCCTGGAACAGGCGCGTCGTGGATGAAGTGTTTGCTCTGAAGCTGTTCCGCGCTCACCTCTTTGGGGTACACCTTTGGCTGTTCCTTCTGTCACTATCAAGGGCCTCTCTTTTTTCCTTTTTGTTACCTTTCATTCTATCCTCAATGATATGCGTTCCCTCTTCATTTCTGGCACCTTTCTTGCTTAGCTGCCTAGGTGGGAAGTGGACTAGGCCCTGGATATTTGTTTGGAAAGGAAGGAGAAGTTCCTATATCACCTCCATGGGCTACAAGGCCCAGGAGCCCACGTGTGTGCTCTGAGTTTGCCCCCATGCTGTTTGGGACACAGTGGGGATGAGGCAGGAAGTCCAGGCTCACAGAGAGCCTGTGATGTTTGGGGGAGACCTGGGCAGAGGTGCCGAGGAGCACGCAGGTCAGAAGCCTGCTGAGGGATGACCTTGCCCTGAGACCCTAAGGACCAGGGGCTGATGGTGCCAAGTCTCAAAGTAATGTCCCTGCACAAGGAACTCCGCACAGGGCTGGGCAGGTGAGGGATGGCCACTCACACACAGAATCTAAACTCCTTCTTGGGCAGGGGACAGAGGGGATGATGAGGCAGACAGATGCAAAGGCATTGGGACTGGGAGGGGTGCTGCTCTGAGGGAGGAGCCAGCATGCAGGTGACCGGAGGGCCAGCAGTTGAGCTGCTGTCTGCATGAGGTGCAGAGTGAGGAGGCCCAGCAGGGCCTGGCCGAGCATTGATGAGGCCCAGGGGCGGAGCATGCGGTGGGCCTGTGTGAGAGCCGCACTGCTGCCCTCCTGACCTCGATTCGTCTTCAGCCTGGCCCCTCCCCTCCCCCACTGGGCTGGGGCTACAGGGCCTCAAGGTGGGGTGCACAGAGCCAAGGTGGGGGACACCCTCCAGGAAATGACTCCTGCCCCACGTGGATGGGCGAGCACTCGGTGGTTTATCTGCACTTGGAAATGCTACAAAGCCAAGGGTGTGGGGTGGGCTGAGGCCGCTCCTTCCCCCTCCTTCCACCTGCAGGCTCTCCCTGAGTTTTTGTCCTGGCTTCTCCAGGATGTGGTTGCTCTTGGTGTCCAGACAAACCCAGAGAGGAAGACGCAGGGTTCCGCGGGGCAGTGCAGAAAATGTCCTGGCAGGAGAGAAGGGCGGACAGATCTGAGAGGCTGAGGACAGCTGGGCACCAGCTCAGGGCCAGCGTTGGCACTGTGGCCACCCCGAGAGCCCACATCCTGGGTTTCCACACACCGTGTCCAGCAGGGCCAGGGGTGGCGGGATTGTGGGCAGAGTGGTGGGCAGGCAGAGCCATGGGCAGGGCCCTGGGCGGGCAGGACTGTGGGCAGGACTGTGGGTGGGCCGTTCTCTGATGGGTCGCTGGAGGAGAAGCAAGGCTGCTTGTCCCTAGCCCTGGAGTCTGACCTGACTCTCAGGCAGTTGCCCTCCTGCCCCATCCTGACCAGGAGCCCCTGGGTCTTCTGCCTGTGTTCCTGGGCCCTCCTAGCCCCGGCAGTCACCTGGCTCAAAGGCACTGGCCCTGTCACCGGCTCCAGGTCTCACACCCAGCACCACGCTCTGGCTCCTAAAGCTATTTGAGGCTGCAGCTGTGCTGCACCCACCTGCTCCCTGTCCCCACGCCTGCTCCCTGTCCCCACACCTGCTCCCTGTCCCCACGCCTGCCTCCTATCCCCACGCCTGCCTCCTATCCCCACGCCTGCTCCCTGTCCCCACACCTGCTGCCTGTCCCCACGCCTGCTCCCTGTTCCCACACCTGCTCAGACCAGCCCTCAGCTAAGTTTGGACACAGGGACCACCTTCCCAGGGCTTCCTGAGGAAGGCAGAGGTTACCTGGTGCTACCATCTCCCCCACCCTGCCTCTCTCATCGACACACCTGGGGCCACGCAGGCCCCTCCTGGGACTCCTGTGAGCCCTCCCACAGCTTGCCCAAGTGTCCACTGTGCAAACACCTGAGCTCCACCCTCCCTGCTGCACTAACCCTGGTCAGGGCCTCCTCCACCCCGGCCTGCAACTCGGCAGCCCACGAGATCACGCAGGGTCCTGGCATGCCAGTCCATCTCCAGGATCCCCCGTTCCTGTTGCCCCCACGGGGTCCGCAGTTGACCCTGCTTTTCCCAGGGCCACCCGCCTGCCTGTGCTGGGCCCCGTGCTCCTAGCACTCCACTCTGGACAGCATGAGGCTCCACGCATCGGCCCTTCAGGAGCTCCTCCTTCCCAAATGCCCTCAGCCCTGGTAGGCACAGGTAGCAGAGGCTCACCTGCGGCTCCCAGAGGCCCTGGGTCCTAGCCCCTCTGCCGCCCAGGGCTGCCCGTCTGATCAACAGCTCTAGGTTCCACTGCAAGGAAAAGGAAGCATATGAAGACAGAGAAATACAGAGGCTTGGGCCCTGTCCTGATGGGGGCAGAGGGGTTCAGGGTCCTCCCTGGGCACAGGCAGCAGGTGCAGTCCTCAGATGGAGGCTGAGAGCTGTGGGTGGGGGCAGCAGCATGCCGGGTCCCTGTGCCCCATACAGGTGCCTGTCACCCTTGTCTACACAGGTAGGTACAGAAGGGGCCGTTTATTCTGAGCAGTGATGCGCCCTGCATCTGCCAGGCCGTAACCAGGCCACCGTGGGCAGCTCCCAAGGCCGGGGCAGGGGCCCCCACAACCCATGGGGCTCCCTCCAGGTTGCCCCCAGTTTCCTGAGATGTCTGTGGGGTAAGGGGTGGGATTCAGCTGATGCCCGAGCAGAGCAGACATGCCCCCGCTGCTGCCCCGGCCAGTGCAGAACTGTTCTTGTCCAGCTGGGTCATCCCCTGGTCCGTCCTCCCCACGGACGCCCCTCTCTGGCCCCAACTCCCCGAATCAGCCTCTCCTCCATCTCAGTGTCCAGGCCATGACCTGCCACTGCCGCCTCAGAGGAGGAGGACTGCCAACCAGGTCACGGGAGCCTGCGGCTCTGTACTGAGTGGGGAGAGGCGGGGGAAGCAGCAGCCAGGAGGACGAGAGGGTGGGAGGATGGGAGGACAGGAGAGGGAGGGAGGAGGATGGGAGGGAGGCTGGGCACTCATGGGTGGCCCTAAGCGGGCAGCTCATGTTTCCTGGAGACTGGGAAAGGGTCACCTTGAGGTTCCTGGGAGGCCAGGCCGAGGCCAACCTCTGTGCCATGACTGGCTTTGTGTGGGCTCAGGAAAGCCCCGTGTCCTTATCCTAGCACCCCAGAGGCTGGACAGTGGCGTCTCCAGGAGTGGCTGCTGTGGTGACACAGAGTGAGACCCCAGCCCCAGGACCAAGGGACAGCCGGGCCCCACCCCCCCACACTCCCTCCCTGTACTGGGGAGGCCAGGAGCCCAGTACCTCTGCCCTCAAGATGGCCGCCACCATGCCCCCTTCTTCCAGGAAGCAGGGCCTCGATGTGGGTGCCAGGGGACCCCAGGGGCTCAGCACCTGGCTCCAGCTTCTGCTCCAAGATGGGCATGGGGGGCCTGGTGTTCTCGTGGAAGAAGGAGTCGAACTTTGACACGTGTGCTGTGGGGAGGAGGGGTAACAGCAGGATGCAGTGGGGGCCAAGAGGTGCGAGACCTGTGCAGGCCACGCCAGGACACCTGGCCCAGGCATGCTAATGGTGGGGGAAGGTGGCCTCCCCCGGTCTGGCCAGTGTGAGGACAGACGGGTGTACTGGGCACAGGTGCAGGGCTGCTGGCCTCACTCACCCTGGATGGCGGACTCACAGGCCTGGCTCACGAGCTGGTAGAGGGTAGCGAGGGACTGGGGCTCACCCTACAAGGGAAGACAGAGCAGCTTTGGGACCCGTGTGGCCAGTGCCTTCCCAGGAGGACCCACGCTGAGCCAAAAGACAGCTTCACTCACCTTCTCACCTCGTTCCCCTTTGGGCCCTGGCAGTCCCTGATGAGGAGGGAAGAGAAAAGAAGTCAGCAGAGATGGCCTGAGACCACAGGTGAGAAGTGAGATGGCCCTGGGGTGGATCCTGGCTGGGCAGCCCGACAGCCACAGAAGTGCCCTGTGACCTCACAGGGCAAGTGGAGCCAAAACCCCATCCCAGATTCCCAGCTCCTAGGAGCCTGTGGTCCTCCCCTGCACCCCAGAGCAGACACGGGAGAGGTTCTGCCTCGGAGTCCCAAGTGGGGCTGGAACTTGTACCACAAAGGATTGGCCTCTGGCTGTATATTTTGTCCTAGGGGAGATGGCGGCTGTGGGGTCCTCAGAGCTGGGACACTGCGGAGAACAGACCCTCCCTGGGCCCAGGCCAGGCCTGTGCCGGGCACTTCCCTGGCATCTTCTGTGTTCCTCCACCTCCCCAGCTCCTCTGGGAACCTGGAGCCCCCCTAAGCAGGGGCCATGGAGCTGCTGCTTAGCGGGGCTGCAGGCAAGGCATCCCCCAGGGGATACTACAGCTGCCTCTCCCACATCTGTCCCCCACCCCCATGGAACCTGCAGCCCTACTACCTCCCCTCCACCAGGTCTGTCCTGGGTGGGGCTGGAGGAGGTACAGAACCAGCCCCCAGCTCCACTCTGCACCAGCACCAAGCTTCCAACTCAGAACAGGCCTCCATCAACAAATGGGAAGTCCCTGAGCGGTTGACAGGAAGTCCCTGACCAGTCAACAGGAAGTGTCCTGGGGTGGTCAACAGGAAGTCCCTGAGTGGTCAACAGGAAGTGTCCTGGTGTGGTCAACAGGAAGTCCCTGAGCAGTCAACAGGAAGTCCCTGGGCGGTCAACAGGAAGTTCCTGAGTGGTCAACAGGAAGTTCCTGGGCAGTCAACCGGAAGTGTCCCTGGGCGGTCAACAGAAATCTTGGGTGGTCAACAGGAAGTGTCCCTGGGCGGTCAACAGGAAGTCCTGGGTGGTCAACAGGGACCAGGAAGTTCCTGGTCAGTCAACAGGAAGTGTCCCCGGGCAGTCAACAGAAATCTTGGGTGGTCAACAGGAAGTCCCTGGCTGGTCAACAGGAAGTGTCCCTGGGAGGTCAACAGGAAGTCCTGGGTGGTCAACAGGAAGTCTCTGGGTGGTCAACAGGAAGTTCCTGGTCAGTCAACAGGAAGTGTCCCTGGGTGGTCAACAGGAATTGTCCCTGGGCAGTCAACAGAAATCTTGGGTGGTCAACAAGAAGTCCCTGAGTGATCAACAGAAAGTCCCTGAGTGGTAAACAGGAAGTCCTGGGTGGTAAACAGAAAGTCCCTGAGTGGTAAACAGGAGGTCCCAGGCAGGCAACAGGAAGTCCTGGGTGGTCAATAGGAAGTTCCTGGTCAGTCAACAGAAAGTATCCCTGGGTGGTCAGCAGGAAGCGTTGAATGTGGGGCTTGTACCCTTCACTCTCCCACCTTTGGCTGGCTGGTGGGTGTTGGAAGTGGACTTACTGTGGGTCCCACAGCCCCTGGGGGTCCTCGGTCTCCAGTAGCGCCCCTGGCTCCTGCCATGCCCTGGAAGCCCTACAGAGACACAGAAGTCAGGGTTTGGCTTAGGTCCCAGCAAATCTGCTCTCACTTTAGCCCTGGTTCCCAGACATCCCAGGCTCCCCCTAACCTGACAAGGGCAAACCCCCGGCTGGCCCCAGCCTCCCTCAGGCCATTCCTCCGACAGGCTGTGCCTCCCCTGTCTCTAGGCCCTGCCTCCCCTGCCCTGCAGCTCTCCTCCAGTGCTGTCAACACCCACGCCGCTCTAAATGTCCCCAGCTGTGCCAGCTGCCTCAGCGTGACTGCAAGGTGGGCTTCCCCTGAGAGAGGTGCTTGCAGGCAGGCAACTTGGCCTGCCCAGCACCCAGCCCGAGGCTGATGCCGGGAGACCCCCTCCAAGGTCTCCCAGGAACTGAGTTCACAGCACAGAGCACTGGGAAGCTTGTCCCCTGCCTTCCAGCAGAGATCCCAGCCCCAGGACCAGGGTACACAGAGCGAGGCCTCAGCTCTGTGGAGGGCTGGGGCTGCTGAGCTCTGACACCCTCTCCAGAGACTAGGAGGAAAAAGCAAGTCCCACAGGAGAGGTCAGCAGGGACTGGGGCCATGTCCCCACAGCCAGCCTGGCCCACCTGCCTGCCCCAGGACACCCAGGAGCCCTGGCCCTCCTGGCACCGTGGAGCCTCATGTGCCTGCAGATCTGCCCCATGGGTGCCAGATAAACCCTCGCTTGGGGGCAAAGTGCTCCTGGGCAGATACCCATCCAACCACAAGGCTCTGCAGCAAGTTCCAACAGAACTGAGTCCCTCCCTGGCCACTTCCTGGGGTGAGGTGGGTGGCAGCGGGTGTTCAGACTGGCCTCTGTCTGGCCCCTGGAACCTAGGAGCCCTGGGTGGGGGTGGGCTCATGGGAGGTCAGTGCTTACCCTGGGGCCAGGGGGTCCGGGCAGACCAGCAGTTCCCTCCAGGCCCCTCATTCCCTGATGGCAAAGGAAGGGGTGAGCTGAGTGGGCTTTGTGTTTGCACCCACCCATCCCATGGTGACAGCCCGCAGCAGCACCCAACATGCCCGATGACCCCCACCACGGTGATGGCTCCTGCCTGGGGTGGGCTGGAGCCCCCCTGCCTTCTGGCCATGCCATGCCACAGGCTGAAGGGGGTGAGCACGGGGGGAGGCAGGCACCCCGGAGGAAGCACTTCCCCCTCCCCCCTGTAGCCCCCATCTCCGAGACCCACCAAGCCAGGCTCTTCCACCCTGACAAGGCCCTCCAAGCCCACAGCCAGCACCTTTGGTCCCTGGAGGCCAACTCTTCCGGGGACGCCTTGGTGGCCGGGGTGGCCCTGGAGAGAACAGAAGGGCCAGCCAGGCAGGGCCAAGGTCACATCCAGAAGAGATGGCCCTTCCTGTGAGCCTCACCCCGACACCTGTGCCCCCCTGCACAGAGGCCCCTCGGTTCTCTTCCCCACCTCCATCCCTGTCCTTCCCCCCACCCATGGCCCCCTGGTCCCAGCCATGCTACCTGTAAGCCTGGGAGCCCGTGGTCCCCCTTCTCTCCTTTGACCCCTGGTGGACCCTGGAGGGGAAGATAGGCTGGGCAGCAAAGCGGAGGTGGCACAGGGCAGGAGGGTGGGGGAGGGGGAGGAGGGTGACACCTACCACAGGCCCCTGGACTGCACGGCCCTGGGTCCCTGGTGACCCCTGCTGGCCTCCAGGGCCTTCTGGTCCCATCTGTCCGGGTGGCCCCGGCTCTCCCTGGAGACACAGGCAATGGGAGAGCCTGAGAAGGGCATGCTGGCCGCCCTTCCTGTGGCCCCTCCTGTGGTGCCTCTGTGGCCCCTCTGTGGCTCCTCCTGTGGCCCCTCTGGGTCACAGGCAGCCCTCCTGGCCCTCTGGACATTCAGACCCAGGCCCGTGGAGACGGCTCCATTAAAGGAGCAGGGGAAGCCCCAGCACCCTCACTGCCCACCCTAGGAGGGTCCAAGAGAAGCTGGTGTCACAGTAGGCGTCTGCAGAGCTGGAGAACTGCAGAGCTGAGCCTGTGAAGCAGATCCACCCAGCCCAAACTGTCCTCCCCTGCCCAACTCTGGGTTCCAATGCAGGTCCAGGGGGCAGAAATAATTGAGGAAAAGCCAGAGACCCCCCACAGGCCAACTGTATGGAGGAGACAGAAGACTTTCTTAAGCCCTGGACCCCAAAACACTAGACTGAGGCTTTATGGGAAATCCAGCCCTGTGGGGCAGAGGGCGCTGCTGCTATTTAAACTCAAATATCTTTTTTTTTTTTTTTTTTTTGTGACGGAGTTTCACTCTTGTTACCCAGGCTGGAGTACAATGGCGCGATCTCGGCTCACCGCAACCTCCGCCTCCTGGGTTCAGGCAATTCTCCTGCCTCAGCCTCCTGAGTAGCTGGGATTACAGGCACGCGCCACCATGCCCAGCTAATTTTTTGTATTTTTAGTAGAGATGGGGTTTCACCATGTTGACCAGGATGGTCTCGATCTGCTGACCTCGTGATCCACCCACCTCGGCCTCCCAAAGTGCTGGGATTACAGGCTTGAGCCACCGCGCCCAGCCTCAAATATCTTTTAAACAAAGCAAATCGAGGTTCCAAACACTGTAAAGAAAACTGCCACCGTCTTATTTATAAGCATCAGTGAAAAATCCAAAATAAAATGTCAGCAAGCTGAATTCTGTCACACGTTATGTGGATAACGAGAATTCAGCGACCACGTCAGATTTTCGGCAGCTGCAAGAATCACCCAGTATTTAGGGATATACCACAATCAACCGCTGATAGCTACATGAGGCACAGTTACTTCCCCATATCCACAACGGCACTAGAGCTTATTTAATGTCCATTCTTGAAGTTTTAAATCTAATACGCTTTAAATCTAATAAGTTTTAAATCTAATCTTGAGGTTTTAAATCTTCGCTACCACATGATGAAATACATCTGCCTCTGCTACCAGGACAACTCTGAAGCATCCGGTGCTAGAGGTGCTTCCGTGAAGCCAAGAAGAAAATGAGAGTATCCACTGTCGCCAGTGCTCTGACACAGTTCAGGAGTGTTCGCCAGCACCAGCAGACAAGAAAAGGAAATCACAGTAACCGAGACCAGAAAGCCGACGGTGAAGTGTGCAGGGGATGCCACTGTCAACCGGGAGAAAGAGAGCTGGGTGCAGAAAACAACACAGAGAGGCCGCAGCCTGTGTGAAAAGGACGAGGCTGGAGCTGGAACGAGAGAAAAGATGTCACTCACAATAGCAACAACAAAGTGGAACTGCCTATGGATGAAGGAGAATAAAGTGGGCCTGGCGGAGAGACCGTCCTCACGCTGTCCTGAGGGCCACAAAAGGCCTGGGAACAAATGGGAAGGTGGCCGTGTTTTTGGATGAGAAGATTCAATGCCATAGAAACACCTAAGTGTATCTATGAAGTACACGTCATTCCAATAAAAACACCAACTGAATTGTTTAGGTTAAACGGATAAGTTGATTCTACAGTTTACTGAACAATGAAATAAGCAAAGAGCCAGGAAAATTCCAGGGAAGAATACAAAAGAGGACCAGCCCCCCCGTATCAAAATTTCAAATAAATCAGTAATAATTTAAAGAAGCATGACCCTTGCACATGAACAACAGACAAATCAACGGGACAGACTGAAGCATCTGAAAAACCCCCAAGTACACAGGGGCCTTGGGATATCACCACGGCTACGGTGCTGAACTGCGAGAGGCTGGCCGTGTCATGAAAGGCTCGGGTGACCAGAATGGGCTATGAAGAGGTAAGCTGGAGTCCTCCCGTCCTCCCCAGCGTGGTCACAAACGCGGAGTGTCGGAAAGGGCCTGGAGGTACCAGGAGAAACCGGGAGCAAGTGCACTTTCTACTCTCAGAGGCTCAGGAAGACCTTTGAGAACCGGACACCCAGTTGGGAAGCCACAGAAGAGAGCAGTAGCATTGACTGCTGACATTATTTTAAAATCTGTATGGAAATGCAGATGGCAAACAAGGTCAAAAGACAGGAACACAGCAAATGCAGTCAAAACTCACATCACAGACACAGGGCTGGTTCCATCAAGTGAACGGTGAGCCGACAAATTAATAAGAGAAAATAACAGTGGAGAAGAAGTCAGAGGACGTCTCCAGCAAGAAAATACTGGCAACGTTCAAAGGGTGTTTGAGGTGCTTGGGAGAGAAATGCATTTCCATCTCTCGAACGGCTCCCAAAGCAGCCAGTTACGCAGGGTGGGGGTGGGAAGCCACCGCTGGCTCCCACCTGGGAGCACCCTACACGGCTCTGCAGAGGCATTTTGGGGCGTCCACCCCACAGCACAGGGGCATGTGCCCTCCCACCCACACTCTCCTGGGGAATCTGAGCCTGAGATGCACCCTCAGTCTTCAGCACAACTGCTCAGACAGAGGGAGCACGGCAGCCCAGGCGCAACGGGGCGCGTGTCTGTGCTCACGGGGATGTGGCACTGTCTGGAAGGATGCTGGGGAGAGGCGGGTGTCAGGGTCGGGAGGAGGGTGGCCTCACCGCAGGTCAGCCACACCTCCGGCATCCTGTGCCATGCTTGTGCGGTATCTGGGTTAGGAAATGATTAGAACTGAACCTGGAGGGCAGCCCTCCCACGCCTGGGGTGGGTGCTGCTGTCATCACTGGGTGCACTGTCTTCAAAATCCCTCTCTGCAGAACTAGAACCCACCCCCGAAACCCCTCCCTGCATGCTGCGCATGTGCTGAGCCTAGACACATTGAAAAATACTCCGTAGACGTAAGTTCCTGGGTCCAGCCCAGCACACAGAAGGCTCCTAGCTCTCGCCTGCCCAGCGGAAATCATGGGCGGCCTTGAGGGCCAGCCAGGCTGCCAACTGGACAGGTGGCCTCACCTCCCTAAGCCTCCCAGTTACCCCACCTGGGCCATGGAGTTCATCCTCCCTATCTGGGTGAAAAGGGCACTTCCACCATACCTAGGCCCAGGGCCAGGCACCCAGCAGGCATGTGGGGAAGGCCAGTCCAGACCCCTGGGCCCCTGGTGCGCTGGGGTTCCTGCCTGTCTATAGCCTGGGGAGACCCCACCCTGCCTACGGAGGCTCTATGCTGCTCCCCACATTCTCAGGAATGCACTGGGAGGGGCGTCCTCTTCTGGCAGCTAGGACCCAGGCCCCCCCACCTCCCAGGACTCCCCAAAACTTACCCTGGGCCCTGGGAAGCCCTGCTCTCCTGGGGTGCCATTCCTCCCTGGGAGGCCCTGCAGAGGCACAAGGAGGGCTAAGCCCCCAGAACCACCCCATGCTGGGCCCACCCTGGGCCCCTAGCCCCACCCAGCTGGACTGTCCACTACTGTCCTGGGGAAGGAAGCAGCTTCCAGGGCAAGGGCACACTAGCCCGTCCACCATTCTCACAGGCAGGCAGGTCTGAGTTCAAACCCCGGCCCCCTGAGTGGCCAGGCCTGTGGACACTGAGCTCCAGTGAGTGTGCCTGACTGGTCCCGTGCAGCCAGCTCTGGAAGCCCCAGCCATCACCTGTGGGGTCCTGGAAACTTGGGGTGAGCAGGTCCTAGGACCTCTCAGGACCCACCCCATGGTTGGGTACCTGGCCTGGAGGGCCGCCTCCCCAAGGCCTGAGCAGAAGCCCCTGTGGCTCCTGCTGAGTAAGCTGGGCTGCCAGTACCCAGGACAGTGGCCGTCCAAGTGGCTGTGACCCACGGCAGCCCACGTCGCACCCTGGGCCACAGCACAGTCCTGGATCCCCGCTGCACCTGGGCCCCCTTCCTAACCCTGACACTGGAAAACACTGGATTCCATGCCAGAGGAGGGCTCAGGAGGGGGAGGCCCAGCGGCGGGAGGAAGGGGCTGGTCTAGGCCTCTGCCTCATGGCCCAGGGCAGGTGCAGCAGGAAGGCTCACGAAGTACATCGCAACTCTGCATCAGGACCGGGGTATGGACTGGGACGGGAGGGTCTGGGTTCCACATCCACCAGTGGCAGCACTACGTCAGCCAGGGGTCCCCGGTCACCCAGGGAGACACTGCTGGACTCACTGGGGGTCCTTGGGGCCCTGGGGGTCCAGGGGTCTCTGAGGAACAGGTACAGGCAGACACAAAGGCCGGGCAGGTCTCTCCATCCTTCTGGAAGAAGAGAGACTGCTCATTAGAGAGACCCTGGCTCTTGCCTGACGGTACAGCTGAGCTTAGCCAAGGACACCTGGGCCCCAGGGAAACTTCCAGACCTGCATCTGGAGGTGGGGGGAGGGTCGGGGGCACAAGCGCACGGGGCGGAGTAAGGTCTGGGCACAAGCACATGGGGAGAAGGCCTGGGCACAAGCGCATGGGGTGAAGGTCTGGGCACAAGCGCAGGGGCGAAGGTCTGGGCACAAGTGCACAGTGGGCACGTCCCTGGCTCAGGCCACAAGCCCCTGTATGTGCAGCCAGCCCTGGACCACCCTGCCAGGCTGTCCGCATGAGCCCCAGGATGGAAGGGCACCTTCTCCCTCCTTCGTTCCCCTGTCTGGGCCCCCAGTATGGCCAAGGCAAGCACCGGGTACACGGAGGGGTCACCAAGGACCTGGTGGCGCTGGGAGGGGCTCTGTGGCCTGGCCGTGGGCCCCCTCCTGACTCATCTGCACCTGGCTGGGCCCACAGAGGTGAACTTCCCAGCCTGCCCAGAGCCTCCAGTACTCTTCACCCAGCACGCCCCCTCAGGCTCACCCTCTGGCCCTGAGGCCACCTCCTCTGAAAGCCTTCCTTGATTTCTCCCAGCACAGTGAAAATCTGGACAGGCCAATGCACCCCCAGGCACTGTGATCTCAGTGGGCACTTGCCCTTTCTTCCTGGAACAGGGGCAAGGGATGGGCACACCGAGGCAGGGAGCTCACAGCACTGGGGAGAGGGACGGGCCTACCGAGGCTGGGAGCTCACAGCAGCGGTCCTCATCGGCCCAGGTGTCACTGCACACGATCTGCAGCCTCTGAAGCTGAAACTGCAGTGCAGGGGAGCTCAGTCCCGGAGCTCAGAGAGGCCGCTAGCCCCGTCAGCCAGGCCCAGCAGGGTGAGACCCCACTCACCGCGGCGGAGCTGCTCCGGGGGCCCCTGGCCTTGGCCAGCCTCCCCAGTGTGATGAAGCCGGCAGCAGGAGGGCTGCCCACCTCCCCGAGGGGCCGCTCAGCCACCTTCCGGCAGTCCACGTACAGCCTGACCTTGGAGCGGCCCACAGCCACATGCACCTGAAAGACAGCATGGGGGGTTCCCCACAGTCCAGGCAGGGCCAGCACCCACCTGGGCCCTCCAGCTAGGCCAGAGACGGGGAGCAAAGCCCATCACTAGGGCCTGGGGTCAGGGCTGATGTCACCTCAGGTTTGGGGGGACCCTGGGAGAACCCTCCTTGCTGGGCCTCGGCTTCCCCTCTGTAAAATGGACTGAACAGCGCCGGCTGCAGCAGCCTCCCCAGGGTCTGCAGGACCCAAAGACAGACTGGGCGGCTCTTCCACTCAGGTTAAGACGGAAGAGCCGAAGTAGGCACCAAGCCCCGGGCCAGTGTCACCCCGAGGAAAGTCCTTTCTAGAGAGAGGCATCGGCATCCGCAGGGCCCTGTGGGGGGCTGGGCTGACCCAGAGGTGGGGGAACGGGGGTAGCTTTCCAGGACCTTGTGGAAGCTCCCAAAGAAAATCTTCCTCACTTCCTGTGGGTCGAAGGTGGCCTCCTGCAAGGCAGCCCTGGGGTCTCGGTGGAAGTAGGTCAGGGACTTCCTCCCGGCTGCCGGGGAGGGGGCGGAGCAGGTGAGATGGGGCAGCGGCCAGCTGGGCCTAGACCTTGAGCAGGGCAGCCCCCATGACAGGTGCAGAGCAGCCCGAGGGTGTGAAGCTGGAGGTGACCCTCCGGGGGGCCCAAGGGCCTGGCCTGGAGGCTGGACTTCCTCCGAAGGCCTCCCAGGGTCTGGGGCCTCCCTGCCCCCACTCCTCCTGACTGCGGGGGATGGTGACTCAGGGCCCACATCACCGTCCAGGAGAACCCCGAGAACAGGCTGGAAGTCCTCGGCCGTCATCTGCCACAGTGCAAAGGCCTCACGGGGCGTTTCGGGAAGCAGGCGCACGAGGAAGACGATGGTGTGCTCTGGTGGGAGCGGGGCTGGGTGGATGTCACTGTGGGAGGTTGGCGGGGGAGACACATGAGCAGACCCCAGGGCGGCTAAGCCTGGCAGGACGAGCCGCTCACCCAGTCCCAGCTCCAGTCCCTCTGAGGGTCATGGTGGACCCCTGCACCTTCCCAGCTGCAGACTGAGCATGGAGGCCGTTGGCTCCCTGAGAGCCTGGACTGGTGGGACTACAGAGCTGAGAATCTATGAGGCCACCCTGGGGGTTCCCTGCCTCGGCTTCCCCATGAGTAACATGGGGTACAAGAAGGATAGAATCCCCTCCCACTGAATGCGGAGGGTTCAACAGAAGTGCTTGGAGGTGCCAGGGGCATCCACACAGCCCAGGGTCATCCCAGGTCACGTCCTAGATGACCCTAGCAAGGGCTCACCAAGACCAGTGCTCCCGGAGGTCCCTGTGAGAGTGAGGGTGTGCCGGCCCAGGACACCCCACAGGAGGGTCCCGGGGTCACAGAAAGGCAGCTCTGCTTCTGGGAGCAGCTCCCGAGACTCACACTCATTGGCACTACCCAGTGGGTCCTCACCAGTGCCCAGGTACCTGCCCCTGTGCAGGTACCTAAGTTTGTTTGTTTATTTGCTTGCTTGTTTGTAGAGATGGGGGTCTTGTTACATTGCCCAGGCAAGTTCCAACCTCCTGGACTGAAGCGATTCTCCTGACACAACCTCCCGAGTAGCTGGGACCACAGATGTGTCCCACCACACCCGGCTTTCACCTTTATCATCTAAAACATTTTAACTTAAAACATCACGCAGCGTATGTCCCAGTTCAGGGTCAGGATTGACAACCTCCCTGTAGATAAGGCAGGGTGGACATGAGTCAGGAATCATCTCACATCTCATGCAGAGCTGTTTGAAAGCCACGGCTTCCCATAAATCCAGCTACTGGCAGCTCCATCTCATCGCTGCAGGTGGGAGAAAGGGCTGCTCACAGAGAACAGCCTGGGGCTCTGGCATGTTGGATGAGTCCTCGGCCCATGCAGGAAAGCCATCCATACTTGGCTGAAAAGTATGCCAAGGGCTGGCCTCACTCCGCCTGAGGAGATTTTACTAATTTTAAAACGTGAGTTTCTGAAGTGCGAGTTATGGGATGAGTCTGCTGGTCGCTGATGTAGCTTTCAAAGGCCGGGGGCACTGTCCTGTCCCACAGCCTCCAGGGGTCTCTTACCCACATACACCGAAGGCCCTGGCATATGAGGTTCCAGCTCCAAGCCAACCCTGGCCCTCGAACCTGACCCGTCTTGTCAGCTGGGCGTCCTTGAAGAGCGTGAAGGTCGGGGCCTCACCAAAGGCAGAGGGCTCCATGGCCACGCCTCGGATGGAAGCATAAGCCTTCTCCACCAGACCGAAGGTCACCATCAGGTCAAACCCTGGGGGACACGGTGGGGGAGAGGGCACTGAGGGACCATCAGAGACGGCAGGGGAGGGAGGGAGAGGCAGGAATGGGGGTTCAAGAGGGACCCAGGGGCTGCAGCGTGGTGGGAGGGAGGGCTGACGGAGCGGGATGAGTGGGTGGAAGTCAGCACAGGGGCTGGGGTGGGCAGGGGTCTGCTTCAGGCCCTGGGCTGGGCACCGCCCCCCACCCCCTCCTCAAGGGAATCCAACACCCTGAGAGGGCCTCCCCCAGGCTGCCTTGGGAAATCACTGGGCCAAATGCCCAGCTTTGGAGACACAGAGATGGACAGGATGGAAGCCCAGCCCCCAACCAGGAGCCCCACCTCCCACCTCCACCTCCGCTCCCCAACAAGCACAGTGCTTGGTGTCCCCAGCCCTCCCAGGGTCACTCTTCCCTCCAAGAAAGACTCTGCCCATGAGTTCCCCTCTGCTGGCACACAGAGTGCCCGGCTCGCTCCATCCACACTGCCTGGGGGCCCGTGATGGCCCCATTCCCTGGCAAGCACCACCACGCAGAGCTGCAGGTGCCAACCACCAGCTGCAAAGCCCCCGCTCCATATCAGGCGCTAACTGGTACAAAGCGAAGGGTGAAATCCCATTCACACAGCTGCTTATCAGCACTGCCAGCAGGCCCGGGCAGGAGTCGGCAGGCTGCAGCCCCTTCCAAGGCCTGTTTCAAGTTAGCAGCCGCTGTCCCTACCATCCCCATCATCCCCACTGGCCCTGCCATCCCCACCATCCCACCATCCCACTGTCCCCACGGTCCCCACTGTCCCCACAGTCCCCACTGTCCCCACCGGCCCCGCAGTCTTGGCTTGTCTCCGCTGCAGGCTCACAGCACTCAGCACCTGCAGCGCCCCCACCCTCTGCACTGTCCCCTGCCTCGAGCCATCCACCTCTCTGGGGAGAGCCTCACTCTCAGCCCCTCTCTGGGGAGAGCCTCACTCTCAGGCAACTCAGATGAGGACCTGGGCTTGGCACCTCAACCCCTGGCTCAAGTCAACAGAGACCCTGGAATGGGGTCAGAAATGATCCAGGGCCCCCAGCATTGCCTTGGCTCTGCTGGGTCCTGGCCGTGACCGTGGATAAGCTTCAGTTCCCTCAGTGAGAAGCAGGAATAACCATCGCCCAACAAGCCATAGGGACATCCGTGGAGGCGCAAACCTGCCCAGATGTCCTGCAACCCTACCACTGTGAGGCCCCAGGTCACGACACCCTTGGCCCCCATGCCCAGGAAGAGCCCGAGAGACCAAGGGGGGCAGGTGGGGGAGGGAGCACAGGACCCACCTGGGAGGGAGCCGTCCGGGCGGAGGGCCGGGCAGGTTGCTGAGAGGAGATGGGGTTGGTGTGAGGGGGCAGCCTGGCCACCATGCCTGACTGACTGCTGGGGAGGGGCTGCTTCTTAGACGATGCCCCGGCCTGTGGTCCTCAGGTGGCACTGTGCTATGTCCCATCAGTCACCTATGCCCTGGCCTCAGGCCTGTGGTCCCAACACCTCCCAGATGAGGAAGGAAACAGGGATGGTCTTATCATCTCTGGGATCTCACTGTGTGAGCAGCTGCCCCACTGTGTCCAAGAAGACAGCCTGGTGGGGCCTGGGGCCGTACCAGGTGTCTCACGGGGTGTGTCACCCTTTGAGGGTACTGGTCACCCAGGGGTGCCCTGTACTGGCAGGGCCAGGGAGATGGGGCATGTGTGTCCTGGGGGCAGGGAGAGGCCTGGTGTGTGGGCATGCGTGGGGGCAAATGTGTCCTGGGGGTAGGGAGATAAGGGTGGGCATGCACATGTGTCCTGGGGGCAGGGAGATGCCTGGTGTGAGGGCGGGCCTGGGGGCACCTGTGTCCTGGGGGCAGGGAGATGCCTGGTGTGAGGGCGGGCCTGGGGGCACCTGTGTCCTGGGGGCAGGGACATGAGCTTGTTCCATGGCAGGTGCTCGGAAGACTTCACAGGCAGAGAAGACAGGAAGGAGCGCCCCTGACAGGAGAAGCCCCTCTGCCCTGACTGGGGCTGGAGCTGGGGCTACCTGGGTCTAGGGTCTTGGTGACCACTCACCCGTCTGGCCCGTGGCAGAGACAGCCTCACTCTTGCCTGCTGTGTAGACAGCTGACACGAGGACCCTGTACTTGGTGGCTGCCTGCAGGTCAGGGAGTGTCACGTGGTTCCTGGGTCCTGGCACGGAGACCTAGGGGAAGGAGGGTGCCTGGTCCCTGCCTCCTGGGCAACTCTGCTAGTCCATGAGGCTCCGCTGCCTCCCTCGGGTCCCACCATGGCAGAGCTGCCGCACTTTGCAGATGGCACAACCATGCCCCTTCTAGGAGGCCCCATGAGGGGTGGCAGCTTCAGGCTCTACCAACACTCACTGATTTCTCAGGTCCTGAGCCAGTGGCGGGCGCATAGGTGAGCTGGTATCGGAGCACGGGGCCATGAGGGGGTGTCCAGCTGACCTGCAGGCTGTCGGGGGTCTCTGAGGCCAGGGCCAGGTTGGAGGGGGGGCTCCTGCTCACCGTGGCTAATGGAGAGCATGGGCTGTGTGGGGCTCAGACCCATCCAGAAAGGACGTGCCGGCGGCCAGAGGACCAGCCACCCAGCCCCTATCCTGCTGTGTGCCCTGTCCCCACCACGCCAAGCCCCACCCCCACCCCTGCCACACCCCACCCACTCCCCACCCCACCCACTCCCCATCCCACCATGCCACACCCACACCACACCCACACACCACGCCCACTCCCCACCCCACCCCACCATGCCACACCCACACCACACCACACCCACGCCACACCACACCCAGACCACACTCCTGCCACACCATGCCCCTGCCAGGGCCTCCACCACACCCCCAACCAGGGCTGCTGCTTGGGCTGCCCTTCGAGACACTACATGGTTTGTACACTCAGCCACTGGGGAACACCTGTCCCCATGTGGACTCAAGGAAGCCCTTTGGACTCCAGTGACCAGGCCCAGTGGTCAGGGGCTCCGGGAGCCTGCCTGCCAGCAGTTCTGGGAGTCCTGGACCTGTGGAGCGGGTGAGTCAGGGTCCCCCTGGGCCATCTCTGCCCCACCCCACACCCAGCAGAGGGGAAGCGGAGGGGCACCTACAGGGGGCATAGTGGAGGGACACAGGGTCGCTGCGGGCCCCATCCCTGTAGTAGGCCAGGATGGTGACATTGTACTCCACGTGCCTCCCCAGGCCAGGCAGGACAGCTGAGCCAAGGTTCCCTGGGACAGAGATCTAGGGAGAGAAGAGCCCAGGGTCACGGGGTGCAGTGGGGTCCTCAGGCTGGGGGAGCCGGCGAACAGGCAGGTGCATAGACAGGCGGGCACACACAAGGCTCTGAGCCCCAGACGTGGGCCATGGGAGAGCCTCCGAGGGAGAAGCCCACGCCACCCACCTCGTGAGCCTTGCCCTCTCCCAGAGGCGTCCACTTGATCTGGTACACGAGCACGCCAGATGGAGCTGCAGCCACCCATGACAGCCGTACCTCGTCCCCTGGCAGCTCCGTCATGGACAGCTGGCTGGGGCTGGGTGCTTTCTCTGAAGGAAGTGGAGACAGAGGCTGGGGTCAGCCCCTGAGCCTGGGCGCCTCAGAGGAGGGGCAGCCACAACCAGGAAAACCCATCACACCCATCACACCTGTCCAGGTGCCCGTCCCCACCTGGCTCAGCCCTGGCCCAGAGCAGGCACCCAAAACACTTGATGCGAACTATCCAGCGGGGCAGAAGGACGCATGATCCCCACTGGACCCCAGCCCGACCTCGCCCCACTCACTGGTGGTGACCTGGCTGGTCAGCGTGGAGGAGCCACCCCTGGGGTAGAGGCAGGTGACGCGGACGGTGTAGGTGGTGGAGGAAGAGAGGGGCCCCAACGTGGCTGAGGTGGTGTTCCCAGGAGCCTCTGTCTGTAGTAATTAGGCGGGAGGCAGGTGCAGCAGGTGCCTGGAGCCCTTGCTGGGTAGAGACCCAGGCCCGGCACAGAACTGCAGGACGGCCTGCTGATTGGGGCCTCCCCCGCCTGGCCCCCCACGGCCCCCAGACCTGTATCTGCCTACAGCAGGTGCCTGTGGTGTGCCTCGTGGCGGCTGTGGTTTTAAGCGTGTTATTTGATGGCTGGCTCCACCCCATGCCTGCCAGACACGGCCCTGTGGTTCTGAGGCACTTGGGCCCCAGCGAGCTCTGCTCTCACCTGTCCCGAGTGTCCGCCCTCGCTGGAGACATAGGTGACCCTGATCAGGCGCACAGGCCTGGGGGTGCGCTCCCAGAACACTCGCACCGAGTCATGGCTCACATCCGAAAAGCCCAGGTGTCTCGGGGGGGCCAGGGTGGCTGCAGAGCACAGCAGAGCCTCAAGGCCAGCACACGGCCTCTGAGGACAGGACAGGGGTGGGCAGTGGCTGGGACTGAGGGGGCCTGAGGACCCCCATGCCATGGAAGGCTGAGGAACCTGATGAGGCATCTGCCCTGTGGGTAGGCAGCCGGGGTCGGGGCACTCACGAGTCCTGACATGGATGCCCCGGGCCTCACTGGCCTCCAGGCCCCACAGGCTCTGCACCAAGACCTCATAGTCCCTGCCTGGCTCCAGGCCGTCCAGCAGCACCTCAGGCCGCCCCACCTGCACCTGCAGAGGCATGACTGCAGACTCCCATCCAGGCCGGCCCCCACCCCCTCTGCCCCACTCCCCTGCCTCCCCACCCCCGGCCCAACTCACCTCTCTCTCCTCCTCCTCCCTCTTCGAGGAGGCAGGCAACAATTGTACCAGGTAGTGGGTGGCCCCCGCCGAGGGCTGCCAGGTGAGGCGGATGGTTCTGGGTGTCAGTGCGGCCAGGGTCAGTGCCCGGGGTGGAGGCAGAGGTGCTGGGGGCCGTGAGGGGCACTTTAGGAAGGGAGCCCACAAGGAGATCACACCACTCACAGGAGACCCTCACACCAGAGTGGTGGGGGCGTCCACCACGCAGTAGATATGTGGGATTCGAAGTAGCGCCTCTCAGGCCCCATCCTGGGCTGAGTTTGTGGCTCAAGCCCTGGGGATACAAGGCCACCTCGAAGGTTTGTATAAGGCCATCTGCCTTGAAGCCATGGCAGGAACGTGGCCTCCGGGGGTAAGAAGGGCCTCTGGAAACAGCCAGATACCAAAGGCCGCCCAGTTTGACTTCACCTGCATGAAATGTCTGGGACAGGCACATGCAGATACAGAAGCCGGGTCTGAGGTTGTAAGAGCTGGGCGGGGGCAGAGGGGAAGGAGCTTAGGGGTGCAGGGGTTACTCTGGTGGGTGAAAATGATCTCAGATGAGCTGTGGCTGTGGGCAACAGCTCTGAATATACCAAAGCCACTGGAACTGTGTACTTGAAATGGGTAGACAGTGGGATGTGTAAATTACATCTCAACAATGCTATTGCAGCAGAGCTCCTGGCAGTCCCGGGGGTCCAAGAACCCAGAGAGCTAAGCCACATGCTGGGGGCCAAGCAGCGGGGAACTCCATAAACAATGTGGACAGGAAGCAGACTGGGCTGTGGTTATGGTTGAGGTGTGACACAAATGGTCTAGCTGGTGTTCAGAAGAAAACCCTGAGGGTCAGAGGGGTCCAGTGACAGCCGTGGTCACACAGCAAGCTGGGGATGGTGCCAAGTGTGGGTAGTTAAGACCCAGGGCTGCTGGCTACGCTGCCCTGGGTGCCAGGCTCCAAGGGGCGGCTGAGAGCGGGGCCTCCCACCCAGAACCTGGACCCCCGGCTCCCACCTACCTGTGGTCGCCAAGCTCTGCAGGCCCTCGCCGACCCCGCCCTCGTAGACAGGGAGCACGGAGACCAGGTACTCTGTGTGTGAGGTCAGGTTGTGCAGCTCCACGGAGGTGGCCGGCCCTTCCACCACCACCTGAAACAGAGTGGGCAAGGACGGAGGCAGGAAGGGGGCACACCGGGGACAGGGGCAGGGCGGGAACTCTGAGCTGGGTGTGGGTGCGGCCAGGGCCCGCAGGGTGGGCTCTTCCCGAAGTCTGCTCTCCCGGTACCTACGAAAGTGGGGCCAGGCATGGCGTGGGCAACCCACTACAATCGATCAATCAATCGATCAATCAAAGGGAGAAGCTGCTCTGAGTCTGACCCTATCTCCTGTGCCCTGGAACATCCTCTGCTCACTCTCCTTAGCCTCCAGAGCGCACTCACCCCCAGGCTGCCTCCAGACGCAGCTCTGTCGTGAGTCCCTCAGCTGCCAGCCTCTCACCATCCCCTTATCGCCTGAACCCAGTCATTTGTGGGCCTTTATTCCTGGCCTCCCCTCAGCTCATCAGACCTCGCCACATGGAGGACCCGCTTGGGGAGCCCGCAGACTGGCCGTCTCACCTCTCTGGGGGTGCCACCTCTGGAGGCCTGCCACATGATCAGATACTTGAGGGGCAGCTGCGGGGCCGGAGTCCAGGACAGGCGGATGCTGGAGGAGGTCACCTGGGTCAGGACCAGGCTGGTAGGGGCAGGGAGGGTGTCCAGGGCCGGAGCCGCTGCTGGGGTGGTGGGGTGGGGGTGGGTGGTCAGCGCTGCGGGTGGCTGCATCCATGCTCCCACTGGTGGCCACTCATAGGAGGGACAGGATAGCTGTTCCCAGCCCCTCCGAAGGCAGATGTAAGGGGGCACTGTAGAACCCTCAGAGCCACAAGAACCAGACTCAAGTACCACACGGGAACCACAGCACCCCCTACCACCCAAGCGGCCAGGTGGGGCTGGCGGGGACCCCGCCTCTTACCTGGACCCCACCACAGGCCCCCACGCTGGAGCCTCTGGCAGATGAGGCGGCTGAGCAGGCCGGCCAGCGCGCCAAGCTGCGGGAAGCCCAGCACATTGTGGACAGTGATGTCCTGTGGCGGGGACGCCAGGAGCCTCAGTTCAGCCTCATCCGCGTTCTTCACACCTGCTCGTGAGGAAGGAGGCAAGTCGGCCTGCGCTGGGGTCACCCAACGGGGCCACCACAGTGGGGGCTGGGTCTCCATGGAGACTGGGCCAGAGGAGAAGAGGCCCACGGGCTACACTCCTCAGCCCACCGCCACGCGAGTGCTGGGCCAGGTGCTCCTGAGGGGTTGGGGACATCAAGGAAGGGTCTCTGCCCCCAGGACTCCTGCCTCAACATCTGCAGTTTCCTCCCCACAGGACGGAGTTGATTCTCCCATGAGTCCCAGGCCCTGGAGGGTGCCAGGAAGCTCCTCACCAGGGGACAGCAGGCGGGAGTTGCCAGGCACAGGGACAGTGACCAGCAGGGACAGCCCCGGCTCCTCAGTGAATGTCACACCAGGGAGGTTCAGGCCATGAGGGCTGGGGCGGGGGGTTCTACAGAAGGCAGCAAACAGCAGGAGATGGAAAAGGAGCAGCCAAGCTAACGCTGCCCACCTGCACCATTGCCGCTGAGTGCCCGGCAGTGCCCGGCTCTGCGTGCAGCCTGTGCCGTGGACGCAGAAGCTGAGCTCAGGACCAGGAGTCTAATGCCAGCTCCCAGCTGCCACCCTGAGCCCAATCTGGCTGTGAGAGTCCAGCCCAGGGCCAGGGGCCGCACGGTGCTCACCCACAGCGAAGACGATCACACCCAGGTCCTTGAGGATGCAGGCAGCGGTATGCACGTCATCCTGCGACTTGCCGTCCGTCACCAGAATCACCACCTTGGCCGCCTCTGGACGCACACCAGCTGCCGGCTGCAGGTTCTGTCCCAGCACGTGGGTCAGGGCAAGGCCTTGGGAGCAGTGGGAATAAAGTGACAGGTGGCTGCCAGTGTCCCCTCCAGGTGCTTGGCTGGCAGCAACCACACAGCAGAGACACTCCTCTCCTTCCTTGCAGGCTGCCAGGAGGCTGGGCGGTAGCTCGAGGGGGCAGGGAGAGCCTGCCTGTGGAGAGGCCCCCAGAGGAGCCCCAATCCCCTAGTCAGGCCCTATCTGCAGGTGAGCAGCCAGACGGGGCTGGTGTGGACCCAGCCGGAGTGTCGGTGGAACAGAGGAGCCGTGTGCTGCATATGGGCCCTTGCTTCCATTGAAGGTAAACAAGGGGGTAACCATGCCTGTTACATAGGTGCGGATGGGGCTGGATTTATACACAAGCTTTTGGGGTCTGGGGGGCTGCAGAAGGAGGTCTGCCCTCAGGATGGGGTGGGCGGCAGGCCTGGCCATACCTGTTCCCCTCTCAGGACTGGGGGCTGGGAACCTGTTCCCCCTTCAGGACTAGGGGCTGTAAACCTGTTCCCCCCTCAGGACTGGGGGCTGGGCCGTACCTGTGAATGTGTTCCCGCCCTTGTAGCGGAGGTGGCGCACGGCTGCCAGCACCTGCTCCTTGGTCCCAAGGGAGTTCAGGTCCCACTCGGTCTGGGCGTCCCCGCTGTACTGTGTCAGGCCTGGGGGCAGGGGTGTGACTCATCTCCCCAGGGAGACGCTGCTACAGAGCCAGGGCCTCCACATGGAGCGGCCCCCAAACACCTCACATGCAGCAGGCACCCTGCCCACCAAGGTGGGAGCCCTGGCTGCTGTGGGGACCCCCACAGGTCACAGCCCACCCCGGGCAGTCAGAGTTGTGGGGACCACACCAGGGAGGGGTAGGAGGTGGGCATCCAGAACCCACCTACTTGGACCTTATCCGGCCCGATTTCAAAGGGCGTGATGACACTGGCCAGGAAGTCCTTGACCTGCTGGAAGTGACTGTGGCCGATGCTCCAGGACCCGTCCACCAGGAAGACCATGTCAGCAGGCATGGGGGGCAGGCAGCGAAACTGGGGGGCAGCTGGGATGGCAGGGAGTGGGCAAGGTGCTGGGTGAGGCCCATCACTGGTCCGAGACCCCCAAACTGCTCCAGGCCTGGTCCCAACCCCCAGATCACCTTCCCTGGGGCTCCAGCCACAGGAGTGAGTCGGGCTGGGCCAGGTGTTGGGGAAAAGGACCACGAGATCCTTGGGCCCCAGCGGACTAGACAGCGCTGCACAGACCCCACTGCGAGGTCCGCCATGGCTAACGTGAGGCCACCAGACTAGACAGCCCCGCATGGACCCACTGTGAGGTCCGCCACGGCTAACGTGAGGCCCCTGGTGCTCAGGTGCCTCCATCCTCCACGACCCCGGTGGCCGCTGCACACAGCTGTCTGCACAGGAGCTACACACACAGACACCAAGCCAGATTGCCACTGGGTGCAAACCGGGCACAGAGGAGAAGGTGGGCACTGCAGATAGCCCCAGCAGAGCCACCGTGAGCACTGCCCTGGCGGTGCTGTGCAGACAAAGCCCTCACCACTGGTCTGGTGTTCCCCAGAGTTTTGCAGACAGTGCCTGGTAGGGTGTGTCCCAGAGCCAGGGCCAGACCCCTGGGGGATGGCTGAACAAGGCCAGCAGCCATCAGGGTGGGACCCCCCCGCTGGGCCGACAGAAGAGGCTCGGCTGGTCTGAGGCCTCACGGGTGGGGACATTTCCCTGGGGGAGCCCAAGTCCAGTGGAGACAGCAGGGCCCAGCACCCTGGGGGGAGGACAGCCCCAGACCAAAGGACCCTTCTAGAGGGGACGTGCCCAAGACTAAAGAGGGGGACACTTCCTTCAGTTCCAAGCCTGACAGGGGAGGCAGAATCCTGCCTCTGAGGACCCTAATCTGATGGAGGAGACAAAGTCAGGCCCTTCCAGCTCTGTGGGGAAGCGCAGCTCTGCCTGCAGGGGCCTCGTGGGTAGACACAGTGCACTGCCCCCATCTGTGCCCACCCCTTACTCGGCTTCTCTTCTGTCCTGGTGTGGTTCTGCCTCTCCCTCCAGGGCCCCCAGACCAGCTCTGCTCCTCCTGATCCCATTCCTGGGGGAGCATGACCCACTCCTTTCACCCCCCCCAGACCCAGGCTGGAGGTTCCCAGAGGGGCCAGAGGTCGTGGGACCGCCTGCTCCCAGTGGTCTGGCTTGAGTGAATCCAGGAGCGTGGCAGCCTTAGGTTAAAGCTGGAGAGTGTGTGGTCAGGCGCGAGGAAGAACTTCCTGGCCTCACGGTGAGAAACAGAGAAACCAAAGGTCACTCCTTCCTGGAGACTTACTCTCCCCCGACCCCAACCCACCAGGAGTGGGCAGATCCCGGCTTGGCTCGAAGGCAACTCGGGGCTCTGACGCCTGCTCAGGGCCTGGGCTCCCCACGAGGGAGGGGGTAGGCTCCGGGGTTCCAGAGCTGAGGCTCCTCCGGCTGCTCCTGTCCAGGGAGCTACTCTTCAGTTCCTCAACTGCAGGGAGAAGCAAGGGGCGGTCAGTGTGGGAGTGGAGGGTGTGCCGGGTAGCTGCAGACACACCCTATCAAGGGTGCATTTGTGGGTGCTGAGGGCCCAGACCCTGGGAGGCACAAAAAGGTGTCAGGGGCAAGGCAGCCTTGCTGGTGAGTCAGCCCAGAGCACTTCACACACACCCACCCCTGGGGCTGGAATGCAGCCTGGAGGAGGGTGGGACACTGGCCTGGTAGACAGTGGGACCCAGCCTGGAGGAGGGTGGGAGCTGGCCCGGAGGAGGGGGGTACCCAGCTGGCGGATGGCAGACTTACTCACAAACTCCCTCCGAGCCAGCAGGACGTGCCCGGAGCCAGTGAGCTCGAAGATCTGCAAGGTGTAACCCTTGGAGGGGCTCAGGCCCCCCACCGTGGCCTTGGGGGTCTTGGTGGTCAGTATCACCTCCTGTTCTGAGTCGCCTGGGTGGGGGTGGGGACAGCTTTAGAGGCCAAGGTGGGCACACATGTGTGTGTCTGTCATGCGGGGAGTGAAATTCTCGTGGCTCCTCCTCACCCTAGCTCCTCCTCTTGAGGCCAGAGAGAGAAACAGGGAGGGTCTGATGGAAGGGACGCAGGCTCCTGGTAATAAAGTGAGAGGGAATGGGTCTTGGTGGCAGTGAGAAGATGCACTTACTAAACCTGCCTAGAGGAATCTGTCACGTGGTGAGGTGAGAACCCATAAACCCTCAGAGACTGTCCAGGTATGAAGACGGGGCTGGCCAGGGAGGGGATGGTGACCCCAGGGGCCAGGACCAAGAAGGATGAGTCTGGGGCCAGGGCCCTGCCCCCTCCCACAGGCCCCACCCTATGCGTTGCACAGACCCACCAGCTGGTGTGACTCCATGATTCTAAAGTTTGGGCTGGATTTTCAAGTGTGAAAGCAAACAAATGATTTTAAAGGGGCTACTGTCATATTCTCAGAGGAAAGAACAAGAAGAAATGGCCCAAAGCAGAGCTCAGGAGGTGGGAGTTGAGCACTGGGTGATTCTCTGGATCTCAAATGCCAGGATGAACCAACTAAATATTCAATGATGGTCCTGAAACATTTTAAATTTGGGAGCTGCTCATGGCATTGGGTTACCTTTGAGCCTTTTCTTTAGAAAAACATACTGAAATATTTACGGACAGTGTCGTATCATGTCTGGGATTTGTTTTAAGATAATACAGAATGTAGAGGCGTCAGGGAGAGGGACGGAAAACAAGACTGGCCACACGCTGACAGCCACTGAAAGCTACGTTATGAAAACATGAGGCTTCATTACACAATGCTCTTTTCTTTTGCATGTGTTTAAATTTTTGCATTAAAAAATCAGCTCCAACAAAGACAAGAAAGCAAATAATAAAAATGTATAACAAGTATAACAAAAAGGAAGATTATACATATAAACCAAATATATCATTAATTTCATTAAATATAAATGGAAAAAATCTTTTAATAAAAAGACCGTCACACTGGACAAAAACAATACCAGTTATACCCAGCTTAGAGAACACATCTGAAGTGAAAGGTGAAAGGTTAGCAGTAAAAGAAGGAAAAAGATTCAACGCAAACACTACCTGGTGAAGCAACAGCAGCTCAGATGCAAGAAACAGGGATAGTGAAGAGCATTTCAGCAGGAAAAAGGTCCGCCCACCGGGAAGGCACAGTCACTCTACATGGGCACGCACCAACGACAGAGCCTCAACGCATAAAGCAGAGAGTGGTGGGCAGCCACAGGAAAGGCAGGTCTGCGAGCACAGGGAGATTTAAAATACTTTTGTCAGTAAGGGATAGGATGAGCAGACCCAAAACACACCAACTATGTAAAGTTCTGAACGATAAGGTAAAAAACTTAATTAGAAAGCTATCCCCCACAACGGCAAATTGTGTATATTTTCTTTTTTCTTTTTTTTTGAGATGGAGTTTCACTCTTGTTACCCAGGCTGGAGTGCAATGGTGCGATCTCGGCTCACCGAAACCTCTGCCTCGGGGGTTCAGGCAATTCTCCTGCCTCAGCCTCCTGAGTAGCTGGGACTACAGGCATGCACCACCATGCCCAGCTAATTTTTTGTCTTTTTAGTAGAGACGGGGTTGCACCATGTTGACCAGGATGGTCTCAATCTCTTGACCTTGTGATCCACCCGCCTCGGCCTCCCAAAGTGCTGGGATTACAGGCTTGAGCCACTGCGCCTGGCAAATTGTGTATATTTTCAAAGTCACATGGAACACTGACAAAAATTGATCACATGCCGGACCATAAAACGAGGTATGTTTTTATTTTTTCTTTGAGATAAAGTCTCACTCTGTCACCCAGGCTGGAGTTCAGTGGCAGGATGTCAGCTCAATGCAACCTCCACCCCCCAGGTTCAAGTGATTGTCCTGCCTCAGTCTCCCAAGTAGCTGGGATTACAGGCGCGCGCGCACCACCATGCCCGGCTAATTTTTGTATGTTTAGTAGAGATGGGTTTCACCATGTTGGTCAGGCTGGTTTCAAACTCCCAGCCTCAAGTGATCCGCCCACCTTGGCCTCCCAAATTGCTGGGATTACAGGTGTCAGCCACTGCACCCATGCTGGCTAATTTTTGTAGAGGTTTCTCCATGTTGCCCAGGCTGGTCTGGAACTCCTGGGCTCAAGAGATCCTCCTTCCTTGGACTCCCAAAGTGCTGGAATTACAGGCACGAGCCACCGCACCCAGCCAGCAAGGAATTTTCCAAAGGACTGGAAGCATATTGTACATTTCTGGTCATGATGCAATTAAGGAAGACATCCAAAACGAAAAGTAGGTAGAAAATCCCCCATGTTTCAAAACTAAGAAATCTACTTCTAAGTAGCTTATGGGTCAAATAAAAATGTCATGATAAAAATCAGTGGATATTTTTAACTGAATGATAATGAAAACTCTGCTTACAGGAAAATTTAATAGTTAACTTCAGATCTTATAAATGCAGGGCAGAAAATCAATGAACTTAAGCATCCATCTTAAGGAGTTAGAGCAGAAAGTTAAACACAAAGAGAGCAGAAAGAAATAGAAACAAGAAATTAATGCAATAAAAAACACATGTAAAATCAAGAACAGACCAACCAAGCCCAAATGTGTTTTATCAAAAGTCTAACAAGATAGATAAACTTCCCGACTGCCCGTTGAAAGCAGAGAGAAGATTCGGTCAATAACGGGAATGAAAAGGGCTGTAACTGGAGAGTCTATGGGATAATATGAACCACCCATTACACCAACTCATCAGGACATTTACAGAAAATGCAAATTCCTATTCAAAAACTAACTTACCGAAACTGACACAAAAAAAACTAAAAATCTGAGTAGTCCTATTTCTGTTAAGGAAATTGAATCTATTATTTCAAGTGTTCACATGCGTGTGCGTGTGCATGTGTGCACGCACACACACACACACACCCCGAAAGCCCAGAAGTCAGAGCCAGTGAATTCCAGCAAACATTTAAGGAAAAAAATACCACCACCATTACACAAACTCTCCCAGAAAATGGAGTAAGAAGAATCCTTCCCCAACTCATCTTAGGAGGTTTAAAACTGATACCAAACTTAAAAAGGAGTTTATAGGAAAGAGTAGTTATTAGCTAATATTCCTTCATGAATAAAAATCTTAGACAAAATACTTGCAAATCAATTTAATAATATATAAAAGGGGATAGGCCAGGTACAGTGGCTTACCCCAGAAATCCCAGCGCTTTGGGAGGCCAAGCTGGGGAAATTGTTTGAGGCCCGGAGACTGAGGCTGCAGTGAGCTATGACTATGCCACTGCACTTCGAAGTCCATCCTGGATGACAAAGGGAGACCCTGTCTCTTAAACATATGTATATAGCCAGGTGCAGTGGCACACACCTGTAATCCCAGCATTTTGGGAGGCTGAGGCGGGTAGATCATGAGGTCAGGAGTTCAAGACCAGTCTAACCAACATGTTGAAACACTGTCTCTACTAAAAATACAAGAATTAGCCAGGTGCAGTGGCGCGAGCCTGTAGTCCCAGCTACTCGGGAGGCTGAGGCAGCAGAATTGTTTGAACCCAGGAGGCAGAGTAGCAGTGAGCCAAGATCACGCCACCACACTCTAGCCCAGGTGACAGAGCAATACTCTGTCTCAAAATAAATAAATAAATGTACTTATTTATTTAATATATTAATAATATAAACATATAAAATATATTTAATATGTAAATGTTTAATATTGAATAAATCACTGTAATTTACTACATGTAAATTACATTAACCATATAAAGGAGAAAATAATTTCTCCTTTAAAGAAATAATTTGGAACAGATAATCCGCTCTCTCGATAAAAACTCAGCCTACATCGAACTGAACAGGATCTAGTGTGATCAGGCACATCTATCTGGAAAAGGCAAAACAGAAAACCCTTCCAGGGTTTTGGGGGACGGGGCTCAGGGCTGACCTTGGAGTCACAGAACTGTTCTGTGCTAGTGGTTACAGGACTGGATTCACTTGATAAAACTCACAGACCTATTCCCAAAAGCATGAATGTCTCTGCATGTAAATGACAGCCCAATAAAAACAAGGGACGCCACTGAGCACCCTCCAGAGTAGCTCAGGTCACGCTGCAGGCATTGGGTGCCAAGAGTGTCATGTGTCGGAGGCCGTCACACGCTGTTGGCGGGAGGACACGCTGGTAACAGCCACTGAGTCCACTGCGTCCATGTTTTCCGCTAGCGTTGAAAATGCGTAATGCTTTGACGCTCCCACTCCTGGGTTAACACCCAAGAGAACAGCATCCACATGGACACCAGAAACACAGCGAACCTGGACACGAGCCAGACGCCCATCGACAGCAGAACAAACCACACAACGGAATACTATACAGCAAAGAAAACGGACCGCAGAGACAGCACAGCGAACCTCACAAATGCGCACCAAAAAAACAGACACCGAGGAATGGCCACGTGTGATTCCACTCAGAGGAGGCTCCGAAACTGGCAGGCTAGTCCACACTGCCAGAAGTCACACAGGGGCCGTCCCGGAGCAGGACAGGGTGGATGCTGAGCAGGGCACTGGGGGCACCGGTATGGCCTGTTTCTACCCCTGGAGGCGTCTGTGATGGCCGTCACACTGTGCTGATTCACACAGTTGAGCATTTACCCCTGTGGCTCTTCCATCTGGGCTCTGAGAAGCTTTAAAATTAGCACCATTTTCAGGTTAGGGCCATTCCATGCTCTGGGAACCAGGTTACCTCAGCATCCTCAAGGCCCTGCTCCTGTAAACAAGGATTAGTGCATGGGGGGGAAGGGCAAGCACTTCTGGGGTTCGCTGTGTAGAGTCCAGGCTGTTCCAAATGCCCCTGAGGCACTGAGACTCGTTCTGAGGAGGGAGTCTTTCTTTAAAGAATATGGGCCGGTATGGCAATTCACACCTATAATCCCAGCCTGTGGGAGGCCAGGAGTGTGGATCATCTGAGACCAATTCAAGACCAGTCTGGGCAACGTGGTGAAACCCCTTCGCTACAAAAAAATACAGAAATTAGCCAGGAGTGGTGGCTCACACCTGTAGTCCCAGCTACTCGGGAGGCTGAGGTGGGAGGATCTCCTGAGCTCAGGAGATTGAGGCGGCAGTGAGCTGTGATCGCACCACGGCCCTCCAGCCTGGGCAACAGACTGAGACCCTGTCTTAAAAAAACAAAAAATTGACCAGGCACAGTGGCTCATACCTGTAATCCCAGGCTGAGACAGGCAGATCACAAGTTCAGGAGTTTGAGACCAGCCTAACCAACATAGTGAAACTCTGTCTCTACTAAAAATACAAAAAAAAAAAAAAAAAAAAAAAATTAGCCAGGCTACGTGGCGGACACCTGTAATCCTAGCTACTTGGGAGGCTGAGGCAGGAGAATTGCTTGAACCCAGGAGCTGGAAGTTGCAGTGAGCCGAGATTGTGCCACTGCACTCCAGCCTGGGCAACAATGTGAGACTCCATCTCAAAAAAAGAAAAATTAAAAGTGTGTCCTGAATGCCTTCTGCAGGGGCTGCATGCCAGGGACATATGGGCCCGTTCCCTGTTCCATGTCCTACGTGATGGGGGAAGGAATTTGGGGACAGCAGAGACCGAGGCCAGAGAGTTGCTGACACATGGGCTGGAGTGGGGACGCCATGGGCCTGAGCAGGCTTGGTGGCCACAGCCGCCACACCAATCGTCCTTAGCACGTCGTGGGGGAAGGGGGCCTGGGAGGGCACAGGTCCTCACCTGCCATGGGCTTCACTTGCACCAGGTAGCCAAGGCCGCTCCCCTCTGACTCTCTCCACTTCATCTGCAGCTGGTCCTCGGGAAGCACAGCCAGCCTCAGGCGGCCACTTGCTACAGAAACAGGATAGGGTGGTCAGGACCTCCCCTCCACCTAACCAATCATGGGGGTTCAGACGTCCTGCCCTCAGCACTTGGGAGGGATAGAGTCTTATCCCGGAGGATCCTGAAGGGACACAACCCACCCTGGGTGTCTGAGGGTCTCAGCCCCATGTGGGGAGACGAGACCTCTGCTGGGGGTGAGAAGAACCGGCCCTCCCAGGGGTCTGCAGTGACAGGGCCACCCTGATAACTTCAGTCACAGGGAGTCCAGTCCCACCCAGGGATGCCCCACCCTGGCTCTCCAGGGGTTCTCCCCACCAGGAGGAGGCTCAGGCTCACGTGTGGAGAGCAGCACCTGCCCCACTGGTGACCGGAGACCCTGAGCCAATGCAGGAGCTGCCAACCTGCCCGTGGCCTGAGCTGGGTCCCTGGGAGAAGGGGCCGTGTAGACACAGACCCCTCAGCTGCCAAGACCACTGCCAGGTGCACAGACCCCTCGGTGGGGAGTGTGGGTGCAGGACCCCACGCTGGAAGTATGTGTATCTCGGCACATGTGTGCATCCGTGTCTCCATGACAGGGCTGCCTCCTGTGGTGGGGGAAGGGGGTCCAGGCCATCTGAGAGGAGGAGGTGGTGGCAGGGGCCTGGCCAGCCTCCCAGGGCTCTGGAGAGGGTAGGTGCCCCCTGAAAGCTTCCGGGAGCTCAGTAGTAGGGACAGCTATTTTTGGAAACTGGGGACAGAGATGGGCTTCTTTGGGCTGCCCTCCAGAGAGCTGGGGCTCAGGGGGAAGGGCAGGGGCTGGGGGGCACCGGGGCAGACACAATGACCCATTGAGAGCGGACAACAGCTGGGCCGGGTCTCCGGATGGGGGCTTGCAAGTCAGGAATGCGTGGGGGATGAGGAGTGGCTCTGAAGGCCAGCTGTGAGCAGGCCCCTCCCGCCGCCGACCCTGCTTGTGAACAGCCTTCTGTTCCTCCACTCTGCCTGCCAATGTTGGGGAGCCCTTCCCCAGCTCCCTGCAGGGTGACAGCGGCTGGCGGGAAGGGCCTCAGCCAGAACCACGCTCCCCTCCTTGGATGGTGGCCACGCCTGGCCCGGGCCATCCTGGGAAGGGCTGCCCCATGTGTGGGCTCCCACCCTTCCTGGGCCAGACTCAGTGCCGCAGCCCACCTGGCTGTCTTCAGGCTCAATGGCCTGAAAGGCCCTTGTGAAGGTCGCCCCGTTGTCTGAATCCTGAACTGGACAGGGCAGCATATTCACCTTTGCCTGACCCAGGTTGTTTCTGTACAATCAGTTACTGATTTGGCTCAATTGACAGCAGAAGCTTCTTTCAAACTGTCCCGGGCTCTACACTAGACCTGGGCTCCTGGTCCCACCCGCCCCTCTGCAACGGCAGCGGCTGGCAGAGGCTCCTAGCCCTCCTGTCAGGCCCTGGTGGTCATCCCTTAAATGCACATTACTAGGAGTAGCTGCTACCTCCTGCCTCTCACCCCCGAGGAATAACCATCACTCAGTGGGAGCCCGAAACTTCCCAGGAGCTCGCGCGTTGGCCCAGCTGGGAACAAATTTCCAGTGTGGCCGAGGCCCTGGCGCCTACTCCACAGACACAGACGTCTGCCTTCCTAGAATCCCTTTAACCCACGTTTCTCATGGGAGGAACAGCTGCTCAGACACGTCGTCTTGCAAATCTTCTGCCACTTCCCTTTGCTGCCATGGGCGGCACCCCACACTCCCCAAAAACCCCAACCAGGAGCGGCCAGCCTGGTGTGGCCCTCTGCGGATGGGCTGTGCCGGCCCAGGAGTGCACACAGAGGAAGGGGTGCCGTGTGGAAACGCGGGCGCCACAGGCGGAGAAGCCAGAGGCGGGCTACCTGGATGCACGGGGGGAAGAGGTAGGCTGGACGGTGGCCCCGTCTTTGTGCTAGCTTCCCAGAGACTGCTCAGAAAAGGTGTTTGCAAAATGGCTCTCAGCCGAGCGGTAACATATCGGAGGACTGAAGCCTTCCCGATGCAAGGCTGAGAGTCCGTCCCGACCCCTTGCCTTTGCTGTAGGAGCTGCTCTGAGTTTAGCACATATTCAACTTAGGAGGCTGGCCAGGCGGAGTGTCCTTTGTGGGCACTGGTGGGGCAGGCAGGGCCTGGGGGCAAGCAGAGGCCTGCTGCCAGCGTCCTTACCGTGTCCTTGCTCTCGTCCGAGGATGGCACCCAGCCACAGCCAGAGGCAGAGGCCGAGGCATGTGGGGGCTCGGGAGCGCATGGTGCTTGGCCTGCAAAGGGGAAGAGGTCATGCCCTTCAGCTTTCCCTGTCTGTCCCCTCCCTGACCGCAAAGCCAGAGCTTCTCCATGTCCTCAAGAGCCAGGCAGGTGGTCCCCTCACTGAGCTCTGCCCCTCACATGTGGAGGGACTAGAGGCCTCCAGCCTGTTGTCTTGGGGACACCCCCAGCTGCCCAAAATTCAAGGACCCAAGGCTGAGCTGGGTGCTGCTGCCTCCCGATCCCGCCACCCTCATTTGCATCCACACTGGAAGTACACAGCTGGGGCTACTCTGAGTTGTCAGCAGGATCTCCAGCCCCAGCTGTCCCCATGCCCAGTGCAGGGGGTGGCTGGGACGGGCGCGTGGCCAGTCTCCTGCTCGTGGGGCTCCTTGGGGCTGTGGAGGGCTGAGGCCAACGTGTGAACTTTCCAGGCACTGTCTGATCGCTGAACACATATGGTGTCCCTGTGGGCCCAGCCTCATCCTCGAGGAAGAAGGGGCATCAGAGAGCTGTGGAGAGTGAGAGCTGCCCGGGAGGGGTGGGAGCAGGTGGGCCTGTGGGATGCCAGCCGGGGTGCAATGTGCGGATGCCATGCGCACGTGGCTCTGAGGTCGAGACAGGGAGGTGGCCAGGGCCACTGAGGGCCGTGTGGGCCACAAGGAGGGCCAGGGAAAACCCGGCCGGGCCTGCTCAAAGGGGCTGGGAGTGGAGGTTGGATCTGGGATGCTCTGAGGGGGCCTTGGAGGCCAGGGTGACCCAGTGACTGGTGCCCAGAGGTGGCATTGGAGACGTGGAGGCATGTCAGCTGCCAGGTCCAAGTTCTCTGCCTGCCACCGTGCCCAGGGCCAAAGCAGAAATGCCGTGGGCTCCCCTGCACTCCCACCCCCGCCACTGCATGCACCACACCCTCGCCCCATGCACCACCATCCGCCTTCAGGAGGCAGACAGTGCACTCCTGGCTGGGACCCTGCCCTCTGAGTGGAGCTGAAGGAATGACTCGCCTGCAGGCCTCAGCTCTGTGGCTGCAAGTGCTGACATCCCATACCGCAGGGTTCCAGGGTCCTGAGTGACCCAGGCCCTCCTGTCCCCCAACAGCTAACAGAGACCCCCCCAGCACACCCCTCACAATGTGTGACCCAAGTATCCCCACCAGGGAATCACCTGTCCCACAGGGGCAAAGCCTCCCCAATTGGGAAGATGCTGGCTGAAATCAGGGACTTCGTGCCCTCCCAGCTAGCAGCAGTCAGACATGCCCCAGACGATGGGGCAGGAGGCCCCTGTGGGCTGGGCTTCCAATTCCACCAGGGGTACCCGTGGCAGCCCAAGTGCCCCCAGCTCCCTGGACCCTCCCACCCCAGAAGCCTGGCTTGACTCAGTGGGACCCCTGCCTCGGCCACAGGCGTACATACAGCCTTGAGGGGAAGCTGCTCTCTGCTCGGTGTCCACCCTCCTCACGTCCCCATGCCCTGGAGGTTTCTGAGACACCAGAAGAGGGCCCTTGGTGAGAGCTCAGGCAGCCCCAGGCTCCCACTGCCTCAGCCCCTCCCAGCCGCACTCTGGGCTGGGTATCGTGGTCCTGTGGCTCATGGGGCGCTTGGCCTCTATCCTGACTTTTCTGAAAGTCAAAGCCACCCTCAGATCACAGGCTGAGTGGATCTCCTGCCGGCCCCTTATCTATCCAGCCTCAGGACGGCACGAAGTCACCCACCTCCTCCTCCTCCTGGGACACCGGCCCTCTCTCCTGGGGTGTGCTGGTCCCCTCTGGTCCTGCTGTGGCCACAGGAAGGCTGGAACTTATGAAAGGCCTCTCCTCCATGGACGTCACTGCCCGAGTCCACCCCCCCCGGGCCCACCCCTTTTCTCTCTTCCCCTCCTTTCCCCTCTACCCTTCCTGTGTGCTGCCCTGGGCGTCTCTCCAAGAATGGGGAGCACAGAGATCCCAGCATGAAGGGCCCCACTGCACAGCAGGGCAGGGTCCAATCAGTAAGGAGCAGGGCTTTACCCACCCAACACTTTCATTCCTCACTCCCAGGGGCCCATCCTGCAACAGGGAAGCCACACAGACAACAGGGCCACTGCATGCAGGTGCTGGACACTGTGGGGAGCAGGCTGCAGCTGTGCCCGGACCCCCACCCATGTGGTCCCCTTTCCCCTCCCGCAGTGTGCTCCCAGATCCCCATCCCCACCCCCACCCAGGACGTCGCTGCAATCTGCTTCCCTACCAGCCTTCCCTCTGCACAGGCCAGGCAAGCCCTGCCCTCAGTGAAGCCCTCCCAGAGCACCCTGAAGGCTCCCACCACCGAACAGTCTGCAGACTGGTCCCGGTCACCAGGGCTTCAGCAGGTGCCCAGGCCTGGAAAACAGGCCCCTGACCTGACCCAACCAGCCCAGCACCTGCCCATGGCCTGCCCCTGCCCCACCCCTGCTGCGACTCCAATTCTGGCCAGCCCAGCACCACAGCAAGCCCCGCCCAACACAGGCCCCACCTAGGCAGCCGGCTGTAAAGGGCCCACCTCTCCCCAGCACTGCACCCCTGGAGCCAGTGGGCAGCCCATGCTCTGCTGGGCACTCTCCAAAGGTGTTAACGTCCCTGGAGCAGCTGCTGCTGGGCCCCTAAGTCCCCTTCTCTGAGCTCAGCTCCCATCCCCTGGGGCTGGGGCATGACTGCCAGCTGCTCAAGGCTGTCTCTGCCCCAGGACTGCCTGGGAGGTTACAGACAGACCCTGGTGCAATGACTGGGAAACCTGTCCGAGATGCACAGCCTCCGGAGAAACTCACGGTCCACAGCTCAACGTGGATCTTGTCGAGGCATCTGCTTCCCTGACACACCCGAGCACACCCAAATGCCTGTCCCTGCCTTTGGTTTTAGGAACCCCAACCTAATACCAAGTATCACATGAGCACTTCACGGCCACCGGAGGCAGTCCTGAGTGACCCAGGCCCTCCTGCCCCCAACAACACAGCTAACGGAGATCCCCCCCAGCACACCCCTCACAGTGTGTGACCCAAGTATCCCCAACAGGGAATCACCTGACCCTCAGGGGCCCAGTCCCCAAGCCCCTACCTCCTCTGCACTCAGGACATCGAGACAGGGCCAGCCCCCCGTGGGCCTCCCGACCCTGGGTTGCCTGAGGCCTGAGGGAAATGAGCCTGCCTCTCCCCGGCCCCTGCCTGCTGCTCTGGTAAAAGAGGAACCACTTGCCCTGGCTCCAGGCTCAGCCTCCAGAGGCAGGAGGTGAGCTGGAGGTGCTCTGTGGGAGGTCAGCACTGGCACAGCGGCCACAGAGGAAGTGGTGACATCTGCTGAAGGCAAAGGCCCAGGCTGGAGGCTGATAGAGGAGAGGGTCCCACCTCTCTGGATCCCTGGGCCAGACTTGGACTCAGGATCCACCTCTTCAAGGCTACCTTTATTTACTTATTTATTTTTAGACAGTCTCATTATGTTGCCCAGGATGGAGTGCAATGGCACAATCACAGCTCACAACCGCCATCTCCCCAGTTCAAGCGATTCTCCTGCCTCAGCCTCCCGAGTAGCTGGGATTAAAGACGTCCGCCACCATACCTGGCTAATTTTTGTATTTTTAGTAGGGACGGGGTTTCATCATATTGGTCAGGCTGGTCTAGAACTCTGGACCTCAGGTGATCTGTCCACCTCAGCCTCCCAATGCTGGGATGGCACAGCCCATCCACCAACTGGCTGTCCCACGCAGCAGCCTGGGAGATGATGCCAGGTTGCCCCCTGCTCCCACCCATGCTCCCAACATGGCACTCTCCCCACAGGCCCTGGTAAAGCAGAGAAGCCCTCAGACCCACCACCCGGAGGCCCTACTCAGCCTGGATGTAGGGACTGGGAGGGGGGACTCCCAGGGAGCCAGCGGTGCCTGCAGTCCTAATGGCGGCCAGCAGAGGGCGCTCAGCCTGGCAGGTGGGCACGGGCGCAAGTGCAGCTCACAGGCTCCCGGGAACACAAGTGTGCACCCCCATCCCATACACACAAGCCAGCAACAAGCTCATCACAGACCCAGCGGTCAGGCACTCAGCATTCCCGGTGCACAGGGTGCGAGCTCCGTCAGCAAGAGCGGACCCGTCTGCCTTTTCACCCACCCCTGCTCCTGGACACCCAAGGCCTTCACAGTGCCCCTCAGACCATGAGGCTCAGGCTCAGGCAGGGCTGGGGAGCTGCCTGGATCACGAACAGAGGGGCTGGACGTAGCCTGGGCCGGCCATTTCCTCGCCTCACTGAGGCCCCAACCCCACAGGAACCCCCCCCCAAAGGAACCTCCCCCTTGCATGCTTGTGGCCAGGCACACATCACCCCTCTCCAGGTGGGGGACCCAGCCCGAGGTCCCAGAAGTGGGGACGTGGCCCCCCCCAGTGGCTTCCTGTGTAGCCTCCAGCCCCACCCAGAAGCCTCAGTGCTCTGACCCCAGACCCCCATCTGCCTGTGTTGGCTGGGTCAGAACAGAGCAGGGCCAGGCCCCATAGCCACCAGCCCCACCCAGCCCCCTCTGCCCACCAGCGATGGAGGCACACAGGGCAGGGCTTGGCCCCTGGGAGGCTTGAGGGAGACAGCAAGGCTGGTGGGTGTGATGAGCGGGTGGCCACAGGAAGCTGCACACTTACAGGAGTTTCTGGAAGGTCAGAAGCTGGCCTTGAGGGTCCACAGGGGTGAGGCCAATGTCGGGACAAGCAGCAGAGGCTGGCTCAAGAGGAGGGGCAAGTGGCAGGTACTCAGGGTGGTCAACCTGAATTCCTGGAGCCACAGTGGGATGGAGCTGCATGCTGGAGGCCGGGGGCCATACAACGCCACTGCCCATGCCCCCCACAAGCTGGCCAGAGACTGAGACCAAGCTTCAACCAAGAACAGACTCCAGGCCCACCTGGCCCAGGACCAGCCACTTCAGTCTTCCCTGTCTAGCTGGTCTGACCTCAGCCCGCCTGCCTTAAAGCGCTGCCCCAGAGCAAGATGACCCTCTGTGGGCCTCTCCTAGCCACAGCCACCCTCCCTGCCCCTGAACCGCATTATCAGATGGCACCTTGAGTTTCCAGGATCCGGGCTGAGATCCACCCCAGCATGGGGGATGCTGAATCTCTGGGAGGGGAAAGAACCCTTCTAGATCCAGGCCCAGGTACCATCCTCCACCACAGGAGCCACTGCCCACCTCCCCAGGCCAAGGGTCACTGGACCCACCGGAGTCTTGTTGGCCAGCCAAAGGCCCATGACCACTTCTCTGGCTGGGTCACCCAACTGCCTACTTGCCAGGTCTGGCTCAGATGGGGTGAAGCCAAGGACTCCCCAGGAAGGCTGGGTGCAGCAAGGGACCAGGAGAAATGAGGGAGCCCAGTGCTCCACCGCCGCTCCCTGGGGATCCCATGACCCTACTAACACCACACTGAAAGTGGCCCCTTGGGATGCACCCAGACATTCCTCGTGCTCCCATGTGCTTTATTGGAAAGCTGTCAAGTCTGTGCCTTCCACATGGGCCCTCACACAGCCAGGCGAGGCCCCAGCGCCCACAGGTCCTGGGACACCTGCCCACACCTGCAGAAGGGAAAGGCCCTCACCCTCTGTGGAGGTGTCTTGGCCACCACATCCCGTTCCGAAGGTGGCCCCAACCCCTCCCAACACTGACAGCACTTTCCATTAGAAGGGACTGTCACCCTGCCCCCAAGCAAGGCACCTTCCCAGGGGGTGGGGGGATAGAGTTTGGGTTCCAGGATGGAATGCACCCCTCCTCAGAGCACTCAGCCCACCAGGATCCAAGCAGCCCTTGGGGAAAATCGCAAGGCCACCCAAGTCTCAGCTCAGGAAAGACATTCCAAGACCTCATGCTCCGCTCTCCAAGACTGACTTCCTGTGACCTCTGTGTTGGCCACTTTGCCCTGAGGCCTCTCAGCACCCCAAGCCTCTGACCCCAGGTCCAACTATAGCAGGTGGCTGCTTTGGTGACCAAGTCTGTGGCAGCCAAAGGCACAGGCCCTCCAGGTTGGCTACCAAGGGGGTTGGTGCCCACAGGGAGGAGCGGGTGCCAGGAGGGCTCCCTGAAATCTAGGACCCATCCTGTTCTGCAGGTGGCCGACTCCCTGAGGTGGGACGTGCGCAGGGCTAAAGGGCCAGGCTGCTCCAGGAGCGCTGCGGATGGCGGCTGGAAAGTGGGGTGATCAGGGAGCATGGCTGAGGCCATAGTGAGGAGCATGGCGGCAGGGGAGAGCACCTCACACACTGCACGAGCTTCCAGCACATGCACAGCTGGCCAAGACAGAGGGTCACACACAGCAGATGAGAGAGACTGAGTCACATGCAGCGGCATGTCATCCAGTACTTGGGGAAGGTCAGCATGGGGTGGGCACCAGGCTGCAGGGCAGCCCCATCCAACAGGTTCAAGCCAGCCAGGCTCCAGGCAGCCAACCAGACTCAAATGACAGAGAAGCCAGAGGGGGGTGTCAGAGGGACATGAGCACAGCTGCATGCTGGGGGCTGACGAGAAGCTGGACCTTCTCCAGACCCAGGCACTGCACACAGGTGACTCTAGCTCAGCCCCTCCTACTGTCGCACCCCACTGCACCGGGGCTGAGGGCCCACCCGGCCCCCCGCACTCCTTTGTCTTAACAGGGCATTCCAGAATAGTCAAGTTTCAGCACTGAGAACAGCTCAGGCATGGCCGTTGGGAGGTGTGTCCAGTGAATGTGGCGGCTGGACGAGGCCGATGCAGGGAAGCCACTCGGGGTAACGACATGGGCCCAGGCAGGCGTGGACACAGGAGCAAGGGTGGTCAGTGGCAGTGTGAGCGCCAGTGTCTCCTTCAGCATTGCCATCTTTACCACTGCAGTCACTTTCTTCAAAGAAAGAACTAGAGCAAACCCAGAGTTAAACATCTCCACGAGACTCGGCTCCTTTCATCGCTGACAGCATGGCACGTGACTGGTCCCTGACCCTGGAGAAAATGTGTCAAACCAGCCACCGGAACACAGTTGTGAGGGTCCGTGCCGCAGCCCACCTCCCAGTAAGCCACACCGGGCCCCTGCTGGAGTCCAAGAATGCCCAAGGAGTGTGGGATGGGACAGCCCCCCGCAGGGGATGGAGAGCAAGCCGTCCCACGCACCGAGACCCCACGGTGGACAGGTGGCACGAACCCGTCTCCCCAGAGTCCTGCCTCCCAAGATGCTGTCCTCACACTGCGGTCACTGCTTCTTGGGTCAAAGGGAAGGAGAACGAGGGCAGAGTGCAAACACGAAGTCACCCAGAGCGCTGGGGACGGGGCTGCGGTGGCCCTACCAGTTCTGGTTGTCCCAGCCATCGTCGGCAGGCACAGCCGGCGGCACCGCCTTCTTGGCGCCCTCCCCACCCTCCCCACCATCACTGTTGCTGTTCCTGTTGGTGGAGGCTGAGCCCCACACCTCCCAGCTGTCGGAGCTCCTCCTCTCCGTGGAGGTGTCCGCGCAGGTCCAGCTGTCGCTGCTCGGGGACTTCCGGGCCTTGGCAGACTCAGTGCTCCCGAAGGTCTCCCAGAAGCTCTGGTCTATGGAGCTGTTCTGGAAGTGGTCTGGACCGCTGTTCTGGTAACTGTGGCCCTCAGAGGGGCTTTTAAAGAGACAGAAGGGGGACTGTGAATGTCACTCAGCCCACCACTCAGAATTCCGTGCCCCCAACAGCTCTGCACCTACAGTGACCACCAGGCCCTGTGGCGCCTTCCCAGGCCAGCATTCGGGGTCCACAGCAGCCCTGCCAGGCAGGAGCTGGTTCTCCCATTTTAGAGCAGAGGAAACTGTGCCAGGGACCTGGAGAACCAGGGCCCACTCTTTTACAGAAAATTTCTTTTTCTACCAGCTCTAACCTGCTATGTCATCAGTGGTTTAGTTAAGGGGGGAGGGGGAGGGGCACTGGCCTCGTGGGGACTCAGGCTCTCCCGAGAGATGCCCCCGCCGCATGTCGGCTCTGGACCAGGCCCTGCCCTCTGCCCTCAGTTGTAGTCATACCACTGAAACCCTATACACACACAGAGAGGGAAAGGACGTAGCAACTGTAGGGAAAGTTTGGGCCCATCTGGGGGCAGAGCATACGTGTTCACAAGGGCTGGCGTCTCAGTGGACAGCACAGGGCCAGGCCCTATGAGAGCCCTGTGGTTCCTGTTGGGGTCAGGGACTGAGAAGAGCAGCCAGCTTCTAGCAGGAATGCCTGGGGCACCCAGTGCCAAGGGCAGAGCTGGACACGGGGCCCAGGACAGGTCTTGGGGGTCCCAGCCCGGGGCCCAGGACAGGTCTTGGGGGTCCCAGCCCTACTGTCCCCTGGTCCCCTATCTGCTCCACCCACCCAGAGTCTGGGAGACAGAGGAATGGCAGAGCAGCGCCGACTCCTCCTCTGATCAGTGAGTAAGACTCTCCCTCCCACCCCAGCCTGAGGTGCCCAGCTCCTGCTCCAAAAAGCACACAGCCAGGGCAGGGACAGGTGAGACAGGCCCCCGAAGCGGCAGAGCACTAGAAGAGCTTTCCACGATGCCCCCCGCCCCCACACTGCCCAGCAAGGAAGCCGACCACCATCAAGAGAGGGGGTGGGACACAGGCTCGGGGGATGGGGACATGGTGTACCTGTCCAAGGGGCCTTCTGCTTTCCCTGAAAAAAAGGTGGTGACATCCCGCCATCCCTTACTGCTGACTCCCTGGACCTGGAAGGAGATGGGAAGAGAGGTTAGGAAGGCCCCATCACGGCAGAGGCACGCAAGCCAGTGCACACCGACTGGCTGAGAAGGCCCAGGTAAAATCCAGAAGCAAGGGGTGCCTGGTGCACTCATACAGACAGAGACGCATACGGACACTCCATAGTAGCGCGGGGTGCATGTGGGATGCGGCAGCAAGGACAGCCGCGTGCACAGACCTCAGGAGCACCTACACACACACAGCTGAGGGGGTAGAGCCTGCTCTTCCCTCCCCATCTGCAGAGTACCTCACGCCAGTAAACAGGACAAAACGCAGACCCCGACCGGCCCGCAGAGCAGCAGACGGAAGACGGCGAGGACGGCGCCGGCACTTACCGAGGAAAAGGCCAGCAGCAGCAAGGGAAGAGTGGAAGGGACAGTTAGTGGCTGGCTGGGTGGCAGCGGGCCAAGCTGTTTCCATATCCCTCTGGCTGTCAGGCCGGGCAGCCCTCCTTCCATCTCAGAGGATGGGGCCACTGCTGAGGTGGGCTGGGTCAGGCTGGGGCCTGCTCAGAGAGCCCCTGCTCTCGTGCCCAGGGCCATGGATATGGAAACTGGCTTCAGCCGTGCCTGCACCTCTGGCAGGCTCCCTACCTTGGATGCCAACTGAGAGACCCCACTGGACACATCATCAAAAATCTTTCCCTCCTTCACCTGCATGGGTTAAGATAGCGGCATTAGTGGGGGCGGAAGAGACTAAAGCCTAAAGCTTCTGAAATGCAGGGAGTCCCCAGGGTGAGGGCACCCGAAACAAGGGCGTGGACAGCTGTTGGGCTGAGCCCAGAAAGTTCTACACTGGCCCCAAAGTGATTCCAGCATCAAGAGACCACATCACTGCCAGGCCTGGCACCTGCAGAAGTGGCCCCCGCCAGGCACTGCTGACAAAGTGACCTGAGGACTGTCCATGCTGCCCCAGGTGTGTCCCCTGCGTGTCCCAGTCAGACCCGAGGATGGTCCATGCTTCCCCAGGTGGGTCCCCCACGTATCCCAGTCAGACCCGAGGACGGCGCGTGTCACTCCCACAACAGAGCCTCCTCTGTGCACAGCACTGGGGCCAGCTCTAGGGGGTGAGGCGGAGGAAAGGAAGGAGCTGGGGGCCTGTGAGGGAGGCCCTAGGCCAGGGGAAGAGATCAGCTGGAGGTTCCGAGAGGCACCCAGCCTGAGGAGGACACCTGTGCTAGAGACGTGGGGTGTGAGGTTGGGCCTGAGTGCCAGCTGCTGGACAAACCAACCCTGATGCCCCCAACACACCCACACCCCCAAGTGAAGGGCGCTGGGTACAAGCAGCACATCAACCCCTCGGAGCTGCCCTATTACCTTCTCCTGAGCAGGTTTGAGGACGTTCTCGTTCAGGCTATGGCCCAGCTCGGACGCCTGTAGGAAGGGAAGTCATGTGACCCTGATGGCAACTCCGCGGGGGAGACGGGTTGACAGCGGCAGCCCAGGCCAGCAAAGGGCAGCGGGAGCTTCGCCAGCAGGGGAAGGCAGCAGGGCACAAGCCCAGGAGGCAGGAAACAGGGCTTTGCACACAACCCCCAACATATAGTCAGCCTCCAACATATAGTCAGCGAAGACCGTGCCCCCAATTCTCGCAGAAGGGCCCTCAAGGACACAGGGAGCTCCCTCTGGGGGTCTCCCTCATGCGCCGCCATGCAGCCAGCGGGGCTGGGCCGGGGAGGACATGCCCCATGCACCTCAAGCAGAAGCAACAGCAGCTGTGGCCACCCCAGGCTGACCTGGGATGCCTCGTCTTCCTTCCCCCACAGGAAAGAAGGCAGGGAGGCTGGGGCCATGGAAAGAAGCTGCTGAGAAAGCTCAGCCCCTCCTGATCCCGAGTCACTTGGGCATGATGGCCACAGGGCCACCTGTGGATGTGGGGTGAGGCCTCCTCTCCCCAAGACCTCTGCGCAGGGAGAAGCGCAGATCAAAGACCATAGGGGAAGGACTCGTCACGGAGCAAAGATCCTCCTCTGCAATAAGTTCCAGGGAGGGCAGCACGGCCTGGAAACCCTGCTCAGCAGCAGCTTCATGCCCAGTGCCAGCTGCCCACACCCTCCCCCCCGCGTTCAGCGCCTCCTGGCGGCAAGCCTGGGTCAGGGTCTGTGTTTTTTGGAGACGAGGTCTCATTATTTTGCCCAGGCTGGAGTGCAGTGGTACTGGGGTGACAGGCACACACCAGCAAGCCTGACGCAGATCCTGGAGAGCCACGGCCCAAGGCCGGGAGAGGGTCTGCGCGTGCGCACATGTGAGGCAACACGAGACAGGGGCAGCACGCAGGAGGGGCGGCGGGAGCCAAGCGCATTCTCGGCGGAGACATAGACGCCATGCATAAGCAGATGCGGGCTTTACCGGCTCCGGCTGCTGCTTGTGACCCCAAAACTTTACCAGGCAGCAAGGCAACAGGTGAGGAGAGAGCAAGGTGAGGGTGGCATTAGTAACTCAGAGCACCTGCGAACCCGCCACGTGGTGCTGCATCGATAAGGCAGCACAGGGGGCGGGGGGGTGTCTCAGCAACATGACGGGGAGCCACCACTCCCTGCCCTGGACCTGACCACCACGCTCAGAAACTGCGTGACTGATTGCGGCTCAGGAGCCTGGGGGCCGTGGCAAAGCCCCTACAGCCGGGGGTGGCCACACAGAAGACTCCCTCAGAGAGAAAGGAGTGCTACAGGCCATGGGGGGACAGACGGGCACCTCGTGAGAATAGACTCCTCCCCCTGGGAGCAAGAGTGTGTCCTAAAAAAACACATACAGCAGTTTTGGCTTTCGTGGTGGGCCTCACGTGGCCACTGCCTCCTGGGTGACTCTGACCCTCAGGACAGCCAGACCGCAGCCCTGACCACCAAGTGGGGACTGTGGGGCCGCCACTCACATCCTAAAGAATACGGATATACAAAGGCCCAAGACCACACCACCTACAACCAGGGCATGTCCTGGCCAGGGCAAAGGGACGCTCCATGGCCCCCGAGTACAGACGCATCCTGGGTGCTGCCGGCACAGCACCACCCGCAACGCCCCTGCCGGCTGAGCAGCCACCGCCAGTGTAGGCCATCTGCCAAGCTGGGCAGTCCTGCTCCCAACAAGGTGCTCGGCCGCAAAGTGGCCACACACCAGCACCAGGTGCCAGTAACAGTGGAGAGTTTGGCCCCAAGGCCCTCAACAGGCCCATGAGGCAGCCACTCTGGCATGAAGAGGGGCCGAGTCAGGGAGCAACATGCTGGAAACACCCCTGCTATGCTGGGCCCTCAGCCCTGAGCACGCGGCCTGGGAAGAGGGAACCAGGCAGCTCTGGGCGCTGCACATGATGTCAGAGGCTCAGGATAGGGTGCAGAAGCTTCTCCTCTGTTACCTTCTGACTTGCTTGGGATCCAAATTTTGTAGCCTAAAACAGAAAACACAGACAGGGCTTGACAGTGTTAACACTGTAGCCTAAAATGAAACACACGGACGGAGCCAACAGCTTAACACCACCTGCCAAGCTTCCTTCCTCAGGGCCCACGGACTCTCAGTTCCAGGACTGTCTCCCAGTGGCCCCCAGGCTGCCAGCAGCTCTGAAGCGACCCTTAGCTCTGAGATGCCCAGGAGAGCTGCAGTGGGGCCTGGGTTAGCACAAATGCCAGCCTCTCCCTGGAGGGGGGCCAGCCCGGCATGCCACTGGTGTCAGGGCGCACAAGAGCAGTATAAGTCCGAGGAACAGCAGGGCCAGCCCCATCCTCTAGCCTTCAGAACACCTGCAGACGTGGCCCCAGGGTGGAGCCTGCTGGGACAGAGGGCAGGCTGGGGAAGCCACAGCAGTGCTTGTCAATGGGCTTCACCACCGCCCCAGCCCCATCTCCCCCAATGTGGGGGTGGCTCCTTGCCCAGCATGGTCCAGGCACAGCGACGCCCAGCACCTGAGTGACCTCTGCGCTCCATGGGAGGAGGAAAGGACGGACCATGACACTCTGGCTGGAAGGCACCTGGACTTCCCTAGCCTGCAGCCCTCCCCTGGAGGCGAGGAGATGGAGGCCCTGGGAACCAAAAGCAGCCACTTGGCAAATGGAGTAATGGGGCTATGGGAGCTGAAGCCTGGACACCTGGCCTGCTGTCCCTTCCAGGACCTGGGGAAGACACAGGACCAGAGTGGCCACAGAGACATCTGGCAGGTGCGCACTGTGACTTCCGCTCACAAGAGCCCCAACTGGGGTGCGGGATGCTTGTCTGGGCAGCTGCAGGCACCCAGTGCGATGCTCTATCCTGTTCCGGGCTACCCCCTTCTCCTTTCACACCACAGCCCAGCCCCCAGGGGCCTACGCCCCATCTTGGTTTCAGGCCTGCTCCTGGGTCCCTGCCTCGTGCTCCACTGTCTGCCCTAACAAAAGCCCCAAATCCTCCCCGAGTTTCAGGATGAGGAGCAGGCAGAAGGGAGAAAACACTATCAAAACAGGACAAGCCCCAGAGGCAGAAGCTCCAGGGACACGTGGTGCCTGAGAGCCGCCTTGCTGGGTGAGGGTGCAGTCCAGGGATCGACCAGGCTCACTCTCCCTCACTTTCATCGGGGGAGACCCCCCTGCCAGCAGCGGGTCTGATGCAGGAGCGGCTCCTGAACGGCCTGAGCTGCTGTGTTTTTGCAGAACCTCCGAGGCCCTGGCACTACCCCAGCTGGCACACATGGCACAGCCCCTGGTTAGAGCACCCTCAAGCCCTCTGTGTCTCACATCCCTTCTACAGCTCCCAGAACCCCAGCCCAGCAGCAGCCGGTGCCCCAGGGGCCCAGTGGTGTTGTGGGGACAGTGACTTACGCCCTCCTTGGCTGCTGAGGCAAACCTGCTGGCTCCAGTGGTGAAGCTGCTCCAGCCCTGAGTGCGGGGCGACAGAAAGTAGCCATGTCAGGACAGAGACCCAGGAACCTGACACCCGAGCCAATGCTCCCTCCTCCTTCCCCACCGAAACCAGTGGCCCCTCCTGCCGCCATGGCTGCCCTCTCCTACCTCCCTAGAGGAACAGAGGTGAGATGGGTGGGGTCATGACCGCTGTAACCTGCTCTCCATCTATGCTCAGAACTTCCTCCTAAGTCTCCCGAGAAAAACTAAAGCTATTTAGAAGAATAAACATCTCATTTAAATCACAACTCGTCCCCTCCCTCGTAAAGGAAATGCAAAGGGACCCTCACTTGAGCCATCACTAAGCTGAGCTGCCTTCCCCAGAAAGGAAAAGGCAGAAGGAAGAGTCACTAAAATGAAGCCCATGCCCAGGCTGAAAAAAATGCGCTTTTCTTCCCCAAAGATGCCGAATGACCGCAAGAAAAAGTGACCGTGCTGTCTGCGGCCGAGGCGCAGCCAGGCCCCCCGAGTGACCAGAAGCTCCACGCACTTGGGGGCTCCTTACAGATGAAGGCATTGATTTTAAACCTGCTTTTCTCAACATACTTTGAAGACATTGTCATATTATTATTAAAAAGCCCTTTCTGACCAGGTGTAGTGGCTCACACCTGTAATCCCAGAACTCTGGGAGGACAAGCTACTCAAGAGGCCAAGGAGGGAGGATGGCTTGAGCCCAGGGCTTCAAGGCTGCAGTGAGCTATGACTGTGTCACTGAACTCCAGCGCTGGCAACAGAGCAAGACCTGTCTCAAGGAAGAGAACCAGAAAACAAAGCAAGCCCTTCCCTGGCTCTCAGCTCAAGTTCCCAGGTAAGCGGCCCCGCAGCCAGACACTCACGTTGCTGGTATGACCCCAACAATGGACAACGATGCTGCAATGAACAAAAATCCTTTTCTTTTTTTCTGAGATGGAGTCTCACTCTGTCACCAGGCTGCAAGCGCAACCTCCACCTCCCAGGTTCAAGCAATTCTCCTGCCCTGCTTTCCCAAGTAGCTGGGCCAATTTTTCTATCTTTTTAGTAGAAATGGGGTTTTGCCATGTTGGCCGGCTGATCTCATCCTGACCTCAGGTAATCTACCACCTCAGCCTCCCAAAGTACTGGGATTACAGGCGTGAGCCACCATACCCTGCAAAAATCATTTTTTTACAGACGATAAAAATTTCCTTGGAAATGCAAGTCAAACAAAATGTATTTCTGTTACCGGAAAAATGCAACAAGCCCAGGCTGTCATACTTTGAATGTCTGACCTGGAGCTTCCAGGCATCCCCAGACCAGGAACGGCCCTGAGAGCAAAGGGGGGGCCACATCTACTCAGCCAAGCCCTCTCCATCCCCAAGGGTAGCAGCACCCAAGCGGCTTCCCAGTGCTGCCACAGAGCTCCCCCCACTCCCCCGAGAGCTCCCCCACAGAGCCGGCTTCCCACCGCACTCAGCACTCCCTACGCAGACAGCATGGCCGTACAGCTGCCATCAGTCCTTGCATTCTTAGGAAGAACATCAGCTGTTAGATTTGAACTATACCTAGTGATGGCTGGGTGTGGTGGCTCACACCTGTAATCCTAGCACTTTGGGAGGCCAAGGTAGACAGAACACCTGAACTCAGGAGTTCGAAATCAGCCTGGCCAACCTGTTGAAACCCTGCCCCTACTAAAAACACAAAAATTAGCTGGATGTGGTGGCATGCGCCTGTAATCCCAGCTACTTTGGAGGCTGAGGCAGGAGAATCTCTTGAACCCGGGAGGCGGCAGTTGCAGTGAGCCGAAATCACGCGACTGCAATCCAGCCTGGATGACAAAGTGAGATTCTACCTTAAAAAAAAAAAAAAGTAGTGACTGAATACCTTTGGGATCTGAAAAATTTAAGCCACATTTTTGCAAGAAAACATCACTGAAGGTAAGGAAGGCATTCTTAAATCAGAACAAGACAAAGAGGGTGTGTTTTCCAGGCCTGCCTCACTGCCCCCAACGGCCGCTGTGCCCTCAAGCTGGGTCTGCCCATGGGAGGCATGGTCTGCAGGCCCAAAAATCCTCACCGAGTACAGGGAAGACATGGCATTGTTGAGGAAGTCATCTTCTTTCTTTTGAGGTGGTGGTGTGTTCCCAAACCCCACATAGCGATTCCCTTGGGCCCTGAAAACAAAGTGGACAAGAGACTGAAGAGGCTGCATGAACCCAGCTCCCCATGAGGCTGAAGATGCTGTGTGAACCCGGCTCCCCATGAGGCTGAAGGCACCGGTGTGAACCCGGCTCCCCATGAGGCTGAAGAGGCCGGCGTGAACCCGGCTCCCCCAAAGGCGTGTGGCCCTGAACGGAGGTGAGGCTGGGCTCTGAGGATGTGCACACTGCCTTCTGAGGTTCCCCAGCAGCAGAGATGTGCTTTCTGTCCATTTAAAAAGACCCTCCTGCCACATCACCAGAGGGACCCCAGCAAGTTCTCAAACCCAGTAATAGAAGTACTGGAAAAAAGATCAAAACAGCTCTATAACAGTGCTGGGGACAGAAATTCACTGAGAGGTTGGGTGGATTCCAGGTAGAAAACGTGCTGTTCTTCTCCTAAGCGTCAGCTCTTCTCCACAGCGAGACCCCAGTTCATGCTGGCTGTGGCTGCTGCACTCGGACCCTGCACAGCACATGCATGGGTTCTGCACCCGCTGCACACGGGAGCCCCGAGGGGAGCAGCCCTGCCCAGCAAATGGAACCCTGTGGGCCTGGCCTGCCCGAGCCGCCCCCAGCTCTCAAGTCCTTACCCTTGATAGGAGCCTAGGTCATCATTCAGCCAGTCTTCAAAAGCCTTGTCCGAGGAGGCGATCACATTCTGTGGCTGGCCAGAGGCTCTAAACCAAGCATCAGAAGCGGGTGAGACCATGACTGGGTGGAGTCTGAGGTGACCCCAGCAGCACCCCGGAACCATGTGGCCTATGTTGGCAGTGCCTTCACATCACCCCAAGAGTACCTGAGGCCAAGATGGCCTCAAATTCTGTCTCAGTGGCTGCTGGGTTCAGGTGCTGAAACCCCAGCAATGCCAGCCTCATGGACATCACAAGAGGCCTCCCTCCACAGTGGGCTCTGTGCTCTCCCTGTCGGCGGGAGGCACTGGGGAGAGGCGGGGCAAGAGGGCTAAGGGCCCGGAATTGAGCTGGAGCTGCCCGAAGTACAATGCCTTCTGCCAGAAGCACCTGGACGTGGCGGGGGCCCAGCGCTCCAAGTAAGGTGGGGAGACCTCCCACTGCACAGTCACCCTGCCAGGGACACTCCCTGAAGCAGGACGTGGGATACATCCACGACAGGGGTCAGTTCAAGGGTGGCAGGGCCAGCGCCACAGACAATCTTGGGAAGGGGAGACAGCAGTGCTGTGAGAGATGGAGACATGAACTCCCACAGCGCCACAGCGCACATGACTGTGTGCATGTGTGCAAGATGTGTGGAGCCTGCCTGGGGCACTATTTGAGACAGCTTTACTGCTTGAAATTTTACCAAAAGCAAAATTTCGACTGTTTTGGCAATCGAAAAAAGCTGTTTTTCCCTCTGACTTCTGGGAACGAGCTGTCACAACAGCAAAGAAGTGGGGGATTCCGTGGGGGAACCCAAGGTATTAAGATCAGGGCCCAGCAGAAACTGCACTGGGGCCCTGAGAGAGGCCAGAGGAGCAGCTACCGGTGCACCGTGGACGGCAGTGTCCTGGGCTGAGGCGGGGTCCAGTTCTGGGCAGGTGACGACTCCAGAGACCACTCTCTGCCTTCGGCCAGAGCGGTCACCTAACAACAAGACACAAGGTGTCAGAGAGCTTTCTGCCTGGTGACGCCCGTGATCACCGTCCACTCTAGCACACAGCCCCCATGGCGCGCCTGGAACACCCAAACCCACAGCCTCCTCCCAGCCCCCCTCAATGCCCCTGATCAGGTGCACAGTCCAGATGTGGATATAGAGGCCAGGGCTCACTTTACAATCAACAACAGAGCTGGGGAGCTCCTGGCTGGTGCAGCTCCAACTTCAAACGCAGGGTCCCACCTATTTGGCTTCCATACTTCTTAGAAACACTGTGCCCAACGTGTCACAGAGCCAATAAGGGCCACAGTCCTTTTTCCCCTGGAGGCAGGGATGGTCTGTCTCCACCCCTGGTGATTACAAGCCATGTGCCTCCCATGCCCTGGTGCAGCGAGGATCATGACATTCTTGTCTGTCCTGGACTGTGTGTGCCTGGGGGTGTGCCAGAACCAGCAAAAGAACCAGCTCCAGAACCACTAAAGACCACGGTCCAGCTGCCACGACAGGGGAGCAGCCCCGTACCACGGGCGAGAGCGAGCCAGCTGCCCCTACCTTATCCCTGAAGAGGGCCGCGGCTCTGCTGTTGTACTTGTCCTGCAAGGACCAACAGGGATCGTAATCCTCTTGTGACTCCAGGAACTCTCGGAACTTAGCATTCCCGCCCACTTTCATCTTCTCAAGCTCAAGGTCCTTCCACTTGTCCATAGTAACGGAGCGCACAAAGCTGGGAACCAGAGGATGGAGCAAATCACTCAGCACCAAGGATACTCAGGGACGCCCCTCCACCCAGCAACATGCTGGCAAACTAGACACAGCAAGCAGCAGCAGAGGGGAGGCCAAGTGGCCAGCAGCTGGAACCCTGTGGGTAGCATCACCGGAGTGACACTGGCCACCCAGTGGGAGGCGGCCCCGAGCTTCCTTGGCGTCAGCACCTCCAGTGTCAGAACAGATGAGGGATGGCCCGCAGGCTCTCTGCAGAGCTGGAGCAGCAGGACACTGACCTGAGGTGTACCCCAAGACCACGGTGTCGCCCCGAGCACTCCAGGCAGATCCAGATGCCATAGGTCACACTGACCCACTGAGGATTGAATGCACCACACTCAAAACAAACCTGTAAAGGACCACAGGGACTCACCAGGTGGCTCAGGGCAGAGCCCAGGATGGGAGACCTGACAAGTGGCCCCAAGGAACAAGTGCAGACAAGAGCAATTGCAGATGAGCCCAACAGGGCTGCCCAGGGTGGCCAGAGGGCGTGGGTGGGTCCAGGTGTGAGAGGCAAGAGCCTCCCGTGTAATAAAACATTCAGACAGGAGGCAGACCTATCCTTAGGGTAACATGACCTGAGAAATGTGGACCAGTGCCCCCCGCCCCAACAGCCAGCAGTGATGAGTGCCAGAAATGGCCACCACTCTAAGAGCCGCCCACCCACGCCATCGGCCAGCATAAGCCACGCACGTCCAGAGCCACGCCAACAACCATCCACTCAAGGAGGGCCCCAGAACCACAGACTTAGAGCACAACTTCCCAGGACTCCCTGACCCTGACCACAGCATGGGGGGAGGCAGAAACTTACATTGTTCTCATCTTGCACCCTGATTTCTTTAAGAACCTTCCTGGTTCTTGGGCTGGCCATGATGCTGCAAAAGAGAAAAACAAGCACTTTAAACTTACACACAGGCTGCTCTAAAAAAAAGAAAATAGTGTCTGTCCAAAAACACCACACAGCAGAAAACCTGAGGGGCAGCTGTACTGAGCTGCTCAGAAGCCCCAGTCACAGGGCCGCTGGCTGCAGGGCGCCTTGGGGACCACTTTCCAAAGGACTCTGCTCCCCACACCCCAGGAGGCGCCCAGGCTGTGGCCAGGGTGATGATCGGGAAGATCATGTAATTAGTGGCGCCACTGTGCTTCTTCCCCACCAAGACTGCATCATTTATAAAAAGTCCTGTCTTCTGACAGTGAAATTCACAGTAAGGGGTAGTCTTTAAAAACACACACAGATGGGCTGCTAAATTCGATTTTCCTCCTAAAAGGTGACACACCACAGTTGGGCTGATCACAGTCAGGGAGCCCAGTGACTGCGCTCCGGCCTCCAGCTACATCCCCACTGCGGGGCAGAAGCAGTGCCCTTGCCCACAGTGTGGGAACAGCTGGCCTGCTGGGGGACCTGCAGGTGGGTCCTTCTGGGGCCATTCCGAGTCCTGGGGGGGGCAGCAGTGTGGCTGCAGCAGGACAGAGAGAGTGGCTTCGGACCATCAGCCCCGCCGCGGTGGCTCACAGGGACCCTAGTGGGATAGCAGCAACCAGGCTCGGGCTGAAGAGAAAACCTGCGGATGTCTCTGCAGCTCTCCTAACTACAAAGCACAACTTCCGCTGGTGGCCCATCCAATTCAGGGCCGGGAAAACCGATACAGCTGAGATTCAAAGCTGGAGGAAGGAGTGGAACCAACCCCAGTGTCCAACGAGAATGACCCAGTGGCCCCGAATACACCCCCAATGGGCAGGCTGCAGAGACAGTCCAGCCTGGAGGAAGCAGGCTTGCACCCCGCGCGCCCACGCCTCACTGCGCTGAGCCTCACCCACCTCTCAATAAGAACGGAGCTGTGTGCTGTTCCCTCTACCTCACTACACAGAGAACACACAGCGCTCTGTAAGCCACAGGAAACTACACGTGTGCACGGCTGCCCTTTCCAGCGCCAGCCCTTTCCTCCTCCACTGTATTTAAGAGGACTGTGTAGACCAGCTTTCCTACTCACGGTGTAGGTGGAAATTTATGTTGAGGTGAAGCTTAAAAAAAGAAAAAAAGAAAAATCTCTGTCCTATATTTCATTTCTCATCATAAGTATGCAGAAACAAGGTATTCACTGGGAGGGGGGAGTGTCCCAACTCTCCACACGGTCAAAGTTCCTGAATTCTGAAGCCCATGACTCCTAGTATTCACCAGCACCTACTTTAAACCCACTCAAAGTCAGGAAATAAATATGTTTTCTGCAGTTCATCAAAACAAAGCCAAAAGTTCACCCTGGGCTGACTTCTACTCCGTAATGCTCTGTGCCTGGTGTGAGAGCGCCCAGGAACCAGAGCATGAGGCAGGTCTGAAAGCTTACTCCCGACCGCATAGACTTGGATCCCAGCATGACTCATTCAGGCGAAACTGTCATCAAACTGAGCTTCCACCCGAACACAGCACTGAAGATGGAAAGGGGCTAAGCCAGGTTGGAGAGGTCCTGGCACCAAGGGTAGCGGGGCTGAGCTTATAAGGCCGTTGGGACACATTCTTCTCACGGCAGGCACACGCAGAAGCCGGCCCATGCAGAGGAGGTGAGCCGCCAGAGCAGGACGAGGCCGCTCTGGGTCTCCACACTCGCTCCTTCCCACAGCACCAGGCCTGCTCTCAGGGGCTCATGTATTGGCCAACAGACACGGGCACACAAAAGTCAGAACCATGAGACGCTCCTTCAATTTCTAACTGTAAAATACACAGGATACTCACAGGACTACTGCAGGGAGAAAATGTGCAAAAAATAAAGGACTTCCCTTGGATTTAAAAGTAACTCCTCTATGTGACTAATTTTGGGTATTCACGAGCCCCAGTTACCTGAAATGTTAAAGTTAATAACACAAAAACAAATACCTCCTAACCTTCAAAAGCCCAATATGGTTTACCTTGAAAAATAATCCAGGAACTCTTAACACCTGAACCAAGATGTAAAACTATCCCTCCTCCTGCAAGTGCACATAACTTCAGTAAACATCAAACCCAGCGAGGACACTTTGTATTAGTTCGGAAGCCACTGAGACTTCAAAACTCAGGATCCGTTAAGCTGGAACACTCGCAATAGGTGAGGTCAAAAGGGATGCTTAAGAACACTGCTCAAGCCCTAGGGCTGTGACACAGTGACAGGCAGAAATGCTGAGTCTGAAGCACCTAAGGACCCACGTCTAAGAACAGCAGCCCCTTCTCCTAAAGAACAGACAACTTCTCAACTCTGAGAGGGATGCGGCCCCAGAAAGGGATGCCTAAACAAAGCTAACAGCTTCGATGCCCTGGGTCACTTTAGAGCCAAACTTTGCTGTTAAAATTAACAGAGCGTGGCAGGAATATTAATCAGACCTGCAAAAAATGAGCAGAGTTACTTCTTAGAACTGGTGGCCTGTAATTAAGGCGTTTAAAAGAACAGACACGAAGCATAGTTCTTCCAAACCCACAGAAAGTGAAAACAGTTTTAAAAGCCCCTTCCTGGTTTCTTCTCTCTCCCTTAAGACAGGCAGCCACGTCAAAGGGTAAAGAGGAAACCACGCGAGCTGAGGCTGCCGTTTCTGACGACAGTGGGCTCACCAACACCCCACTTCTGATGACACCGGGCAGAACCCTCACTCCTTAAGGGGTGGAAGCCCAGGCCCAGTCCTGGGTCCTAAGGAGCTCGGGAAGAGGGGGTTGAAGGGGACAGGGCAGGGTCCTGCTCGCGCCCTAAGCGGGCAGGGATCCTCTGGACTCGCGTAACCGGTGGGGGATTCCAGATCCGGGGTGCGGGTGGAGGGCAGCTTCGGAGGGAAGAGGGCGCGGGGGACTCGGGGCGGCACCGGGGAGAGGCGGCTGCAGCGGGGCGTCCGCGCGAGGAGGACCAGCCGCCCAGCGCCGAACGGACCGGGGGACCGCGGAGTGGGCGCCGCCAAGCTCTGGGCAGCAGCCTCGGGGCTGAGCGGGGTCCGGGCGGGGGCGGCCGTGGGGGGGAGGTCTGCCCGCGAACGCCGGGGCCAACGCCGCGGGAGCCGGGGCCTCAGGCCGAGCCCGCGCCGCCAAGCCGCGCGCTTACCTGGCAGGAGGCGGACAGGGCCGCGGGGTCAGGCCAGAGCCGGGGTCGAGCCGCCGCACTGTAACGGGGACGCGCCCGGGCGCCCACAAGCCGCCACCAACTTCCGGCTACGTCACGCTCGCAAGGTCTCGCGGGAGCCGGCGGGGCGGGACTTCCGCCTCAGGCCCCAGCCTTCGAGGCGCGCAGCCGCCCGGTCGCCATAGAGACGCGCAGACGCGCCGTCCATCCCCTCCCTGGGCCCCGGAGCGCAGCTGGTAGCTGTGGCCGTGGGGGAGGCCAGGCGGGAGATGAGTCCGTGCGTCCGCGAAAGAAAGCTGGGGTGGTTCCGGGGTGGCGCGTTCACCGGGGCCGACAACGAGGGAGGGGCGAGTAGGGGCCTGGAGCGGGGGCTCTGGGGAGGGGGCAGCAGGGGAACGGGGGTAGGAGGACCAGGGGCAGCGGGCGACAGGCAGGGAGGCGAGGGCCACGGGCAGTGGGTAGCAGGGGACGGGGGACTGGCATGGGGGTGGGGGTGCGTCCTGGGGCCCGTGCTCCCGCACTTGGGTCTGAGTCTCCCACCAGCCGAGCCTTTGGGCCCTGGCGGGAGGCGGCGGCGTTGAAAGGACCGCGGTCCCCCGCCCCTGCCACGCAGATGCCCCAGGGCGCGGGTGTGCAGTGATGGGACCCGAGTCTGCATTAGGAAGGTGCAAAGCCGGAAAAGCGGTCACCCGTGGGAGGTTAATTGCAGGTAATTTTTTGTTTTGTTTTTGTGCTTTTCTGTGCATTTCACATATTTCTCCTTGATTTGGCTGACCTTTGAAATGATGGAGAATAAACATTTGTATTGTGGTATAAGCTGCAACACCGAAAAACGTACAGGTCAAGGAGTTTTGACAAATGCATATCCCCAGGTAACATCTACCCTGGTCAATTATAGATATTCCCAACAGAGGCAGCCACTCTTCTGATTCCAACATCTCCATGTCTTAGTTTTGCCTGTTCTGGAATATCACACAAATAGAGTCGTGCAAAATACACTTTGGTGGTGCTTCTTTCCCTTAACACGAGGTTCTGAGATTCAGCCACGTCGCACGCATCGTAACTGGTTCCTTTTTATTGCCAAGTAGCACGCCATGGAAAATACGTCACATTCCTTCATTCGTTCACACTTTGGACACTGGGGTCGTTTCTATGTTTTGGTTAGTATGAATAAAGCTGTCTTGAAAGGGCTTTTTGTAGCATATTTTTTCTTCCTCTTGAGTAATTACCTAGAAGTGAAATTTCTGGGTGTTGGATGTGTATGGAACGTTATTAAAACATGCTAAGTGGCCAGATGTGGTGGCTCACACCTGTGATCCCAACACTTTGGGAGGCTGAGGCAGGCGGGTCACCTGAGGTCAGGAGTTCAAGACCAGCCTGGACAACATGGCAAAACCCTGTCTACTAAAAATACAAAAATTAGCTGGGGGTAGTGGCACATGCCTATAATCCCAGCTTCTCAGGAGGCTGAAGCAAGATAATTGCTTGAACCCAGGAGTCAGAGGTTGCAGTGAGCCGAGATCGTATCCCTGCACTCCAGCCTGGGCCACAGAGCAAGACTGAAAGAAAAAGTGCTAAGCGTTTCACACTTCTGCAAGCCACATGTGAGGCCCAGCTACTCTGCGTCTCTCCGCACTTGGTATTGTCGGTCTTCTGATGGCGGCAGGTCTCGTGTTTACCAAATGGTGCCTCAGTGCCGTTTATTTGCCCTCAGGAGGGAGTGGCCACTTCCTGCATTAAGAGGCCACTGGCATGCACAGAAGCGGGAGGGCCACGGTGATGTGCACAGGCGCCAGCAGCATCTACTCAAGTGGCAACTGGAACAGTGTAGGTTTCGGCACCAGGCCTCGTGGTCAGGACTGTGCAGGTGCCATGAGTTTGGAGAGTGGGAGCCATGTGCTGGATTAGTCACCGTGGGCTGTCTGGAAGACGTGGACTATGAAGGTTGAAAAACTGATAAGGAGGAGAGGAAAAGGGGAGGCAGTCTTGGAAGGGCCACAGATGGAGCCAACATCTGACACTGGGTAACCAACCAGTGGAAGCTGAACCTCCAGTTTTCTGATTGTAAAGCAATTAAGTCAGAGTGCTGCCTCATCAACCAGGCCCGCCCGGACTTTGGGAGATCTGGAGCTACCTCCACCCCCAGAGCATGGGCCCAGTCCCCAGAGCTCCGATCACAGGTGTGGCCCTTCCAAGGACAGGGTAGCCTGCTGCCTCACAGCATCCACAGCAACCTCGCCTATCTCTGCAATCTCAAGGCTTGCAGTGACCAACTCACAGAGGGGCGGGGTCTGGCAGTGGAGTGGAGAATGGTACGGAACCTACACTGCAAAGGGGTGACATTCTTTGTCCCCATCTGAAATCTTTAATTTGTTTTTCTTTTAGAACTGCCAGCAGTCCATTAATTTTCAGTTATAGTAATGTGATCATCTCTGTGGTTTCCTCCCTGAGGCTCTTGAAGGTCTTGATGTGAATGAAACCAAATAGAATAATAAAAAACAGTGAAATGAGAACCTCCTAGTAAATGTCTGTGCCGAACTGGTGGCTGGTGGTGCCCACCTGGGCCACAGGCAGGTGAGAGGATTGAAGCTGCGAGCCAGGCAGGAGTCCAGGTCACCGGTGAAGTTGTGGGACCTGCAGCAAATTGCCGCCTTTCCCTGACTCAGGTCACCCACCTGTGAAACATAGTCTCCAATTTCCCTTTCATGCCAGAGGCCCACACTTGCCAAGCACTGGCCAGAATCACAGCCCTGGGCTTGATGAGGAAGAGCACATTTAAACCACAAAACCGTGCACACTTGCTGTGAACCCATTGTTCAGATGAGGAAACCAAGGCACAATACAATTCAATGATTATGTTAAAATGATATTAAGTGGTGGAGCAGAGGTTTACACCCAGAAGTCTGCAATGCCCTCTTGGGATAGACAGAAGAGGGTGTGTGGAGCCAGCTGTCCACTGGGCCAGGGCCGGGGCCAGGTGTGCCCTGTGATGGGGAGATATCAGTGTCAGTTCCAGATACGAGAACCACAGAGATTTCATTCTAAACACAAGGAACACAGAAGGTGGGCAGAGCCCTGTGGACAGGCTGACCGCTGTGAGGCCCACACAGGGTCCTCAGTATGCTCAGTCCTGGCTGAGGCCGAGGGGTGTAGTCTGCATTGGCCTGGCTGTTCTTACTGGTGGCATGGGGCCTGAGGAAGGATGGAGCCTAGCGTCGGCTCAGGAGGAGGGATGCTGGGCAGGATCCGGAGGTGTCTGGGGGGTTGCGATGGCTGTGGGGTAGTTGAGATGAGCCACACCAGCCCTTGCTGTCAAAGCTTCCTCTGCACCCAGGTGAGCTGAGCTCCCAGCCAGGGTGTGGCTGTGGCTGCAATCCCGAGGCCCCAGGGTGTTGCTCTGACAGCAGAGAGGCCAAGGTCCTCCTATGGATGGATGGAATGGCCAAGGGGAGACCGCAGGAGCCTGGGCCCACCTCATGTCAGGAAGCACCCTCTCCACTGACACTTATTGGCTCTCCTCTCCCGAGCTCCCCACTCCCTGAAGGTGAGTGCTGCCGGGAAGGCTTGGGGCCCAGCCAGGAGGTGGCTGCGGCAGGACTGGGGCATTGCTAAGCACTGGGAACCCAGGACGCATGGGCTCGGGGTTGCAGCTTTCTGCCGTCCCTCAATCGAGCTGGAAAGGGACATAGGCTGGGCCCCACCTGGCCGGAGGTGTGGAAGATGCAGAGACCTGACCAGCCATTCACCACCGCATTGGCTGTCACACGCTGACGCCTGCGGCCACCCACACAACTGAAGACTGAGGAGGCAGGTGGGCACCAGCCCCAGGACTGGGAATCCGGGAGGTCTCCACTTGGTTTCCGCCTGCTCCATGTGGGAGACTCAACTGAGACGGAGGAGAAAGTCTGCAGAACCGCAGGAGAGCACGGGCGATCATGCCAGGTGCATGGGGGCTGCTCTTTGGGGCCGGAGACACCACTCCAGCTTCCTGGGCTCACAGCAGCCCTTGGGGAAAGAGGCCCCACATGTGTGCACAGGAGCCAAGGGAGTCTTCCCGTTAAACAAGCGATGTGACTCTCCCGGGACAGGCCCACCCGCCCAGGACTCCGGCCTCTGGGAAAGGACCCCTGACAGGAAGGATGGGAGAGCCCTGGGGCTGGGTCTGCGGTCACCAGCAACAGGAGCCTGGAGGGAAGTCAGGAAAGGTAAGGCTGGTGGGCGCTGGGGGGCAGGCTCGGGAAGACAGCCAGTGGCTGGGAGGCTCACCTCCGGGACCTGTGGCCACGATCCTAGCTGCCCCCCGCCCCCTCAGCCAAGGGCTCACAGTCCCAGGGACAGTCTGACGGCTATGCTCCGGCCAAGCCCACTGTCTACCGCCAGCCCGAGGATGTGGTCGAGCACCTGAGGCTGTGCACACACAGCCTGCACGGCCATGCTGTCCTTTGAGGACAATCCGAGTGAGGGAGAGGCGGCACTGCCAAAGAAGCCAGGACCACTCCGGGACAGAGGCCTGGGAAGCTGACGCACCTCTGCTTCCCGGAATAAGAAGGCGGTGGGAAAACAGCATTTCTAACAAACAACAATTCCAAAATTCAGTGGGGACAGAGCGTGTGCCGTCAGGGCCGGAAGTGGGGGCGCTGCTCTGCAGGGAGCTGGCATCTGGGTGGGTCCCAAGTGTGGGAATCAAGTTCCGGGAGGGGACAACACTGCAGGGGACAACACGGGGGATGGGACCACCTGCATCCTGAGGGGCCAGGGAAGAAGAATCTCACCCAAGAAGTCTTGGCTGAAGCCAGCAGGATAGAACCTTCGGTAACTCCCAAGAAACCTCCGGGAAAACGCGCACCACAGGCAAAATGTCCTGGGCTGCCCCGAAGTCCAGCCCGGCTGATTCCCGAACTGGGAGCACACGCCTGCTGCACTGCTGGGCGAGACTTTCCGGTTGGGAGGGAGAAGCCGGGACTGCAGAGACCCGACCCAGGCCAGGCTCCGAGCCAGAGAGGGGCCTCTCTGTGTGTCTGCGGTAAACTGGAAACCACCCAGCACCCTTTTCTTTCAAAGGAAAAACACGGTCAGCAGCATTGCCTGTGGGTCCCATGACGGGTCAGGCCGTGCTCTCGATGGGGACACGGGACCCACAGGCGATTGGCCCATCTTTTTCCAGGAGTGTCTGATGCAGTTGAAATTTCTCCCACTTCCATCTGAAAGTATGGGGTGTGGGAGAGCAGCTTGAAGCCCCAGAGCCTCGTCCTCACCACTCCAGGGGTAGCGACTGAATGGTGGCCCCCAAATCTAGGCCTGGCACAGTGGCTCACACCTGCAACCCAGCACGCTGAGAGGCCAAGGCAGGAGAATTGCTGGAAGCCAGGAGTTTGCAAATGTGAGTAAGGATCTTGACATGAGAGCTGTTGGATCACACAGGGGTCCCTCAGCGCCATCACAAGCACGCTGGATCACACGGGGGGGGGCCCTCAGCGTCGTCGCAAGCACGCTGGATCACACAGGGGGGCCCTCAGCGCTGTCGCAAGCACGCTGGATCACATAGGGGGGCCTCAGCGTCGTCACAAGCACGCTGGATCACATGGGGGGCCCTCAGCGCCGTTGCAAGCATGCTGGATCACACGGGGGGCCCTCAGCCCCATCCCAAGCATAAAAAGTGACACGTGGAGAGGAGCAAGCCATGTGAAGGCAGAGGTGGAGACCGATGCAGCCGCAGGCCAGGGACGCCGGAAGTCACCGGAGATGGGACGGCAGGAAGGGCAGGAAGGACCCAACTGAAGAGCTTCAGAGGCTGCAACCCTGCCCACACCTCGATGTTAGACATGTGGCCTCCAGAACTGCGACAGAATAAATTTCCGTTGTTTAACCTGCTGGGTTATGGGAATTTGTTATGGTAGTCCCAGAAAATGAACACACCGGGTTTCCTGAGAAAGAAAAAAGAAGACACACAGTCCTGGCCTGAACAAGCTGTCACTGTCCTCAAGCTCCATGCCCTGGAGGCCTTTCCCAGTGTGCCAGTCCTCCCAGGGATGTATGGGCTCGGCCTGCTTTTGTGCTGACTGGGGCAGCTGTCCTTCTCTGTCACTATCCATCACTGCCCTCCACTGTCCATCACTGTCCCCAATGTCCATCACTGTCCTTCACAGTCCCCCACTGTCCATCACTGTCCCCAATGTCCATCACTGTCCCCGCTGTCCATAACTATCCTCTGCTGTCCATCACTGCCTTCACAGTCCCCCAGTGTCCATCACTGTCCCCCACTGTCCATCACAGTCCCCTACTGTCCATAACTGTCCTCTGCTGTCCATCACTGTCCTCTTCTATCACTGTCCTTTGCTGTCCATCACAGTCCCCCACTGTCCATCACTGCCCTTCACACCTCAGTAGGAGCATCAAGTTTTACTCTCTGGAAATTGGGGGATATTTTCCTGCCTGGCTGTTCCAGCTCTGCCCACAGTCCCCCAGGTGGGCAGGCAATGACGTTCTGGGCCCCATTCCCTAGCTTCGTAGGTGACAGTCCTGCTGGGGGCCTGGGGACAGCCCTCCTGTCCTCAGGTGTGACTATGCTCATTGCTGTTTCTTGCTGCCCTGAAGTCCGGCTCTGGCAAGGGTGGGGGCCTCCAACTAGGGTCTTCCCACAGGGGCTTCTGTGTAAGGATGGAGACACGGTGCCATTCCACTTTTAAAACTGCCACACTTAGGCTGAAGGAATTTGAGCAAGAATGAGAGCAGATACAGTGTCAGAGAAAACCTCACCACCTAGAGGTGGCCAGGACCCAACAACTGACCTGGGAAACGTCATAACTCTGTCATACATGAACCAGGTGTGGAAACGGACTGGCCTCCCAGGCTGCTCTGACATTCACTCGGCTGACACTGCACCTGGGTTGCCACGACTGGCTGCTGCCCTCAGTGTGCACCAGTGCAGGTGGGGCAGGCTGTGCGGGTGTGGGCTTTGTGTGGACCTGCTCTGTGAACCTCTCAAAGGGGCTGTCCAGAGCCCTTCACCAAGACCTGTAACTTCGGAGCAGGGGATGCCTGTGACAGCTCCTGGTTCTGTCGCTGGCACTCCTGTGAGGGGCACCAGGGCATCATCACATCCTCCATGAGTGAAGGCTTTTGCTTTCAAGAGGAAGAGCAGGCAGCCTGGAGGACAGAGCTGCAGGGCATGTGCATGTCCAGGCAGCCTCCCCAGGAGAGGCTGAAAGAGAAGGTCCATCCACACAGGCACGGCTGAGTGGCCCCCACCCAGGACCTCAGCAGCTGGCTCCAGGCCTCCCTCTGCTTACCAGGCACCTTTGTGAGTCATCTTCTAGGGGTCGTGTCCTTCATTCCACCAACCGCTCCAAGTGCCTGGAGAAAGCAGGGTTGTGGGGCAGGGAGGAGGGTGGTCCTGCTGTATTTAAAATCAATGTATTGTATAAATAAATGTTAATTTTTCACATCTTTTAAAAATTGGGATATAATTCCCACACCATAACAGTTATGCTTTTAGAATGTGGCACTCAGTGGTCTTCAGCATGTTCACAGAGCTACACGGCCATCACCACCCTCTCATTCCAGAATGTTCCTGTCTCCCCACCATGCAGCAAACATCCAGAGGCTTTCCACTCCCTCCACAGCCTTTGGGGTGGACACCACCCCCCACCATGAGCCTGGATTAGAGACATGGGGTGGTTTGGCTGAGCCGTGAGGCCGTGGTCAGCCTTGACCAGCCCAGACTGAAGAGCTCGCTGTCTGTGAACTGAGGATGGAGGCACGGTGGGGACGAGGCCACACCGGGAAGGCCAGGGGCCTTGGGTGCCAAGCCTTGTCCCTGGAGACCACGCCATGCCCAAGAGGCCCATCTGGAAGCTCCATGGGAGCAGGGTCTGGGCTACTTTCTGGAGGGGCCAGCCGGGGGTCTCAGGGTGATAAGCCACACTCCATCCCCCTGGTGTGGTGGGAGGACAGTGCAGGGGCTAGATCTGCCCAGCTGGCGAGTGTGGGCAGCAGCTCCCTTGCCCAGTCTATTCCTCAGGCTGTGAGGCTGGCAGTCCCAGCACCGCTGAGCGCCCCCATCAAACTCCAGGCTTCAGAGACCCTGGGTTCCAGGCCCAGAGCTGGCCCAGTCAGGGGCCCTCGCTTGAGGGGGGTCTGGTCGTGGAGAATTCCGGAGATCACAGAAAGAACAACTTCCCTTCGAGGGTCGTGAGGCACCCCCCAAGTGACCGCAGGACTCTGAGTGGGGGCCAGACGGGAAGCTCCAAGGCCCTCTGAGCTGATTCGGCCTCTGCCTTTCTGCCCCCGCCTCCCTCTGCCCACACCCCCACGCATACCCTCACGTGTGCACACGCAAGTGCCTTTGTGTGCAGACATGGGACACATGTATCCGTGTCCCAGGCAGGCCCTTTGGTCACCTGGAGTCACTGTTCTTATGTGATGGTGCCTGGCCTGTCAGAACTGGACATTTCCAGTCTTCCCCATGCTGGCAGATCACACTGCCTTGGAAGTGTCTGTGGCAGCCTCCCCTTCCCGTAGAGGACGCAGGGCACGTTCCCAAGACTCAGAGCACAGAGGGTGTGTGGACAGGCACTGGGGCCTCCTCAGAGGGTCCCGTGGGTATGGGTGAGGCCAGCCCCGAGGAGGTCTGCACCTGGGACTCTGGTGGCGGCTGGCACTTAGTTCTGCCAGGCACGAGTATGAGGCTATATGGTATCCAGCCGCGGAGGTGCTGGCGGCTCACAGACCAGGAGCCCAAGGCGCGGGGTGAGTGGAGCCCGGCGCTCGTGCACAGTGTGGGTTCCAGGTGCCTGAGCTGCCTCGGCTGCCTCCTGGACAGCGGTGTCCTGCCTCGGGGTCAGCTCCGGCCTGGTCTGCAGCTCCTCCCGCCCCCGAAGGCTGAGTCAGTGATTGAGTCTCCAACTCTCCCTACCCAGCAGCTGGAAACAGTGGAGCTTGGTCCCTGCCTGGGAGTACTCAGTCAGAGGGACAGGGAGGACAGGCGAGTCCCCCCGCACCCTGCCTCCTCGCTGACGTCTAGCAGTGGGAGAGTGGGGTCAGGGAGGGACCCCCCGCTGGCCCGCGTCAGGTCTTTGGCCACAGGGAGTCCCTGACCAGCCCTGACAGCAAATGCTCCTTTGGTTGGGGATTCTGGGGAGGCGGGTAGAGACCCTCAGTGTGATGGGAAGGCCTGCCCCATCCAGGCCAGGGCCCAGCCTCTCCAGGGGCTGGCGGGATGCTGGACAGAAGGCCCAAGCTCGCTTCCCAGGTGCAGGGAGCCACAGCAGCGCAGGTGAGTGGTTTCTGCCGGGCTGGCGTGGCCCGGACACCCTGGCTGGTTGGGAACCTTGGCTTGGCCCTGGGACTTTGGGGCCTTAACTGTTGTGAAATCAGGAAGATCCTGAGTCTTGTCAGCTGAGCAGGAGGCACGAGAGTTGAGTGGGTCCTAAAAGCACTGTCTGTTTGCCCCACAGGGACACATTTTCTGTGCTCCTATCACTCATGTGCTGGGGCCTCGGCATCTAGCACCCTTGTGAACCTGTGTCCATCCCTCCCACCATCTGACCCCGAGTGGTGTTTTCTGGGCCGTCTGCGTGTCTCTCCCCTAGTCCTACAACTCGTGATTTAGAACAGCCCCCGCGTTCCCATCCTCCAGATGAGGAAACCCGGGACAGAGGGGATGGCACCTACTCCAGGGAGGAACACTCGCTCAGGGATGGGAGGGGCCTGTCAGGGTTTTTGGGTTTTTTTCTGGAAGAGTCAAGCACACAGTCGGGGCTCAGCGCCTGCCTGGGGGTGGTGGAGCAGGGCTTAGGGCCTGGTGTTCCTCATCAAACAAATGTGTGGTGGGTGGGCATGGGGAGGAAGTGCCAGCTGGGTGCCTGGCTGGTGGGCTGGGGCCTCCCTCAAGTCTGCCCTTCATGGCGCCACCCTGCTCCTAGGTCACTGCCCTGGGAGGCAGGTGTTTGACTTCCTGGGGTAGCAGTGGGAACCCGTCCTGGCCAACCTCGCCATGGTCATCGTTCTCCTGACACCCTTCGGCACCATCCGGTACCGGCCGCACTATGCTGTGGTGGGTCCTGGGCCCAGCCCCTTCATGAGCAAGTGGGTTGGGGTGACCAGGATGGCAGCTCCAGTGGCACCTTTCACCGTCCTGACCTGTTTTCCTGGAAGCCACTGAACACCCCACAAATGCCAACCCCAACCCCTGGGTTCAGACCTCTTTGCTACCTGGACATCTAGGGTTCTGGTTCGAACAGAGGGGCTTCTCCGAGGCTTTGAGGAGCAGCTGCATGTACGGGGGAGCCCCAGGCCCTGAACGGCTTCACTAACTCATCCCCTTGGTAGCCAGGGATGTGGGTGCTGCCATCATGCCCGCTTTACAGAAGGGAAAATGGCACAGAGTCACCACCCCGAGCCCAGGGTGGGGCTTGGACCCTGGCAAACCCTGCCCATGCTGTCCTTGCTGTGGCCTCTGGAGAAGCTGAAAGAATGTTCAGAAAAGTGTCTCTGCCCAGTCAGTGTTTTCCTTCCATGCAGAACCAGATCACCGGTCTGGACCAGTGTTTTGCAGCCACCTTTTCCCGCAGAGAGCAGGAGGTAAACCCTGTAGGTGCCGCGGCCGCAGGCACACAAATGCGTGCGGCTGTGTCTGCAAAACTTTATTTACAAAAGCCGCTGTTGGCTCTTTGGGGCACTCTCCTGGGATGGTTTTTGGGGTGCTCTGCAGCGGAGGTCTGCCCTGCTCCTGTGCAGTGTCTGCCGGTAAGGCCAGGACAGGCTAAGCAGCTCAGCCGGGAGGCTGTGTCCCTACGCTGACCCGTGCTGGTGCTCCCTCCAGCTGGCTGTCCCCCAACCTCATTCCAGGGGCACCCACGTGGGAAAGCTGTGAGACCTGCCCTGAGTGGGCTCGGGCAACCCCTTTCTCCACGCTGTGCATCTGGAGAGCAGAGGCCACCCTTCCTGTGTAATCAGACCTTCCCCCTCGCCCAACACAGTATGGCAGCTCCACCCTCCCCTCTCTCAACACACAGTGTGGCAGCCCTGCCCTCCCCTCTCTCAACACACAGTGTGGCAGTCCCGCCCTCCCCGCTCCTGGCATGCAGTGTGGCAGCCGTCTGGGTCACCTGGAACATCTTCCTCATCTGCTTCATCACCCGAGAGACAGGTGAGTGCAGGTGGGAAGGCAGTGCAGGGTACTTCCTGGGGTCCTGACCAGGCTCCACCTAACACCCCCTGTGTCTGTTGTGGGAGCCAGGGGTTCAGTCTGTGCGTGGCTCTGTCCCCAGTACCCAGAACAGCCCTAGTGGGTAGTTGCTGATTCAGTAAAGGTCTGGGAGAAACCAGTGGTTTGATTGGTGAATGAAGGTGTCTGTGGGTGTTGGCAGGTGAGGGGGCTTCAGCTGGGGGAGAGGGGCCTCAGAGCAGAGACTAGCCCTGGCAGAGATGTGCAGGCGAACGGACACCACCCTCCTGAGGCCACGTGGGGTTCTTGGTCCCGGCCGGCGAAACCCTCCAGGCTGGTAAACCCTGGTGCCTCCTGCACTGCAGGAAACTGAGGAAATGGGGGCTGGGGGGTCATCACGGAGCCCACCCAGACCCTGACCCTGACCCTGACAGGGGATGTTTCAGGCACTTTCCTTGCAGCTCAGAGGTTGGTCCTAAAGCCGAGGAGGGGTGGAGTTTGGTCTCCCCTGGGGGCTCTCTGCTCTGGCTGGTGTGACACAGGTGGGCACTAGGGCAGGTGCCCACCTGGGCAGACAGGCCCCCGCTTCCTAGAGCCACACATTTGACCTGTGTCTGACTCAGGACAGTCTCCTGGGTTGCAGCTCAGGAAACTGTCCTGAGTCAGACACAGGTCAAATGGCAGCTTTAGCCAGAGACACGAGGAAGGGGCCTAGTGCACCTGAGAGCAGTCCTGGGGTCTGAGCAGGGAGGCCTTCCTGGAGGAGGAGGTGTTCGGGTCGAGAGCAGGCACAGGAGGGGCTGGGAGGGCCTTGGTATTCCTTCGCCACCAAGGATGGAGCCCAGGGGGGCAGAGTGCAGGAAGGCGGAGGACAGGACCTCTGGCCTCTGTGGTGGTGTCCCCGCAGGCTGCAGTGGGTGAGGCCGGCCACCTCCCCGTGTGCTAACCGGCCCTGTTCCTCACCTTAGGACAGCGAGCTACTGACCTTCAGCCTCTCCCAGCATCGCTCCTGGTGGCGTGAGCACTGGCTGGGCTATCTGCACGAGAAGCAGCTGGCTGCTGACCTTGGGGGCCCCCCATGGCCAGGCCCTGGTGTCGGGGGCCGACTGTGCCTGGAGCCCAGCTATGTGGAAGTCCTGCACAGTGGCCTGCAGACCCTGATCACGGCGAGCGTCAGGGAGGGGGCCCCAGGTGGGGATGGATTGATGGACTCATCTCCCTGGGGTGGGGCCAGCTGACCAGGCCTCAGGCCTGTCTCTGCCAGGGCAGGATCCCCTTCCTCATCCCCCACCCTCGTGGGAGAGGTTAAGGCGTCATGGGTAGGCTCCCACATGAGCTTGCGCCGCTGGCACCTCAGTGCCTCCCTCTGCAAACCACCTCCCCCAAGCGGGGCTGGCCCAGGCCCTTTCTCAGCTTGAGCAAGGTGTTTGCTGTGGGAAGTGGGAGGGACTCAGATCAGGCCGTGGGCTTTGACGGCCCCCAGGAAGAGGGGCACACATCTTTCCAACAAACCCATCCATGCGTGTCCTGCCTGCTCCCTCAGCTGCCCCACTCCCATGCCAGTCACAGGAAGTGGACAGAGCCTGAGTCTGAGCTGGCAAGAAGCCCCTCAAACTTGCCCGGAACCGTGGCGTGTGCCTTCAGCAAGGCTGGTGCCACACAACCCACATCCAACCTGGCAGGGGTTCTCTCACTCCGGCTGGAGCTGAGGCGTGGCTGTTGCCCATGAGAGAACGGGGCTCTGCCATCCTCCCTGGCCCTACTCGGGTCAGTGGAGAACAGCGGCCACAAGGCTGCTCCTGGTCTAGCCACACAGTCACGTCCCCGCTGTGCTGCCACAGTCAGCCTAGCAACCTCCCTGTGCCTCAGCTCCTGCTCTGTAAAATGCAGATGGTGCCTTCCTCGAGGAGTTCAGAAGGAGGAGGCAAAAGCTGGGGCAGGTATGTAGAACGTGCTCAGTCTGCCTTTGGCCCAGGAGCTCCTGGGGCAGGGTCAAGGTGACTGCAGCGTGGCTGGTGCCGTTGCTGGAGGATCTTCCGGCCCATCTCGAGGCTCCCCGACTTTCCCTGTGCACACCCAGGTGGACATGGGGCTTCTAGGAGCGAGGCTCCAGCAGCTGGCAGTGGAAACTCAATTCCAAATCCAAGGAGCCTGTGGCATGAGAACACACGACGGTTCCGGTGGCCCCATGAGAACACACGATGACGCTGCTGGCCCCGTGTTGACACTGGACAGTGCGGGTGACCCCATGAGGACACTCGATGGTGCAGATGGCCTCGTGAGCTCCCAGGACTCCTTCCTGGGCTCTGCTCTGGGTCCCACAGGAAATCAGGCCAGGGAGGTGCTGCCCCATAGCAAGGGCACAGAGGCACCCTGCCAGCTAGAGTCGGCACCTGTGTCTCCCACCACCTGACTGAGCCACTCAGTCAGGTACAGAGGGGGCCCAATTGCCCCCAAAATGTGTGGAACCCAGGCGCCTGCCTCTGGAGGAGAAAGAGCCAATTTCCCAAGGATGCAAATCAAAGCTTCCGAGATTAGGTTTGTGAGAAGGAACAGAAAGGAAACTAGAGTGTAAGTGAAGATTCCCTCGGAGGGGCCTGGCATGCTCCGTGGGAGCGCAGGCTGGAGGAGTGAGCGCTCCCATGGCTGGGGAGACGGGGCCTCCTGTTGGCTTTCATCCTGACTCCCAGGGATGCAAATTTCTTTAATAGGATGTGGTTTCTAAATTCCAGACAGCTAGTCCTCCCTAGGAGCCCAGCCCCCTGCTTGCTTTGGAGGGCCTGGGAGAGCCTGGCGGCTTGGTTGGCCCCTGCCCAGCTGTGCTGGGGAGGGAAATGGTGGCAGCGAGAGCACTCTGGGGGTGGGGCATGTGGCCTGCAGATCACAGGCTTCCATGCAGCAGGGAGGGCGGAGAGCATCAGGGTGGGCCCGGGGCCAGGATGGTGCCTATGGCTGCTGCCTGGTCAGTATGTTCTCTGAGGAAGAGAACAGCTGAGAGTATGGACGTCCATAGGCAGCGGGGCCGGCACGGGCTCAGCTGCAATGGAGGCAGCTCTGAGTCTGTCCTCTCTGGGGCAGGGAGAGAGACCTCCCCTCTTGGGTGAAACTCCACATCCAGCAGGCCTTGCTGATGGCTGCAGGCCTCAGTGGGAGGGGACTCGCTGCACCCCAGGGAAGAGATGAGCAGAGGTCCTGGACTGCAGGCTCCAGGGGTCAGCTGCCTCCAAGTCCAAGAGCGGCTCCTGTGCTTTGGGCCGGGCCTGCCCTCATGATCCCCTCAGTAGCCACACGTAGAAGGCCTGAGCTCAGACCTGCCAAGGTTCAGGCCACTGCAGCTTCCAGGAAGCTCAGAACCTGGCCCCGCTGGCTGGGACATTCACATCAGGCCCTCAGTTGCAGCCTGGACCCCCCTAGGCAAGGTTTCTATTTTCCCTCTGCTCACAAGCCCCTGTCAACTTGCCTTTGATCTGCAACATGAAATGGGCCACACTCAGGTGCCCTTGCTGCTCCCCTCATCCTGATGCATCTCACAGGAAGACCCTGTGGAGGAGAACAGAGCTGGGTGGGGAAGAGTAGATGCCAAGGAGGGTCTGGGTGTGTCCAGGGGCCCATGGTTCCTGTGGACTGAACTGCCCCGGGGCCAGAATCCAGTTCAGAGCCATCCATCCCCAGGACTCTGGGGCCATGGGGTCAGCAGTCCACGTGTCAGAGGGCCCCCTACCCTCAGACCAGACCTGATTCCAGAGGCTGAGGACACCCTCAGAGCCACGGCAGCAGCACCCAGCATCCCTCAGCCGCTGAGCCGCAGATCCTAAACTATCACTCAGAGCTCAGCCAGCTTCCTGGGAGGAAGCAGAAGGCTTCTGCACACTGGTGCATTAAAACATTTTAAGATGGAGCCCCGTTTGAACCCGGGGTTCCAAATGCATTGACTTTGCCCAGAGAACCCCTGCCTCATGCTGGCTGTGTAGACACAGCATCCAGGGAGTGACCGTGTGTGAACGCAATGGAGGGTGGTGGGAGAGCCGGCGGAACACAGTGCAGGCTGGCACAGGCCGGAGAACTTCTCCCCAGCCATCCCACCCCTGCCGTCCCCAGCCTGTGTCCCCTCCGAGATTGTGTCAGGGCTTCAGGCACCATCTGTGTCCCCGGGGACCCCATGGGCTTCGCTGTCTGATTGGGCTCTTTCTCCACTCTGCCATTTTTTCCATTTTGTGGGGTTTGTTTTATTTGGGTCTTGATTTCTTTCAGTCGGTTTCATTGGTGGATTTGATCCATTTCCTCTCTACCATGTCAATGAAAAGCCATCCAGCCTCTTGTCCAACCAGGCATACTTGTAAGTATGGCCAGCAGAATTTGCTCTGTGGCCGGCCTGGCCAATCTGGCGCTCACAGCGAGAGGCTGCCTTCCTTGGGGGCCTCACCAGGCACCTGACTGTCTGTGCTGCCATCCATCCATCCATCCCTCCCTCCATCCATCCCTCCATCACCCCTCCATCCATTCATCCCTCCATCCATGTATCCATCCATCCCTCCATCCCTCCATCCGTCCATCCATCATCCATCCGTCCTTCCATCCACCCATCCATCCATCCATCCCTCCATCCATCCATCCATCCATCCATCCATAGATCCATCCATCTGTTCCTCCATCCATCCATCCCTCCATCCATCCATCCATCCATCCATCCCTCCCTCCATCCATCCATCCATCCATAGATCCATCCATCTGTTCCTCCATCCATCCATCCCTCCATCCATCCATCCATCCATCCATCCATCCATCCTTCCATCCATCCCTCCATCCCTCCATCCCTCCATCCATCCTTCCATCCCTCCCTCCATCCATCCATCCCTCCGTCCATCCACCCCCACTCCTCTAAGTTCTGCTTCATCCCAGGTTCTGGGGTGGTACTGGGGGTGTGGAGGCCTAGGGCCCAGTCCCAGCCCAGAAGCTCAGAGGGCAGCAGAGATGGAGCCTGTGGGAGGGGGTTGGGTCTGGGAGTTGGCTCTGAACCAGGAGTGCAAAGCAGGTCTGAAGAGCAGGCAGCATGGGGGTGCTGCAGCAGTTTCTTCATGGTGGGCAGCTGGGGCACTGGTTTCCTATCAGGCAGAACCAGAATTCTTTCTCGAAAGGCAGCATCCACAGCTCTGCAAACCCCAGACCTTGGGGTCTGCAGGCCTCCCAGCTGCCTCCTCTGAAATAGCTTTTGCCAGACAGCCCGCCCTGTACACAATCCCAGTTTGGGGCTCAGAATAGGCAGCTGTACCTCCCCTGGGCTACCCAGGCCCCCAGAGACACCTGATGTCACTCCCCTGGGTAGCCATCGGCCCTTCTATCCTAAAAACGAGGGCTGTCACAGCAGGGGCTGTCTGAGTTAGCAGGAGCCCAGCTCCCATGTTGGAGAATGGGGAATAAAGGCCTGAGCAGGGCTGGAGTCACAGGCAGGTCCTGAGCCGGGGACTCGGGCATATGCCTGGGCTGGGCAGGATGCAACAAACCAGACAGACCTCAGCGATTTTTCTCCAGCTGAGGAGACTGCAAGAGCCCCCACCCCACTCCCAGCCCCACAGCCCAGACCCCACTGAGATGTCAGCGTAAGACTCCAGCATGCCCCCAACAGGGAGAGGCATGGGTGGGTGTGGGGGTCACCCCTGCGAGAGGCTAACAACTTGGCCTCCGCCATTAGGTGAGCTTGACTCCATACACATTTTCCCTGGCTGGAGGCTGTCGAGCTATGAGTGAGAGGAAATTAAGAAGAGAAAGAAAGAGGAAATTAAGAAGCAGGACACTATCCTCAGCCTTCTTGGCAGATGAGATAATGGCTAGGTGAACGCTGAAGTGAGTTAATTGGGTATTGTGTTCCCCTTTCTGGCTCCTGATCTAAGACTTTGTTTACCAGGCATTGTTTCAGCCTGGTGACCTCCCCTGCAGTCCTTGTCTCTTGCAGATGCATGGTTTACTGCTGAGCTTGTGACTTCTAGTTAATTAAAGATTGTTATCCAAGTTACTGATTGTTCTGACAATATCGATAATCAGCATCACCTATTTCCCCCTTGATCTTTTAAATTAGTATTTGTCCCCTTTGACAGTTCCTCAGAATCATCCCCCAAGGAATTTTCTGTTCCTTTTATTGTTTGAGTAATGATCTGCATTGAGGTAATGATGTTAAAGAAAAAAGTATATAAGGAAATCGACTGCACAAATAAAATCGCTGTATGGGCATAGCCCATCCAATCCTCCAGACTCCTCCTCTCTCTGTCTCCTTTCTTTCCACGCACGCCCTCTTCCAGGTTTGGGACCCTCTCGCTGGTGACACAGGCGGTGACCTGTGTCAGGGGTATCGAGATTCCCGGGCTCGAGTTCAGTTCACAACAGGTGGGGAGCCTCAGCCCCACCCACCTCCTTTCTGCCAAAGGCCTGAAGCCACCCACTGCTTGGACTTTTCCATTTCAGGTTCTCAAGGGGAGGGGACGGCAGCCTCCAGTGGCCACCCCAGCCCTCTGTCCCCAGGTGTTCTCTGACCTTGTGCCCATAGGCCTGCGTAAGTCATGAAACAGCTGATCTTGCTCCTGCGGCCTCGAGCCTCGGCTGGAGTGACAGGACAGTGACAGGGGCCCCCAAGCCTTGGGGCACACCCCACCCAGCACCTCCCAGGTGGCTGGCAGCACCTGCCCTGGGTTCAACCAGCCAGGTGGCAGGGCAACACCAGGGCTGGCTGCAGCTTCGGGAGAGTTTGAAATTTCCTTTCTCTAAAATCAAAGAAAACTTACAAAAGAAAAGGCAGAGCCCCACATGCCCATCTCCTCTGGCAGCATGGGGGCCACAGCTCTGTCCCCAGGCCGTAGTCTCACCGAGGAGCCCCTCCCTCAGGTGCCCACCTGGGGCCACTGGACCCTCGGGCTGCACTCACCGCTACTAGGGGACAGCGAGGTGGGAACAGCGCAGCCCCCAGGAGGCCAACATGAGCCCTGAGACCCCTGAAGCAGCGAGGGCCCCAACTGAAGATGGAGGGAACCCCAGCCCTGAACTTGTGCCTGCCAAACCCCCACCCCACCCAGGAGCTGAGGCTGATGGAGCCCAGGGGTGGGGGCCAGGCTTGACCAGGAACGGCAGAGCCAGGCCTCACCACCCAGGGCAGGGCACGTGGTGGTAATGGGTGGGTAGCACCCTTGTAAAGAGGGGTCTTGGGTAGATGGTCCCAGAGGATCCCCAGGTATCACCAAGTTGGTAAATAAACAGGAACCTGGCCTCGATCACCCTCTGGAAGATGCTGAGCTTGGGGAATAGTTAGGGGTACAGTCTCAGGTGGGGCCTGAGGCCTGCTTATTCCAACAGTCATTAACATATGGAGAGTAAGTGCAAGGGGCAGGAGGTGAGGGGCCCAGAAGGGGTGTCCGAGGGAGTGAGGGGAGTTTGGGGAGCCGCCTGGAGAGGCGGTGACCTGTGTCAGGGGTGGGGTGGGCAGGGAGGCAGCTAGTGGTGGGACAGGCTGCTGAGTATATCCAGGGAAAACCCACTTTATTTATATTCAGAAGCATCCAAACGGGCAGAAAAGCCGCCCCCATGCCCAGCAGGGCTCGTTTCTCCACCCTGGGCTGTGGTGGGGGAATCGGGTTGGTTGGTGCTAGGCGGGCCCCAGCCCTGCCATCCTCAGCAGGCCCAGAACACAGTGCAGGACAGGCAGAAGGGGTAGAAGGCCCACCCTGCAGCCCCCCTGGACGACCATGGCACCTAGAGCGAGAGGAGGGGTGGGTGAATCGTGGCTCCCGACGGGGCCTAGAGAGCCAAGGGCCTCAGGTCCCAGAGTTCCCCGCCCAACCTCTGTCCCCCACCAGAAGATCTTCAGACACATCCCAGACTAACTACAGAGGCCTTGGAGAGCCCTGAGGCCGTCACAGCAGCTGTCCCTTGGCCGGCATGGGGCATCCCACCCACTTCTCTAGGAACTGGGGTTCACACGTCCCCTTCTCATGCAGGCGCTTCCTCCAGGCTTGCACCCCGGATTGAGGCCAGGCCAGTGCCTGGCTTGTGTAAGCCTGACCTGGCCCACCCTGTTCCCCAAACGCCCCCAAAGCCGGCTTCCCTTTACCACTGAGGAAAATCAAGGCTGAGGGGAGCCAGCAGGCGTCAGTTAATACAGGCAGGCAGCTCTGTGTGGCCACCAGGGCAAGGTGCTGAGAAGGACCTGCTGGAACCTCAGCGTCAAGGGAGGTAGTAAGATTAATAGGCGCTGACAGTGGGGCGCGGGGGGCGGGGCAGGGGAAGGACCAGCTGTCTCTGTCACCGGGGAAGGGTCTGCATGGGTTCGGGCGGACAGGGCTCGCTGGCTCAGGGCCACTCTGTGGGTTCGGGCGGGTGGGGCTCGCCGACTCAGGGCTGCTCCACAGGAGGGCTGGCTTTGTGGGCGCTGGGCGCTCACCTGGCCTAGGACAGGAAGGTTCGGACGCGGCCTTGGACTGGCGCCCGGCAGATGGGGCACAGCTGCAGGCTGGAGGCGCATGTGGCACAGACCAGGTGGCCGCAGGGCACGAAGACGATGGACACGGCGTGGTCCAGGCACACCTTGCACGTCCTCTCCTCCTGCAGCTGCCTCAGCTGCTCCTCCATGTCCCTGGCCCCCGGGGGCTCCAGGACCCACCATGCCCGCCGGGCCTGGGTTGGACTGGCTCCTCCTAGGAGATAGACCTTTGAATGCACCCTAGCCCTGGCCCCCACCCTCTATGGGCTGTGGAAGGTGGGCATCACCCAGCACCCCCGGTGCCATCAGCCCTCCCCTGGCCCAGCCCCACCCTGGGGAGTCCTGGGCCTGTACCTGGCTCCTGGGTGCCCTCAGACTGGACTTCTCTTCTGGGCATGGGCAGCTCTGGGTCCCTAGGGTCAGGGGCTGTGGACAGTTAGCATGGATTTGAGGTCTTGCTCCCAAGGGGAAAGCCGGGCTGACTCGAAGACAGATCCACAGCTTGTGGCGTCCAGTTCTGGCCAGGAGCGGAGGGGCTTCAGAGTCCCCCTGCTCCCACACCACTTCCCACCCCTCCCACAGCAGAGCAGAATCCAGAGGCTTCCTGGAGGGGCTGCCAGAGAGCCTGGCCCTTGTCCAAGGCCCTCTGCACATCCAGCCCCTCTGGCAGTGGCTGTGGCCGCTGTGTGCTGGGCACTGTTGGGGGTGCTGTGGCAGGCGGCAATGGGCTGTGCCAAGGGGTGAGCTGGGGGAAAGCAGAGTTAGGGCCTGGCATTGGCGGGAGGCCCCTGCTGCCCCATCCCCATCCTCATGGCACAGCCCCCATGAGGTCAACCCTGGTGGCACCTCACACCCAGTCATGCCCATCACTGTCCTTGCTGTCTGGCAGGGTGGGGACACCCAGTAGCTTTGGCCAAGCACAGGCTGCGGGTGCCCGAGGAGGCAGCCAGGGTGGTGTCGGCTCTCACCCGAGGGGGCCACAGGGGCTGCGTCTTCTGGTTCTTCCCACGGGTCCTGGAAGGAGCCAGAGAATGTTGGTGCCTTGGGGAAACAGGAGGGGCCGGACCCCATTGCCTCCCGGAGCCCCGAGGAGAGGTGGCGCTCACCCAGGAGCCCAGCAGCTGGGAGTGAGCCTCCTGCACACTGTGGACAAAGTCTCTCCCTTTAGACTGGAGCAGGAACTGACACCTGCAGATGCCCCCAGATGTAGGCTGGGGCTACGAGCCTCCTGTCAGCTTCAGCCCTCAGAGCCCCTGGGGCCAGGGTTGGGCCCCTCCTCCCACTGCCCTGCAGTGCCTGTGGGCATGGGCTGGGGGGGCTGCTTTGGAGACGCCTCGTGGGCCTTCAGGGTATTTCCGTGGGAGAGGAATTTCTGCCCTCAGCAGCCCTTCCCAAAAGGGGCCCTCACAGGAAAAGTGGGTACCTGCCGGGCAGAAGCACCATCCACAGAGGGGCCTTCCCAGTGCCCTGTGGGGCCAGGGAGGCAAAGCAGGCCTGGGGTTGGGTTGACAGAGCCCTTCGGGGCCCACCATGACCCGTGATCAGACCCAGGGTGCCGGGAGCAGCCAGTACCTGGGGAACCATTTGGCATGCTCTGTCCAGGGATCATCCCCGCACTTCCAGCTCTGCAGGCCCCCATAGCAGAAGAAGCACCTCACCTTGTCCTGTTGGCCTGGGTTGTGACAGAGATACTGGCACTAGCCAGGCCCCACCCAGCCCCAGGACCCCCGCTTCGTCCTTCCAAGGTTATGAGAGCTTGGGGTGGAGGGGTGGGGAGCTCCCAGGTCGTATCAGGGAGGAGGGGTGGGCAGGGGCTTGGCGGGTGATGTCACATGCACACCATTTGCATCAAAAGTGAAGGGGACAAGACTGTCTGGGTGCCAGGCAGGACGGGTGAGAAGGTTCAGGAAAGGACTGAGCTGGCATTTGCATTGTCCACAGAGTGAGCGGTGGGGGCCCCCCAAGGCCTGGCACATCTATAGCCCTGGGGCTTCGGGAGTCAGAAGGGCCCCTCCCCAGGTCTCTGCTTCCCAGAATGGATTACAAGTGAGCAGAAGGGGGCGGCTACCCTAGAAGGCCAATCTGGTGCCAGGCTTGGTTTTAGGAACTCATGCCTTCCTTTGGGGGTGGGAAACCCCTCACTGCTCTACCTCCTGGCAGCTCCATCCCCTCATGGCAGACATGGGATATGTCACCTGGCACTGCCATCACAGGTCTGGGCTGCAGCAGGCGCTGGACCTCTGGACCCCCAAAGAGCCCTGCTCTGCAGCTGCTATACCTTCGGCCCGGCCTTCGCCTGCTGAGCCTTGGACCTCCGGGGAGGTGGGTGAGCTGGGCCGGCCCCTTCACGATGAGGCTCCTGACTGTCTCAGCCACGGTCCCCACCCCCAGCTGTCTCATGTTGGTCTGGCCTTCCCAGGACGGTGCCCCCCAGAGCCCATTGCTGACGATGACCAAGGCTGTGCCAGTACTTGTCCCTCAGCCAGGAAGGGGCAGAGCTAAGACCTGAACTCAGGTCTGACCACGTGGTCCCAGATGTAGGGCCGAGGAGCAGGCCCAGGCCAAGACTAAGATAGGGGCTCTGGGCGCTTGGTTCCGTCGGGGAAGACCAGACAGTGGCTGTGGGCTGGGGCCTGGAGAAATTCCCCACAGACTGAGTGGCCAGGACCTCGCAGCTGACCACTGCCTGCCTCGGTCACCCTGATCTGTTCCTTAAACATCTCACCCCATGCAGACCAGCGGTGGGGGGAAGGTGAGGGCCCCAGGCAATGTCAGCCCCTCCCACTTATATCACAAAGGGGTACTTGCACGCCCAGGTAGCAGCCTCCACAGCTGAGACTCCCAGACTGTGGCCAGAGGCAGCCCCTCCTCCTGTCCCACAGTCTAACAACTAGGCCAGCAGAGACTCTGGGGGAAAGTGTCAGGCACCAGGACATGGCCACTGAAGGGGCTTACAAGACCATTCAGTCATCAGGCCGGACCCTTCCCTCTAGGGTATGGGTGCCACGAAGGAGGCAGAACCCTGGGCTGGAAGAGTCCAGAATCATGCCCAGGGCCTCAGCAGGAAAGCCCCATACCCCAGGACTGACCTGTGTGGAAGAAGCCGGCAGCGGCCAGCAGCTCGGGCGGCACCCCAGCGGTCAGTGGCCAGTCATAGAAGGAGGCCAGACGCAGCTCCTCAGAGCCCATGCCGGGGAAGGCAGGACCCCTGGGCGAGGTGGCCCCGGCGCCATCCTCCTCTTCCTCCGCTGCCAGGGGCCGAAGCTGGCCCAGAATCTGCCCATCCACGTGGTCCCAGGCTCTGAAGGTGTCCAGGCCCAGGACAGGGCAGCACAGAGTGTGGGGGCCACGGTGCTCCTCGGGGCTCGGCTCCGGCCCACGGTGCAGGCACTTGGCACTGTCTTCAGGCCCCATGGAGGGAATGGCAGCTCTGGCCAGCTCTGCAGCAGCAGTGGGGCAGATGGCCAGTCCCAGAGGATGCCTGGCTGCCCTTCTGGAGCTCCTGATCCCCGCACCCACCCGGGGACAGCAGGGATAGGCACGGCGTTGCCACCAGTCACCCTGGGTGGGGAATATCCTGGGGCCTACTGCTTTCTGGAAGAGCCCAGGGTGGCCTCTGGGATCGCATGCTCTGTGCATCGGGGGCGTGTCATGGGGCCCCTGGCAGGGTCTCAGATTCCGCTCACTGCACGTGGGCAGGCAGTGTCTCTCCAAACCAGAGGGGAGGGAACTGAGCATGGAGACCCTCCCCCAGGCTGGTGCCTGCCCCGGGCTGTGGGGGACCGGTTGGGGAGCCAGAGATGATGGCTCTGGGGTCAGGCGCCCAGGGCAGCCTCTGGAAGCAGAGAAGGCTCAAGTAAGAATGGATGGACTGTGCGGCCGACCAGGCCGGGGCTGTGAGCCCCCACCTTTCCGGGGTGACTCTGGCCGCACAGGGCCTAGTGCCGTGTCATTCGGGGCTGGAGCGGGAGGCAGGTTACCCGGGTGTTCTCTGAAACATCCTCTGTCCCACGGGGCCTCCACAGGTCTCGGAGCAGCTCTTTTCCTCAGGCCATGAAGATCAGAGCAGACAAAAAGGCCTGTGCTGCGCTCCCCTCCCCCGGCCCCTTCCCATCCCTTTCTCCCCCTCCTTCCCCCACCTCCCTCCACTTCCCCCACCTCCCTCCACTTCCCCCACCTCCCTCCACTTCCCCATCTCCCTCCACTTCCCCCCACCTCCCTCCACTTCCCCCCACCTCCCTCTACTTCACCCCACCTCCCTCCACTTCCCCCCACCTTCCTCCACTTCCTTCCATCTCCCTCCACTTCCTCCCACCTCCCTCCACTTCCCCCACCTCCCTCCACTTCCCCCACCTCCCTCCACTTCCCCCACCCCCCATCTCCCTCCACTTCCTCTTATCTCCCTTCACTTCCCCCATCTCTCCAGTTCCCTCTGTACCAGCCTCCCCAGATAGCCAGGAGAGAGGCTCTGATGTCCCCAAGAGAGGTGCATCAGTGTGGGCACTGGGATTGGAGCTCTGAGGTTGGCTGTGACTCGAACCCCTGGTCCAAGCTCCACAGCTGCGCCATGCTGCACAACTCCCAGCGAGGGAGCAGGGAGGGGGACTTGACCCCAGAGAAGCCCAGGGGTGGAACAGGAACCCCAGGGACACCTGGGCGGGACAGAGAGAACAGATGGATGGGCCCAAGCCTCACCACTCCCCAACCCCCTACTGAGCCCTCAACCCCGGCAGCTCATCCATCTAGCTGGCCCTAAGAGTCCCCTGTCATCGTTCAGCCACTCTCCCCTGCTGCTCATCCTGGAAGGGGTGTGCAAGGTCACAGAGTTAAAGGAAACGAGAGGAGTCGCAAACTATGGGGCTGCTGGTTGCTGCAGGGAACACAAGCAAGCAGGAGAGGGTTAGCCACGGTGGAAGCCATCCATGGTGAGTGCAGGCGGGCAGAAGAGGGTTGGCCACGGTGGAAACCGTCCATGGGGAGTGCAGGCGGGCAGGAGAGGGTTAGCCACGGTGGAAACTGTCCACGGGAGCACAGGCGGGCAGGAGAGGGTTAGCTGCAGTGGGAACCACCCACCTGGAAGCCTGGCTGGCAGGGCACCAAAGAAGCTGGCCAGTCCCCCATCGCATGCCCTGCCAGGGGGACAAGAGAATTGTTCCCATTTCGCTATGATGGTGCCCTTGAACTCCAGCCTGGACCCTGTCTCAAAACAAGCAAACACCAAACAGCAGCAACAAACCCTAGCCCCACATTCCTCCAGAGAAGGATTCGAGGTTCCCTTCGGGCTCCTTCAGGGACCCTGCGATTAAACCTTTCTATGCTGTGACCCAGCATCATGGCATCTGGACTTGCTGTGAGGGAGCATCAGCAGCTAACCAATCACTGTTACCAGAGACAAGTAGGGCTGGGAGGGAAGAGAGGATCCCTGCAGCCAGATGCCGGCTGGCTTCGGGATTCCCTGGGAATCCCGTCCACCCAGGACAGTATGCCAAGCCCTGTGCTGAAGCCATGGCCACATTCCCTCACTGGATCCCCTCAGTTAGCCTTTGAGATGGGCACAGAGCTTATGTCAGAGGCTCAGATGGGGCATGATGAGTTGGCCAAGAGAGGAGACGCAGGCCCAGGAAGCCTGTCCAGGGAGGCGGCGGCAGCCACTGTGGGGAGTCCGGGACCCTCTCTAGAGGAGACATCGTCTCCGGGATGGGTCTGTCCAGGTGAGGCTGTGTTGCTCCTGGCGCCTTTCCTGAGGTTTCAGGGAAGGGGTGGAAGGCGATTGAGTGTCTCCTTGGTGGGGCTGGCCCTAAAATCACAGCAGAGCCCCTTCCAGCATCTGCTACCTTTCAGTGGCTGCTGACTGAAAGCAGAGAGCATGCCAGGGCACCATATGCAAGCCAAAAATAAAACTCCAAGGTCCCAAGTGATGGAATGGACCTCCCTCTTGGCCAAGGGTCCTCGAAGAAACCTGAAAAACTAGTCCAGGCCATGACAGGAAGGTAGGGGCCAGAGAGGCACTCCTCCTTTTGGAGTTCAGGCACAAATGACCAGCACTGACATTAAAATCAGGCTTTTAAGCCTGACAAAACGGGCCAGGCACAGTGGCTCACGCCTAGAACCCAGCACTTTGGGAGGCTGAGGCCAGAGGATCTCCTGAGCTCAGGAGTTCAAGACCAGCCTGGGAAACATAATAAGAGCTTATCTCTCCAAAAAAAAAATTAGCCAGGCATGGTGGCATGCACCTGTCATCCCAGCCACTCAGGAGGTAGAGGCAGGAGGCTCACTTGAGCGAGCAGGCCCAGGCTGCACTGAGCTGCGATCAGGCTGCTGAACTCCAGCTGGGATGGAGAGGGAGACCCTGCCTCAAAAACAAAAAAAAAAAAACCCCAACAGACTGGAAGATCCCGCATGCCAGCCTGACTCCGGCATAACATCACATGGCAAATAAGGAAAGAAAATTATTCTAGCCCCAAATACGTTTGTTTGCCACATTTCGAAAAGACCCCGCAAAGCCGTCCTTTGTGGGGAACGTTTCTGTCTGTAAGGAATCTCTGTTATAATGTCTTATAACATAATGAGCTCTTTCCCCTTTCAGGCCCTCCCAATCCTGAAGGGTTAGCTGAGAGTCTCGACCTTTCAAAGGTCCACACAGGAAACTTGGCCATGTACTGTCTTTAACAGCAGCTACCCATGGGACTTCACCTCCACAGGAAGAACCCTGGTCTCCACAACCCCTTCGCTTAACCAGATGCCCCTTCCTACTCATCTTTAGATAATAGCCTAACTCTTTCAACCAACTGCCAATCAGAAAATCTTGGAATCCACAATCCACCTAGGACCCGTAAGCCCCCCACCCAGGACCTGTAAGCCCCCCACCCAGGACTCGTAAGTCCCCCACCCAGGACCCACAGGACCACAGCCACCCACCCAGGACCCATAAGCCCCTCACCTAGGACCCATAAGGCCCCCACCTAGGACCCATGAGGCCTCCACCTAGGACCCGTAAGGCCCCACCTAAGGCCCGTAAGGGCCCCACCTAGGACCTGTAAGGCCCCATCTAGGACCCGTAAGCCTCCACCCTCTGCTTAGAGTTGTTCTGCCTTCCTGAACATGAGCAATGTACAGCTCACGTGCACTCATTGAGGTCTATGTCTCCATAAAACCAAGCTGTCACCCAGCTACCCGGGACACATGTGCTCAGGACACAATGAGACTGTGCCTCGGGCCGTGGTCACTGCTTTAGGCTCAGAATAAACCTCTACATATTTTAGAGTTTGGCTTTTCCGGTCACACGTATTTCGGGGTGAAATTCGCTCCTTCACCATCCTGGCCTGCTATGACAGTCTCACCCTACCCAGATCTGCCCGACGAGGGCCTGGGATAGAAGGGCCTTAGGGGCCTGGCGTGGCACTGCAGGGACCCCAGGTTCCCTTCCCCACCCTTCCCTGCCCACATCCTGCTTAGAGATCTGTTTGTGGGGTGGGTCCGGCCTGCCCCCTCCTTGGGCCCCACAACCACTGCCTCTGGGCCTCCAGTCCTGGCAGCCTTGGGATTCTGGGTCAGTGGCTGCAAGGGAAGGCTGGGCTTGTGGGTTCAGTCACATGAGCCCAGGTCCTGCCCGCCTCCAGGCCGTGCTGGCTGAAATGAGGCTGGACCCGGAGCCCCCAGGAGCTGAGAAGGAGAAGGAGGAAAGAGGTGGGAGAGAGGAGAAGAAACTCCAATCCCTGTCCAGGGCTCAGGCCTGGGTTCCCAGGAAGCTCAGTAGGTGTCCATTGGGCAAGGCAGCTGGCAACCCCTGTACCAGCCACCCTTCCACGCCCAGCCCACTCCCGCTGAGAGAACCCTGAGTGCTCTCACCAAAAGCCACTGAGCCTGTCCCTCCTCCCCAGCTTGGGGGGCCAGAGCCTGCTGGCACTGGAGCAACCCTCCCTGTGGCCACAGAGCAAGGACTCCAGGTGACCGCAGGGCTCCAGACAGGTGCGTCAGAGGCCCCAGGAGAGGCCAGGGCATTAACCAGCTCCAAGTGAGACAGGCAGGCTGGCTGGTTTCCTGTTTTCAGACTGTCTGGAGGGGCTGGGCGCCGTGACTCACACCTGTTATCCCAGCACTTTGGAAGGCTGAGGTGGGTGGGTCACTTGAGGCCAGGAGTTCAAGACCAGCCTGTCAACATGGCAAAACCCAGTCTCTACTAAGAAAATATAAAAATTAGCTGGGCAGGGTGGTGTGCACCTGTAATCCCAGCTACTCAGGAGTCTGAGGTGGGAGAATCACTTGAACCCAGGAGGTGGAGGTTGCAGTGAGCTGAGATTGCACCACTGCACTCCAGCCTGGGCAATAAGAGAGAGACTCCGTCTCAAAAACAAAATTAGAAAAACTCAGGACCCCAATTCACTCTGCCAAAAGAAAAAAAAATAAATTAAAAGCTAAGTCGCGTGAGAAGCTGCCTTTCTTTTCGTTCCTAAGCAGGTGGTTACAGGTAACAGGTGAACCACCTCATCAGGAGCTGTTCACCTTATTTCTTGCAAATGCAGATTTTTGAGCAGGAGACGAGCACATCGCTAATTCCCCTGCCTGCTCCTTTTCTCTTGCACATGGACATTCCTAAGGCCTCCCGTGGATTTAGGGATTTTGACTGAGGGCTGCCCAGGGCACTACAGGTCCAATTGGTGGGGAACAGGGGCTCCAAAGTGACTTGAATGCAGGGACTGTGGCACCAGCAGGGAAGGCTGAGGTCCCTAGACCAGCTCTGGGGGGAAAGCGTTTACCTTGGCCAGGCCTGAGGACCTGGGAGGGTGTCACAGGAAGCTAGGAGTCAGGATCAGCATGGAGCCTTCTGGAGTTCAGGGCAAAAGCCTGGATGGGTCCGGGCAGTGGCTGTGAAATCCCGCCAGCCTCTTCCCTGCCAGTGGGGCTAGGCTGGCATGGTGGCACATCCTCAGGCTTCACTGGAGGAGCCACTCCTTCCATCACATTTGTGATCAGAGCTTACTCAGCCCCAGGAGTCCCCCTCCAAAATCTCTCTACAGGCATCACTGTGAGACCTCCCCAGTGACCTCTGCAGTGAGCTGAAGAGTGTACCCCAAAACTCATGTCCACCCGGCACCGGTGTGACTTTTTTTAGAAACAGGTTCTTTGCAGATGTGATTACATGATGATGAGGTTATCCTGGATTAGGGTGCGCCCTAAATCCAATCCAAAGTCCTAAAACCCTCTAGCCCTCCCTCCCGCTTTCCTCACTTTGAATGGTGCAGCCCTCAAAAGCCTCTTTGGAGGAAGGCATAGGCCGCAGATTGTGTGACTCCACGTTTCTCTTCCAGGTGTGCCCTTAATCTCGGGAAACCTCCTTCTCAGTGGATCAAGCCCCGCCTCTCAGGCTTTGTGGTTTACAGCCCCGCACTGAGTCTTCGGTGGAGCACTGAGTCTTCGGCAGAGCACATCCCAAAACGAAATAAGCAGCAGGGAGTGCGCTGAGAAGAGCGGCCCCGCCGTGGGCTTCTCCCCACCTGCTGGACTGGGCTGGGCTGGTTGTTGACTTGGCCATCCAGCCACTCTCCAGACAGAGTGGGACTTTCTAAGTAAAGTCACACTCACGGGTGCCGGGTGGACATAAGTTTTGGGGTACACTCTTCAGCTCACTGCAGAGATCACTGGGGAGGTCTCACAGTGAGGCCTGTGGAGAGATTTTGGAGGGGGACTCCTGGGGCTGAGTGGGTTCTGGTCACAAATGTGATGGAAGGAGTGGCCCCCGCAGCGGGTCTCAGACTGGACGGTCAATGTTTCTCAGTGCAGCTGCAGCTGTCTGGACCACACCTCCCGTGCCTGCAGCCCAACTTGGGTCTATTCATCCGACTTATATTCCAGGCCTGTGGGGGGCGAGGGTGGGGAGAAGCTGATTCGGTACAGCTGACCCGGCTCCTTCCTGCAACTTCCCAAGCCCCTGTGGCCTGCGAAGCTGAGCTGAGAGGCTACCTAAAGCCAGGGATGGACAGAAGGCCTGTCTTGATGGGAAGGGTGGGAGGACGGAAGCAGTGGGCTTCTGTTCCCACAGTCCTGCAGAGCCGAAATGTCCACCAGCCAGCCCTGCTCTCTGTGAGCTTCTGGCATTGTTTGGAAACATGAGGTGCCCCATCTCTGGCCCCAGATTCCAGCCTGGGAATCCAGGAGGTGGCTGAGTCAGTTTCAGGAAAGCCTAGATCAGGGCGCCCTGGGGCTACCAGGAGGACTCTGGAGAGAGAAGTGGAAGCAAGAGGCTGCAAGAGACAAACTGGACACTGCAGTGCCCAGCCCCACGTGGCAGAGGGAGTGGGGCCAGTGAGCACTCCCAGCTCCACATGCAGAGGGAGCAGAGTGGGTGAGCAGCTTATAGGGGCTTGCACACCTCGCTGAGTGTTAAGCATATGTGAAGGTACCGGGCTCACCTGGAGGATTCAGGCTCAGCCAGAGGCCTCCTGGACATGAGGTCACCAACTCCACCCCAGGATACTTCCATTTCCCTGCTGGGGCGGGGCAGGGGCAGCGTGGTGGACCTGTGTGTTAATCGGAGCTTTCTGGGAGTGTGGAGGACCAGCATTGAGTATCACTGCCTGGGATCTGAGCTTGGCCGTCAAAGACATTAGCCACTAGCTGTGTCTGTCCATTTGAATTTAACGAAATAAAATGGAAAGTGCGGTTCCTCGACTTCGGGTGCTCAATAGCGGCGCCTACTGGACACAGCGGTGCACGAGTCACAGAACGCCCACTGGTGGGTGAGCCTCTGGTGCTCACCTTCACCTTCCACGTGCTGCCTCCCAGCTGGGGAAAGTAAGGCAGGTCCCTGACAGCGGGGAGGCGGTGAGCTCCAAGGATCGAACTCCTGATTCAGAGCTCTCTCTGCTGGACATAAAGGAAGTGACAGCACAGAGGTGACACTAGGGGCGCTGGAGCTGTCCCTGCAGACAAGGGATGACTGTTGGTCTCAGGTGTCCCCAGGGTGAGCATGAGATTTCGAGAAGCCACACGAGGCTTCAGAGAGGAGGTAAAGCAGGAGGTGTCAGGCAGAGGGAACAGTGTGGCCCCTGGGGACGTGTGTGTGTGGCTGGTGCGGTGGGAACTGCAGGCAGATGGGGGAGGAGAGGTAGGTGGGGCCAGTGAAGGAGGCGCTGGGAACAAGGGAGTGATCTGAGCAGGGCTGGGTTTCGGGCAGGGGCCGTCCAGACACCCTCGCCCCTGTGGGACTGTGGGCCAGGCCCAAGGTTCACATGTTATGCTTGTCACTGTGGTCGGGACCCTCAGCTGCAGGTGACAGAAACTCAGAGCTAAAAATGAAATGTATTGATTTCATTTTCGGTTCACCCAACCAAAAGCACAGAAGTAGACTGCTTCAGGCTCGGCTGGATCCAGGTGTTGAAGTGTCTTCATTCCCTTGCTTCTTCCTCTCCGGGCCAGCATCATTTCCGGGCAAGGGCGGCTGCTAGCAGCTGCTGTGCTCACAGCTTTCTGGGAGAAAGCAACCCACTCCCAGAATTCCAGCCCTTCTCCTGGACAGGTGCTCCCAGGCTCCAGTCAGGCCCAGGTGAGGCACCCAGGCCCGAGCCACAGGGACTGAGGAGGGATGCCCTGAAAATATCAGGAGTGTGGTCACTTGGCTGAAGGGACTGCATGCTGGGCAGCCAGCAGGGTGGGTCACCAGACACCTGTCAAGCCATGTGGAAGGGTAGGGGAGTCCCCGTGGCCCTCCCTGTGCTGGGACAGGCGCTCCCCTGGGGAGAGGCTGCTGTTTGCAAGAGCAGATGAAGGCAGCAGTGTCTTTCACTAACACAGAACTCGGCACCAGGCGCACCTCCCTGCAGCACTGCCCCACCCCAGGTCTGGCTTTCCGGAGCTGGCCCTGCCCCCTCTCCTTCCTGCCCCACCTACGGCCCTGCCCAGGCACATCCAGCCATTGTGGGCCCTCCCTTTCCGGGCCACCTGCAGCTCTGGCTGTGTCGCCTGCTCATGTTGGCTCCTCTCTGGTCCTCCTCCTGGCACGGTCCCCTCCCTGCTTTCTAGCCAGAGTCATCCCCACGGCCCCCTCTTTGAAGACCTGCCCAAGAGCACATGACGTTAAAAAGCAAATAAAAACACCATTACAGGTGCAGAGAGGGATGCTGAGAGGAAGGAAAGAGCCTTCTCTTGCTGTTTGAACCAGGGCCCCAGTTTTCATCCTGCCCTGATGGGACCCCGCCTGGCCTCCAGGTGAGGCCTCCCCTCACCAGAGCAGAGCCCGGTAGGCACCTCTTGCTGCAGAGCCTGCGTCATCTCACTGCTGAGGGTGGCCCCAAGGTGGGTGGAGCTGCAAGAGCAGGGCAACCCTGCAGTCCCTGCCATCCGTGCTACTGCAACGTGCTCCCATCTGCTCCCTGAGCCTCCGCCTCGGGGCCAACACTCTGAAGACATTAGCCCCAGACCACCGGGCACTGGTCCTCACAGGCAGACAACAGTTCTCTGAGGTGGGAGAAAAGGCTCTTGGCAAAGTGGAGTTCAGAGAGCCCTGTTTCAACTCCTGGAAAAGTGGGGAGGGAGCTGAGGCCTGGGGACAGCAGGGCCTGGCTGGCAGCTTTCCTGTTCAGGCTGGGCTGCTGGCCCCTGGAGACGCCACACCGACAAAGCAGGGCCGAGGACCAGGCAGGTACCAGGGCTCAGGAGCAGGTTAAAGTTCAGGGAGCTGCCAGAGGAGCTGTGTGGCCTGGGCACTCCCATCAACTTCTCTGAGGCTTAGCTACTCCAGTAACCAAGAACTGCTTCTATACCTGTCGGTTCTCTAGATGCAAAGCAGAGCTTCCTTCATGTGCCGAGCTGTCTTCCCAGCACCTGCACTCGGCAGCAGACACAGAGGGCCCACCAAAGAGTACAGCACATCGGAGGGCGCTTCTGGAAGGAGGCCTGCCGACTGCGGATGAGCCCCTGGCTTGAGCTGCGGAAGGAGATGAGGGCCCGAGACTGCATGTGTGGAGAGGGTAGCTGCATGAGTGGCTGACGCCCATCCAGGCAGATGGGTGTCTTGGTCAAGAGCCCCCGGAGGCCAGCTGCAGGGTAGGCTGTGCCCAGTACTCAGGAGGGGTTTGGTTCAGCCGAGGATCATCTGAATTCAGCGCCCACAACGTCTGGACCCTGCACCCAGCTCAGAAACCTCCTCTTGGTTGGAGATTTGGGGACGGCTTCCTTGACGGCCCTCTGACAACATCAGCAAAATGGCCAGTGTAAGCGTCCAGGGATTCCATGGGCAACAGCCTCCTGCCTGGTGTCTTTGCACACGTGTGGGTGTGTGTTGGGGCCAGGACACTCAGTGCATGAGGCTGGAGCCCACACCCTCCCTGGAGTGGGACAAGGTGGCTGGATGGTGGGTGCTGATACTCAGCAGCACTGTGGTCCCCAAAGTGTGGTTTCCCAACAAGTGAGACGCAAGGGCAGTTGGCAGAGACAGAGACTCACCCCGGACACACACAGGCAGGCATCTGGAGGGCTCTCTCTCGGAGGGGTTTGAGGGGGGTGATTTCTGCTTCCCACCTTATATCCTTTGAGTACAAAAAGAGATTTTTTAACCATGCGCCTATATGACTTCGAAATAATTAAACAACCAAAGCTTTTTAATGCTAAAAATGCTTAGATAATCCCTTACTACCTGGGGGTGCTGCCCGGAGGGGTTGCTGTGGGGGGAGAGGGGTTGCTGTGTGGGGAGGAGCTCTGCTGAGGTAGGGAGAGGGTGCTGCTGAGAGGCAGCACTGCCAGGGGGATGGAGTGCTGCAGAGGGATGGGGGGGAGGGGGTGCTGCTGGCTGCTGGGAGGAGGCTCTTGGATGAGCAACAGGTTCCCTGAGCAAGAGGGTTCCCATCTGAAGGAGGCAGCCCACATGGGATGGACTCTTGTCTGTCATTGAGGGCGCAGGCTTGGAAATGGCAGACGTGGTCTCAAGACCGCTGGGCCACCCAGAGAAGTCACCAAACCCTCTGATGTTTCATGAGGAGCTGCCAGCTCCCTGTGAGGGAGAAACAGTTGGCCTCTGACAGTGCTGGGCCACCTCCCTTTGCCTGGTTGAGAGCTGGGCTGGGGTGTGAGCCTGGGCAGGCTGGGCAGTGGATGGGGCCCTCCAAGCTTACAGGCAGCTCGACTCCTGGCTTCCTGTGACACCCTCCCAGGTCCTCAGGCCTGACCAAGGGAATGGCTTTCTCCTCAGAGCTGGTCTGGGGACCTCAGCCTCCCCCACTGGTGCCACTGTCCTTGCATTCGAGTCACTCTGGGGTGCCCTGTTCCCAGCCAACTAGACCTGTGCTGCCCCTGTGCAGCCTCAGTCTCCTTCTGTGTCAGGATCAGCATGGAGCCTTCTGGAGTTCAGGGCAAAAGCCTGGGTGGGTCTGGGCAGTGGCTGTGGGATCCCGCCAGCCTCTTCCCTGCCAGTGGGGCTAGGCTGGCATGGTGGCGTGTCCTCAGGCCTCACTGGAGGAGCCACTCCTTCCATCACATCTGTGATCAGAACTCACTCAGCCCCAGGAGTCCCCCTCCAAAATCTCTCTACAGGCATCACTGTGAGACCTCCCCAGTGATCTCTGCAGTGAGCTGAAGAGTGTACCCCAAAACTCATGTCCACCCGGCACCTGTGTGACTTTTTTTAGAAACAGGTTCTTTGCAGATATGATTACATGATGATGAGGTTATCCTGGATTAGGGTGCGCCCTAAATCCAATGATGGGTGTCCTTGTAAGAGACACAGGCAGAGGAAGAGGCCAGGAGGCAACGGAGGCGAGGAGGAAGACGAGAAAGGACTGCCGGCCTCCACTGGAGGCTGAAGGAGGCAGGGGAGCCTCCCCAAGGGCCTTCGCCTCCATGTCAGCCCAGCGATGCTGACCTGAGACTTCTGGCCTCCAGGACCGGGAGATAATACATTTCAGTTACGTAAGCCCCCCCAGTTCCTGGTACTTTGTTACGACAGCTCCAAGAAACAAAAATATCCCCAGGGTCCTGCATTGCCGGCACTGGGCCATGGGAGAAGGCCCCTAGGCTCTGAGTGGTCACTTCCCGCACGGCCAGTGCTGCCTCTGGTGACTGCCTGGGCACTTGTAGGCAAAGGCAGCAGGTCACAACCAGCGTTGATGGAGCCCTGGCCTGACGCCAAGGGCTGCAGGCCCAGTTTCTTCCACACACTCATCCTGTGAGAGGGGAGTGTTACCCACCACGGAGGACAGGAGGCCTGAGGCTGAAGGTCCTGTAACTAGTGTGGCTCTCAGCTCCAGTGGTGACCACTGCACTGTTCTGCCCGAGGGATGTGAGCCGTGAGAGAAGACAGATGGGCTGTGAGAGTCTGAGCGTCTACTCCGACCGCCCAGACACCCCCTGGCTGCAGTCACGGCAGCCAAGCAGTTCAGTGTCCCGGGAAGCAGGCACTCAGGCCCTGCCCAGGGTGCACAGGCCTCATCACACAGAGGTAGGTGGCAGGATGCCTCCAGGAGCCCCGCTGGACTTACCATCCCCGTACATCTTCTCCATGTCTTTTTCACATCTACCCCAAATGCACGGATTTTACATTGGCCTGAGCTGTGCATGGCCCACGCATATCAAAGTCCCAGTGCATCCAGATTCAGCCCCAGGGCACCAGACCTCCCCAGCTCTGTTCCAGAGAAACACGCCCAGCCTGCTTTCCCCAGCTTTAGGCTAGGC